TTATTATTCAAAAGTTCGACCTCAGCTCGACAAGATCCTTCGATAGATACCTAAATCGTAAAAGTCGGACTGCGGACCGCTAGGAGCCTCTTTTTTTGGCACGCCCTTTATTAATTTCCTTGGTTTTTCAATCTGAAATTGTGACACGACCGCCTCGCCAAGTCTTGGCCAAGCCAGCTTCAGTGCCCAGCGATAAAATCTTATCAATTTGGGTGTGCATCCGGGCAAATTCGCATGCATCTTAGTTGCCGGTTATCGGAGTCCACGCCCGAAATGAGGGCAGAGCCGCGATCGCAAAAAGCTTCAGGTTCTTTCACATTATCGGGGGGTTGCTCGGGCGAAAACAACTGTACACAACTTCTAAACTGTGTTTTACTATTCCAAAAACGAAAACTTTACAAACGGTTATTAAAAATGCAAAAATATCGGTTTTTCGACCAAATTGACCGTTTTTGGCCGAAATTTCTATATTTTGAAAGTGTTTAGATGGTTGTTAGGTTAAGTTTCAGATTATGTTAGTAGAGATTTGTAGACTCATACAACAAAATGCCCAATGCGAAAGAACGAAGCGTCAAATTACTGAAAACGTACGCTTCTCTGAGAATCTTCAGGCGTTCTCCTCGGCGGAACTGCAGATACTTATATTTGGGGTGCGGGCCCGGCGAATTGTAGAGTGCTTGGGCTTCTACAACGTTATAAGTTTAATTTCTGCGAAAACGAATGACTGACCGACTGGCGCCTGGGGTCCGTCTTGAGAAACATTGCTGTGTCCCGACCCGGGGCGGTTTCGGGTGATCTCGCGCACCGGCTGGACCGGCTCACCCTTGCTTTTCGATGTAAGTCGATTGAATAGGCCGCTCATGATAGACTGCAAAGTTCATTACCGCTCTGTCGATCAAGCTCAAGGTGGAATTGCCGAAAACCCACTTTCAAATACTCCAATAGGGTCATAAATTGCCTTGAAAGCGGCCGATGCGAGTTTCGTTGCCCCGCGTGAAAACGAAAACGGGGCAAATGCGGTGTTTTTATCGCGAAAAGCCCGTAAATTCAGGCATGCGATAAGCGGGTGAGTCGAGGAATCTGTTAGAATAATTATTGTCGGGTCGTAAACGGAAAAAAGGCTTGGGCGGGGTGGTTAATTGACCCAAAAAATGGTCTGGATTTCGGGGGAAGGAACGGCGGATGTAAAAATCATAATTTTGTTACCGTAACCTTTTTGTATTGACTTAGGAATGCCTAGTAACTTAATAAACTGAATAAGAAGCGTCTTAATAGTATTTTTAGTAAAATATAACTGTATTTCCACTAGAAGAACTATCTAAAAACTATTAACTTTTAAAAAGTTTTGAAAAATCTAAATCCTATTCAAAAAGGGCGATTTTTAATCGAAAATCAATTTTTTGCATGTTTTTAATAAAAATTTATAATCGTCCCCGCTCTTTTTCTTTTTTTTCTTGAAAATGATAATTATCTCTGGTTTTTCCTGCTTTTTCTAGGCGGTTTTGAGTATAACGTTGTTTATTTTTAAATTTGATTGATTTCAGGCTCCCTCCGCACATTGCTTCCTCAAGAATCTCTGCTAGCCTGCCAAATTTGATGGGCATCAAGCCTTTGCATGACAATAAGGTAAGGAATTCGATTATGCTCTCATTAATTCCATCAGGTATCGGTTAAGCGGCGGCAAAATGAAGACAGCGACCGATGAGCGCCTTCAAATGGTCCCTGCTAGCCTGCCCGTCAGCGTGGCGGAACAAGACGATATTGATGGGCTTGAAGCGAATCTGCAAGTTTTCTATGGGGCAAAAGTTTGTTGGGGTTTTTTGAGTTAATAGTTTGTTATTAACTTTTGGGTAGTTTAGCGTTGTTAAAAAACTAGCTGAAACTGGACCTGAACCTCCTTAAAAAACTTTAAAACTTAAAAATCAGAGTTTAAAAATGGGTGCTCGTTTTGCGCGTTATTTGAGGCGCTTACACTTATATATAAGTTTTTTTAATGCCCGCGTAGAAACTCCGGGGTATTTGAGGCTTTATCATAAAAATGGCAACATAAAGCACCAACGAAGCATAGAAGGCATAAAGCGCAAGAAATAATCGGCGGGTTCTGTACAAATCGAAAAGGGGATTTTTGAATCGAACTCTTGAATTCTAGGATTCTTCTAGAATAACTTTGCTTCTTGCCGCATCCGGTTCTGTTTCCAGGCTGGCAGCGCGTCAAAGTCTTTGGGAGACATGCCGAATTCCTAAACATTTTTTTGTTTGTTTTTCTAGTAAAACACGTGGATTAGGATACTTTTTTAAGCATCTTTATTATTTAGGATACTTGTCGGTTCTGGACTGTTAGCGGGGGGAACCAAATTTTTCCCTGGTATTCTCTACCGCCCTATAACAATTTGATATAATTTTACATAGTTTTTAGATATAAAAACAAACTTTTTGTCAAAAATAGATGAAAAATGACCAAAAAGGACAAAATTTTCGAATTTTCAGATCGACTAAATTTTTTATGACTTCATGGCACTCAAAAACTAATAAAAACCTGATGAAAATACATTATATACCGTCAAAATATAGATACAGGTGGAAAAGCAGAAAGTGGTTTCCCCGGGGTTAAAAATTGCCCCCCCCCCGCTAACAGTCCAGAACCGACTTGGTTATACCGGTTTTGTCAACTGACCTTCCCAAAGTCCTCGTCGTTCAAATATTTATGCAGTCGGCTGAGATCAAGACCGGCCGGCAGGGATTCGCGTTGTCGAAGCTGGGCCGGCGTAAAAGTTCGCCGACGTTCCGATAAACAATCGGCCAATGGGCGGGGTGGGCTTGCCTCTAAAAAGCGTCGTGTAGTTCGTATAGTTTGACGAACCTGGAGTAGTGTTTTCCGCGTCTTCCGGCCAATTATTCCACTCCTGGAAGAGGGCCTTGAACTCGGCCGGCTCGTTGTTCTTCTCCACCACCGTGCATCGCCCCTCGCGACCGTGCCAGTACCTAGAGAATCGAGTCAGACGAGTTTAGGGATCTTGGCTTTTTACCTGGTTGCCGTGTCGAGACAATGGGTCGATGGTGTGCCATCGGACCAAACCCACAGTGCTCCGCCGGCGTCCACCAAGATTGTGTCGCGGAGTTGGGTCTGGATTTTGGATTTTATTGATGGTTTTGATGGTTCTATCGTGTTATCGGGGGTGGGAACACGTTTTTCTAAGGATCCCATTTTTAAATTATAAATAGCGGAAGCGTTTCTAACTATTTTTTACTAGTTCTAAACATAAAACGTGACAAATTTTTATGGAAAAAGACAAAAATATCGATTTTTAGACCAAAAACAGCCGTTTTCACCAAAGTTTTGACTTTTTCAAACCTTTGTAAAGTTTGTAGATATTTTGCTAGTTGAAATATCTTTTTATTTTACTAAAAACATGATTCAAAAATTTTGGCAAGTTTTTTGAAAAAAATAGCAAAGAACTCGATTTTCGTTTTCAAACATCGGTGTTTTCAAAAGTTTTTTAAAGTTTGTAGATGGTTGTTCATTTTGAGATATAGTTTTATTTTCCTAAAAGCACTATAAAAATACTTCCTGTTACGTTTCCAGGCATGTCTAGACCGATGCAAAAAATCCCCCCCGATAATGCGAAAGAACTCGACGGTTGACTTGTGCCGTTTTATCCCCCCTTTGACGACAACTGTAGAACGCACCTGTGCATGTGGGAAGGCGGCAACTGCCGAGGGGTGATACTGATTTGACGTAACTTCATGGCCATCAACATCGTACAGTCTAAATAAACATCGGGCTGGAAAATCGTGTTTTCTTACCTAAACAGCCTTGGTGCCCGTGTCCTGCCCTTCGCGATCACCCATTCGTACCTCGGATCGTCTCCCTGTAGGAGTGAGGCGGGCTGTAAACGAGGAATTTGATCAAGGAGATGCGCTTGTTGAATTTTTGGCGCTATTGCGGTTTGTTGGCCCCACTTATATCGGGCCAAAACTGATTGTTTCCGGGCTAGTTTTTGCGCTGATTACGAAAAACACTACCGCAGTTCGTAAAAATTGCGTTAGTAAAAATTATAGATACATATATACGTTTTTATACCAATTTATACCGGTTCACGGTACTCGCCCAAAAAGGCAGTTTGTGTGATAAAGTCGGTAAATAATTACCAGAAAGGGTTTTTAGGTAAAAACGGTTGCAATGAACTAATCTTTTTGGAAAAGTTTTTCCACTAGGGTACAGGCCTCTCAATTCAAATCTAGTTACCCCGTGCAAACCCAAACCTAAAATAAAAAAAATGTAGTTTTTTCCCTGGAAAACAGAACTTTCGCGATTCGGGATGTGGTTTTTCGTAATCAGCGCAAAAAACTAGCCCGGAAACAATCAGTTTTGGCCCGATATAAGTGGGGCCAGCAAACCGCAATAGCGCCGAATTTTTTAAGAAGCAGAAGAGTATTTTCTATACCTTGCCCTCTGTGCACAACCCATCCATCGACAACAGTTCGGCCATTCTCAGCCCGTTTGCGACGTGAACCTCTTGACAATGCGCGCCGACGTGCAGAAGGGCGGGTTGGCCTTCTGAAACGGATCGATAATTTTGTACTCATGATGCGCGTTTTGTAAGTTGTTGTACGTGCGGCCTTTTTTGTAACTTTTCGCTTGTTATAACCAGTACAAACCCTTGGCTTCCAAATACACTGCGTGACTCCTCAGCGGCCAAATCTGCGCCAGCTGCTCGAGCGAACACTCCGGCTTCGCGCTGCCGCGAACCACGAAGAAAAGCTCTTTCTGAAAGAACGTAGCTTTGTGGGAGCTGGATAGACGCGTGAATTTGCAAATGCTGACCGTGATTTTTGTGTTTTTCGAGGTTTTTGCCGATCTAGCTGTTTTAATTATCAAAATCGGCGCGATGGATGAATTGAGTGATGTAGCGGACATTACGACATGTAATTCACGCTCTCTCAAATTTGGGGGTTTTTTGCAATTTCAAGGTGTTTTTCCAAGATTCAAAAGCGCCAATTTGCAATTTCGACACAATTTTGACTTCCCAGCCCTAGTAAGACGCGCTCTTCTTTGACTCGCTCACCTGTTCAGGTTGTCGTATCACAAGATTTCCGGAAAACAGCTCGAGAAAAACGGGCAGCTCGGCCCCTTGTTCCTGCCGAACATGCGGCATGTTGTGCGCCATGTAGGACAGCTTCAGGGCGCACAGACCTGAAGGAATCCGTTGGTGGATCCGGGATTTCCGCAAGGATCTCTGCTAGCCATCTCGAAAACCAGGACCAACCCTGCTGTTTTGGTGTCGTCTCGCGGCCGAGCCAATAGAAATAGGCCAGTCGCTCCCTGCCCGTCTCCCTCTCGACCTCCTCGCCGTTGTTGAGCCGGCGAATTCCTGACATTGGGATTAGACAGGAATTTAATTTATTTAAATTTTTTAGGAATTGTAGTGACGTTAAACGGCAGAACAGAAGGACTATAGAATTTGTCGCGCGTTTCGTCTGGTAATGCTGTTACCAGCTGTTAGCGGGGCGGGGGTGGTAACAGGGGAAAGCACTATTTATTTCCTCCTTTTGATAATACATAATGTATTTTTATAGCGTTTGAGTAGTTTTTGATTGCTGGAAAGCTAAGAAAAAACATTTTGAGTTTTGAAAATTCAAAATATTGAACGTTTTTTTGGTCATTTTTAGACATTTTTGACCAAAAAGTTTCAAATTTTTATGAGCGTTTTATCTCCAAAAACTGTAGAATCCTATGAAAATGGTTTATATTTTGTGGTTAAGCAATTACGGGGAAAATTTGGTCCCCCCCCCCCCCCCCCGTTAACGCCAAAGGACCGTACCGTCATTCCACGATTTTCGTAGCTGTTTAATTTTATCGTGCGGTATAATCAGAGCAGTTTTAACCTCTTCATGACATTTCTATACTCACCTGACAGCTGAATCCGGTACTGCCATCTAACTACATAGCACTGGTCACTCCACAGGACATTCGTTTTTTCTAAAATTTAAGCTCACCCGAGACGGCTTGGACTTACCGATTTCCTCTAGCTCCTCATCTTTTAACCTCCAAAACCGGATGTCTTCGGTGATGACGTCCTGAAATTCTTGGTTGCCGAGAAGTGTGAGTGAGCGGCAAACCTTTGTTTCGCGCTCAAAATCGAAGTTTTCAAGGTTGAGACTTGGTGCTGGGTGCTCGGAGGCGCGTAGCCGTGAAGCCAGAGCTCCCGCTTGGTCTTCGGGATCACGCCGTTGGGGTGTCTAAAGCAGGTTTTTTGTCAGGAGCTGACAAAACTTGCCTAGCGGCTACGTTTAGGGAACGAGGTTTAAAGTAGGGGTCTCGTCCACCCCTTAGCCTCTTGATTCTTGGCAAAAAACGTTCGCCGTCTGCTAACCCCCGCCATTTGGGGGTAAAATGCGTGAATTTGCACGTGATTTTACACACTCTAGCTGCGTTGAGTAACGAAATTGGCCTGGGAATCGGCGGTTTCGAGAAATGCGCCCTGGCGGGCATTACGACATGTAATCCCCTTGTGCGCGAAGTCGATTCTGCCCGAAAATGTCTAGTTTTCTTGGCAACGAACTTTATTGAAGGGCTTTTAGAATTTTAGCCTTGTTCGTTGACTTGTAATCCATATTTTCGGTCCGGCGTCCGGTCACTACCCCGAAAAGTCACTACCCCGAAATCGTTTACCCCGAAAAATGATAGCATTGTTTTTCCCGGAAAAATCCAGTTTTCATGCGGTTTTCCTATGAAAATCATGCAAATTATTTCGGGGTAGTGACTTTTCGGGGTAGTGACTGTACCCCTTTCGGTCCACCAACACGGCAATTTTTACTTACGAGCGTCTTTAAAGGACTGGTAAAGTCAAAAATTTCTTAAGACTCACCAAGCAAGCATATTTATCGACCACCACCGGTGTTCGCATCATGTGCTTCAGCTCGCTGGACTGCCAGTCCCAGAATTTCGACGAGAAGAGGATGTCTTGGATGCCCTGGGAATGAGAATCCGATTCTTTCGCATTATCGGGGGGGTTTATCGGGGGTGGAGGCGAAATTTTTCGTATCCGTCTAAAAATGTCTAGTATTTTAATCGGAAGTGTTTAATAGATAAAATAAATATATTTCTACTAGAAAAACTATCTAAAAACTTGCCAAAAATTTTGAAAGGCGAAACCTCGGTCAGCCATTACCCATTTTTAGTCAAAAAATCGCGATTTTTACTAGTTTTTAATCTACAATTTATAATGTTTCCACTTTTAGGAACAGTATAAAACCGTTGCGAACCATCTTCACGATTTATATTTGAAAAATCAGATCTTCAACAAAAAAATCGGTTGCCTCCCCCGCGATAAAAGAACAATTGAATCAGATTTTGGAGATTTTCATAAAGAACCAGATTTTCGCCTGTCGGGATTTTGGCCTAAATTCGCTCCAAAAATAACCTGATGAAGGTGTCGTAGAATCGTCCAATTCGGTCGCTCCACTCGCATCTCACACCCAAACATCGCCTCCTGGCAGCTGAACCCGTTTTTGGCCTGAAAATGGTTGAGGAAAGGATGGTTCTATTTTTCTTCGACTCACCAATTTCTTCGCATACTCCTTGGCGTAGTTTCCATTCGTCTTCCTCGCGTCCCTTCCACTCCACACGTAAATCTCGGACCCAAAGTCGAAGATTAGGGTCTAAAATTGATTTTTTTAAGATAGCCCGATTTTCTGACCTCTTTTGGTTGTAACATCCGGAATCTTGGCCGCTCGCCCTTGGCTACCGTAGTAACACGATAGTCATCCGTTACGCGGAGTACGAGGTTCACCTCGGAGGAGAGCTTCTCGAATGCTTCCGCGGGGCGGAGGTACGCTTCATTTGGGGATCCGCCTGAATTTTGTGGATCTTTTTGCATGGTTGTGAGCCGCGCAGCGGGAGGGATTCTTTAGGAAAAGGCAGGCTAGCAGAGATTCTTTAGTAAAGGGCAGGCTAGCAGAGATTCTTTAGGAAAGGGCTGGCTAGCAGAGATTCTTTAGGAAAGGGCAGGCTAGCAGAGATTCTTTAGGAAAGGGCAGGCTAGCAGAGATTCTTCAAAATGGGCATGGCATCAAGCTGTTCTAGCTCCTTTAAAAAATCCGCAAACTTACCTCCAAGCACTTTGAAAAAAGCCGGCGCATCGCCCTCGTACGTTTCTGCCGACTTGGCCGCGCAGAAAAGGTCTTTCTTCTGCAGGATCTCCTTCGATATTTGGACGGCCTGCAAGGTCAGACCTGCCTTTAACCTGGCACATACCTTGTTCTTTTCGATGATATTACTGTAGGCGCCGTTGTAGGCGAGCAACCGATTGGGGCTGACCACCAGAAAGGCAGCATGTTGGTGTACGGAGGAGGCCTTTGGACAGACAAGTCGCACGTCCATCAGCTTTTCGCCTACAAAAGAAGGCTTAACGTAAGTGGAGATTTTTAGGAAGGGTTAGGGTAGCAGAGATTCTTTAGGAAAAGGCAGGCTAGCAGAGATTCTTTATGAAAGGGCAGCCAAGCAGAGATTCTTTAGGAAAGGGCAGGCTAGCGGAGATTCTTAAGGGTAGGGCATACCAAAAGAGATAGGTACCGATTGACTAACCCATAATCCGAATGAGCATCAGATCCGGAAACGGTGACGTCGGGTCGGCCTGTTTCAGCGCCGACTTGGCGAGGTCGAAGTTTTCGATGGACTAATTAAAAGAATATTGGAAACACCAAACCTTTTGCTTACCTGCAGCCCCCGCCTGGCACTCGTTGCGATCGGCTGATCCCTATCGTCGTCGAGAATCTTCTCGATAATGAGGTGATCTCTCGCGTCCTCTTCGCAAAACACTGGTTCGGCTTCGATGGCTTGAAGCCGTTCGGCGGCCGCCACTAGGGCCTAAACTTGGGTTTTCTAGGGGCCAGGAAGACAAACCTTTCGAGCACCAGGTCGTCCGGGCCTAGAGACAGGTCGGCGCGGGGTGATTAATCTAAAATTTTTACTTATTGTTGTTTTTTTCCGATAGATATACTTTTGTGAAGCTTTGATGCTATCCAAATCCACATCGGCAACATCTTGATGAGCAGATTCGGTGGTTGTAACAGGCTAAATGTCGTTGTTTACGGATCTGACATCTCCACTCCTACCGTAGCGGTCGCCGCGAAAAAGTTGCCCAGCCCCGAATCGAGGTTGTAGATGGTGTTCGCCTTGGATGGGGCGGCGGTCTGCAATCGGGTTTGGACGATTTTTTGCAAATTCTCTCTGCTAGCATGTCCATAGTTTGTGGGAATTTGCTGAGGGTGTCTCTGCTAGCTTGCCTTGAGCTTTTATGAGGTCTTTCCTTCTCAAAAGGCCGTTGTCACTTTCTCAAATGGTCTCTGCTAGCCTACCGTGTGCGTTTGTCAGTTTCCCAGATTGTCTGTGCTAGTCTGCCTTCTGCGATAGTCAGTTTTTCAAATGGCCTTTGCTAGCCTACCTTGTGTTTTGGCAGTTTCCGAAATGCTCTCTGCTAGCCTGCCTTTTTAGTCACTTTCTCAAGGGGTCTTTGCTAGACTACATTTTTAGCCAGTCTCTCAAACTGGCTTTGCTAGCCTACCATGCGCTTTTTGCCAGTTTCTCAAATGGTCCATACTAGCCTACCTTTTGGTCAGTTTCTCAAATGGTCTCGGCTAGCCTTCCTTTTTAGTCAGTTTCTCAAATAGGTGTTGCTAGCCTTCCTTTTTAGTCACTTTCTCAAATGGTCTTTGCTAGCCTGCCCTGTGCTTTTGTCGGTCTCCTAGAGGATCGTTGCTAGTCTACCTTGTGCTCTTGTCAGTTTCTCAAATGGTCTTTGCTAGCTTGCCTGTTTAGTCAGTTTCTCAAATGGTCTTTGCTAGCCTACCTTTTTTTGTAACTTTCTCAAATGGTCTCGGCTAGCCTTCCTCTTTTAGTCAGTATCTCAAATAGCCTCTGCTAGCCTACCTTGTGCTCTTGTCAGTTTCTCAAATGGTCTTTGCTATTCTTTCCCAAATTTCAGGTCTTACCGCCTGGGGATGAATATTTTGGAAAAGATCCAATTTCGCCGATTTCCGGGGGCTAGACTTGGAGGGCGGATCGTCCTTCCGCACACGGTGACGCCAGTCTTCTTGTGACTAAAATGGACCTATTCGTCAAGTTTTCGGGCCTAATTATGAGCTCGTGCTCAATGCTTGCTAGCTAGACCCACATTGCCCAGCTTGGCCATCAGGTTCTTGATGTCGGTTTTGGGCTTGGGCTCCGGCGTCTGGTTCTCGTTACGGGAGCGCCATCTAAACACGACTTGTCTCTTAAAATCTTAAAGGGACTGGCAAGGCGCGGTTGATCATTTTGGTTCTGGACTGTTAGCGGGGGGTGATTTTTAACAGGGGAAGCCACTTTTTGCTTGAAGCCTACTGATAATATATAATGTATTTTTAGCGCGTTTTTCATAGTTTTTGACGGCTAGAAAATGCTAAAAACTTCTTTTAAAATTTTGAAAATTCAAAATTTTGACGTTTTTGGTCAGTTTCATAAAGTTTTAACCAAAAAGTCAAAAATTTTCGAGAATTTGTATGATTTTTTATAAGCTCTTTATAGCTAAATAGGGAAAAATTGCTCCCTCCCCCGTTAATTTTTTTGTCCCTTTTAAAACCTACTTGTCCTGACTATCCGTCAGCTTGCCCAACCGCTCGGCTAAGGACAGTCGGTTGGCCATTAGAACATCTGCAAAGCAAAATCGGCGTATTTTTAATATTTTTAAGATACCCACGCTATAGAAAGTGAGAGAAAATGATCTTTGATACGTTTCAGTCTCTAAAAATAGCCTTTAAAGATTTTAAGACTTTTAAAAGTTTAAATACAGTAGCTGGTTCTTTCGCATTATCGGGGGGGGGTGTGTTGTGTTTTTAGTAAAAAATAACTAGATTTAAACCAGAAAAACTATCTAAAACGCTTTGTAAAGTCGACATTTCGGTCAAAAATAAGCCACGTTTGGTCTAAAAATTTTTAAGTCACATTTGTGGTCGTAAAATCGATATTTTTTGGCATTTCTTAAGGAAGTTTTGTTTAGTTTTCATGTTTAGGTAGCGTAAAAAATTATTTAGAAATACTTCCGCTATTGATTTTTAAAAAATTAGGCCCGGAAAAAAGTTGGTCCCCCTGATAACGCAAAAGAACCTTTTTTTACTGATTGTTATAATCTTTAAAAGCCAGCTGTAATGTATCTAATTGGCACTGGAAATGTGAGCGTCCGTGTGCTGGAGGGGGGAAGTGGATGACCTTGATGATGGGGGGAATTATCGAGGCTTTTTCTATCACATACACACACCCTGTCACACAACGGCTGATTGCTCCCCTAACGAGCCGGGGTTGCCTGTCTTTTTATAGGTGTTGATTGGATGGGGGTGGAATCGCTGGTGGAGACTTCCTAAAAAATCCCTGCCAGCCTGCCCTTTCCTGAAGGATCTCTGCTAGCCTGCCCTTTCCTCAGACATGGCAAACGGCCGGGCCGCCGGCTTTTTTCGGCCGGAAAAATTAGAATGCGGCCGAGCCGCGCGGCTGGGCCGGAGCTTCCGGTCCGGCCCCGGCTTTTTCATGTTTTGAGGCCGGAGCCCCGGCCAAGCCGCCGGCTTTTGAAAAGCCGGAAAGCCGGACCCAAATGAGATTTTCGCGTTTCCGGTACGCAAATTGCGGATTCAATCAATAATTAGCTTTATGGTAAGAGAAAAATCACTCCACCATAGAAATTTGGGCATTTCCATTCCCAATTTTGCATAGGATTCACGTATTCTCACGTAATTGAACAACTTCCGGTTTCCCGGCTCGGCCGGACCGGCTTGGCCGGGCCGCAACCAAAAGCCGGCTGGGCCGGGAAGCCGGGTTTCCGGAAGTAAGTCATTAACGCGGCTCGTATGGGGCCGGGTTTTTATGGAAATTGGGCCGGCGGCTCGGCCGTGCGGCTAGGCCGGCCGGGATTGCCATGTCTGCCTTTCCTAAAGAATCTCTGCTAGCTGCCTTTTCCTAAAGAACCTCTGCTAGCCTGCCCCTCCTAAAGAATCTCTGCAAGCCTGCCCTTTTCTAAAAAATCACTGCCAGCATGCTGTCACCTAAAACGCTCTGCAAACTCTCAATTTCCTAAAGGATCCCTGCTAGTCTGACCAGTGAGAAAGAGAGCGAGAGAGAGAGAGAGAGAGTGTGAGAGAGAGCGAGAAACTGCCGATCTGTTTCCAACATTTTAACCGAATCGATATTCCAAGCGCTGGTGGGGGTGGAGCATTTCTCAATTCCGCAGTGCTGGGGGGTGGAGATCGGGCCAAAACAAAGGATGATTATTCCAAAATATGGCCGACGAATGGCCATCCCCCCCCCCCCCCGATGGCCCGCTGAATACGAAAAATGGCCAGAAAAGGGCAGCGGTGGCATTGACGAGGCCGGGGATTAAAAATGGGACCCCCAAAAATCTCGCAGTAGGTGCCGATAAACGAGAATTTTTATGGATTTTATTTTTTTGTCGAAGGAGGGTTGGGAAATCCAAATAGAATTTTTATTTTTTTGATCTGGGCTTACGACAATTGGGAGAAAGTAGAAAGAAGGAGAAGATTTCCACATCCGGAACGCCAGCCGGCAAACCTAATAGATTGCATTGCGTAATCGGTGCCCCTGGTGCCTACGTTCTATTCGCATTTGTTTGTTACTGCAGAGATTCTTTAGGAAAAGGCAGGCTAGCAGAGATTCTTTAGGAAAGGGCAGGCTAGCAGAGATTCTTTAAGGAAAGGGCAGGCTAGCAGAGATTCTTTAGGAAAGGGCAGGCTAGCAGAGATTCTTTAGGAAAGGGCAGGCTAGCAGAGATTCTTTAGGAAAGGGCAGTCTAGCAGAGATTCTTTAGGAAAGGGCAGACAAGCAGGGATTCTTTGGGAAAGGGGCAGGCTAGCAGAGATTCTTTGGGAAAGGGCAGGCAGATCTAGTTATTGAATCCATTGGAACCTCGCGAAAAACCAGTGCACCTACACCAAACAATCTGGCAACAATCGAAAAGTGAACAAAAGCCCTTATCAATCGGCCCGGCGCCAAAACACGACACTCCAGTCCCGGAATTGGAGGGTGTGTTCGAATGTGGAGGGAGGGAGAGAGAAGAGAGAGAGAGAGAGAGAGAGAGAGAGAGAGAGAGAGAGAGAGAGAGACAGGGAGTGAGAGTAACTAGAGATTCGCATGGAGAGAAGGCGACCAGCCGTTTTTGGGGGGTCAGTCAGCGGGGCGGATGGGGGCGAAGGCGGGAAAAAATGGGGCTCGGAGAGTATGTCGAATGGGGGATGGACTGGTTCAGCTGGAGAGGAGAGTAGAGCGAGGACACATTTTCCGTTTGGCACCTTTTTTAAAGGGGCAGTGACAGGAAGAGGTTTGGTTTGAATTAGGGAAGAAGCGTAAAGTTGCGTCCTCTCTGGGCTAATAATTCTAGTGGATTTCATGTTATCAGTTTTGGGAGATTACGACGGTTGAGGCTAACAAGGGAAGGTTGTTTGGGTCAGGTGTCAAACCTTTCTGAAAATTGGCCATTGGATAGAAAATTGAAAACGGAACAAGGTGAGCTAAGTCGTTTTCTGCACAATACCCCTAATTAAAAAGTTATAAGCATTTTAAGTTTGTGGTCTAAAAATGAGTTCTGCGCAGGCTTTTGAACCGATACCGCACCGTTTCCACATTTCCACACCTGACCCAAACACCTTCCCTTGTTAGACTTGGGTTTCGCGAACCCTATTTTCCAATATAGGCGAACCCTATATTGGATCTGCAGAGAGCGTGAGAGCATTGAAGAGTACACGACACTACAATAGCCGCCGGTTACGGTCGGACGCCCTTTGCGACATAGGGCTTTGTCGGATTGTGGGGTGGGATAATGCAATGGCTAGACTGGAAAGCCTCGATTTCGGGTTAAAAACAAATAGCAAAATATCGATATCAATTTCCACCATTTATCCCGAAAAATAAATGATAAAATCAAAACAGATTTATTTATATCTAGAAAAGGTTGTTTCGCATTATCGGGGGCAACCAACGTTTTTCTTAGGACCCAATTTTTCAGATATAAATAGTGGAAACGTTTTTTAAATGTTTTTTTACTGTTTCTAAACATGAAAACTTTACAAAATTTTATTAAAATGTTGCAAATATCGATTTTTCGACCAATGCCCGATAATGCAAAAGAACCCAAGAAGATCTCTAATTATCTAAATCACTAAAGATTCAAAAATCTTGAACCAAATTTGGGCCGATCGGGGGAGGAACGGCTTTCGGAACCGTCGACGCGTGCTAGATTTGGGCGGAGATAAGATCAGAAGAAAGTGAGAATTAATTCGACTCGTCCCTCCCCCCCCATCCGGCGCTTATCTCGGCGCCGAGAGAATAAACAATGCATACAGCGAGAATAGTGCAGAAACAAAACAAAGGGCCTGCACGATTTATGTATTTATATTTATGTATCCGAAATTAATGGATTGAGGTTAAGCTACTTGCTTCTTAGCTTAAGCCTAGGCTTAACTTAGCTTTAACTATGCTTAGCTTAGGCTTGGGCTTAAGCCCCAGTTAGCTTTTCGTAAGCCGAAATTGGCTTATGAGGTAAACATGGGGTCATTTAGGGCTTGGCTTGGCGCTAAGCTTCGCTTGGCTCAGGTTAAGCTTCGGCTTCGTTGGAAAGTTAATCCCTAGGCTTAAGCTTAGCTTCGTTTTTCCAGAGGCTTAGAGTTTGAAAAACCGCGTTTAAAAGCATGTTAGAAATTTCAGCCGCTCCGAGATTAATAGTCCTCGAAAAATTCAGCGAAAACAAGAAAAAGCCCCAAAATTTGGAAGCACACACCCTAAAATCCGCCCGAAACATTATGTTTCCGGTTCGCGGCTGTCCAACGGGCTATCTGGCATGTAAAATCGGGGGGGCAGCTGGAGAGCCGTCTCTCTCTCTCTCTCTCTCTCTCTCTCTCTCTTCCCTAGCCGCTTCTTACCCCCTTAAAGAGACACCATTTAGGCAAACATAAACAGACGATGGAGGGGGAAAGACACAGAGCAACCCTCATGAAAGCACACCAATCCGGACCCTTCGCCCCGGTGGGCGATACCAGCCTCTTATCTGATGCTGGGGTACAGGCTTTAGCTGCTCTAAAGCTTTGCGGACATCAAAATTGGGTTGGGATGGTTCTTTTTAAAGGATCGGACAAGGCATTGCTATGGCTTGCTGTGCCGGTTCTTTTGCGTTATCGGGGGGAGAAAAATTTTTGCATATGTCTCGAAATGCCGAATAACTTTATAGCAAGTATTAAAATAATGTTTTTGTAGAATAAAACTAGATTTTAGCCAGAAAACTTAGCCATAAGCTTCGAAAAATTTTTAAAAATTTGACATTTTGGTCAAAAAACTGCCATTTTTGGTGGAAAATCACAAAAATTTTTGTATTGTTTATAGCGATTTACGTTTTATGTTTAGGAATAGTAAAAAACAGTTTAGAAACCCTTCCGAAATTAATATTTTAAAAAATTGGGTCCGAAGAAACACCCTCCCCCCCCCGCGTTGATACCAAAGAACCCTGCACGAGCGCGGCGAAATACCTAGGAAATCGATGACCAGAAAATTCAGGAAAATAAGCTAACCGAGTTCGAAACTAGTAGCCCTTCCTAAAAATATCAGAGAAAATGAGCTGTAGTAAATTCTGCTGGCGAAAAATTCCCCGGGACCGCCCGCCCGCAATACAGCAAAATGTTTATTTGATGGGCGGGGCTGCTGGCCGGGCGCAAAAAAAGTGACCGGCCGAAAGAACAATAACATAACGCCCCCGCAACGGAAATGTTATTGCGCCAAAAAAATTAATTGAAAAAGCGGGCTGGGAATATTTCAATTAAGTCCTGAAGCTGCCGCTAGCCTGTGGAAAAGGATTATTGTCATAATGCCGAATTTTCACAAAGTGGAATTTTTATAAAACCGAATGTAACGCCAAATTTTCATAAGGCCGAATCCGGTTTATACATGCTCACGGGACTGTTCGACCAAGCTTTGACCAGTAAACTCATATTTTTTTCCTCCAGTCATAGTTTTAGCAGGAAAACGATAACGTGTTTTATAGCATTCTTACTTAAAATTTAGATCCTTACTAAAATTGAAAAGTTTTAATATTGTAAATATTTTTATTATTATGTATATTCGAATAAGGCTAAAATTTTAAAATTAGCGTTTACTAGCGAAAACTTTCCCGAGCACATATTAGCATACATAAACCGAATTCGGCATTATGAAAATTTGCCGTTATAAAAATTCGGCGTTGCGACGATTTGGGGTTATAAAAATTCGGCATTATAACAAGCGCTATACAAACACATATCTTTTTTTTATAATAAAAAAACTGGGCTTATGAAAATTCGGCGTTCGACAGATTCCGCGTCCTATAAATTCGGCATTATCAAATTATGCTAAAAAGTTCGGCATTATAAAAATTACGCTCGAAAATTCGGCGTTATGAAATTACGCCATAAAATTCGGCGTTATAAAAATTCGTTATTATGAAACTCGGCATTATTACGGTACAAATCGTATAAAAACACGTGGTCATTTGTCTTCTCGCGTGATGGCCAAAACCGGGCTGTTGTTTAGGTGGGGGGCGAAAGGAAATGGGGGGAAGAGGGGCGTGAAAACGGTCTGTTTGGTATCGGGAAGAAGAAGAAGAAGAAGCCCGGCCAAGAAAGACCGGCCATTGTAGCCATCCTAGCGGGAAGTGGCGGGGCCAGACGTGGGCCCCAAGTTGGGCCCTAACACCTGAGATTTAGTGCGAAAGTTTTGGTTTTCAAATTACGTAGTAGAAGAAAAAACTATAAACTTGTTTTATGATATTCTGCGCTCTTTTTAAAGTAAAAAAACAGCTTTTTAAAATTAAAATCTGGATGGAATATGCGTAAAAAGCTACCAAAAAGGGTCAAAAACTTCAAATTTCGAGGACTTACTATTATTTTATTTACTGTTATTTCTATGTAATTTTTAAAATTAGCACTACAACTTTTTTGTTTAACATTCTATGCCATTTTTTAGCCTAAAACAAGCTTTCAAAGATCAAATACATGAGGGGCGACCTAAAAAAGATCAAAAATTACTCTTTTTTTAGGATTTTCTGAAAGCCTTCTTTGAATTTTTAGCAGTCAAAACCTACTAAAAGCACCATGAAATAGCCGCTATTTTATTACTAGGAATTATTCGTCTTAAAAGCAAGAAGCGACAAGCTCGAAGCCGGAATTTTCGATGAATTTCCGAAATCTCAAAAATCCGTCGTGAATCCCATTATGGAGATGATCTCTCAAAAACTACAAAAAAATGCACGCATTTTGAAGCGTGAGAAATCGTGGAAAAAGTGTGCGTGTGGGGTTGGTAAATGCATCTCGGGGGGAGTGACGCGCACCTTGACACCTCCGATACACCCGATCATCATCGCTCCCTGATGACGTGCAATTCGCTGACGTTTGAAGTTTTCGAGCGCTTTTTGCAAGTCGGAGCCTGAGTTCTCGCGCCGCGACACGCAACGCATGCGCCTATCGACACCTTGGACGAGGCGTAACTGATTACGTAGCCGTATCGCGAACGTATGCGTCACGTTTCACAAGCGCGACACAGACGAAACACCACGGTTTTGCCTTGCCAGCCCCTTTAAAAAGGTTCAACGCGTTGCGCGCCGCAGGTGCGTAAACTACACAAAAATCCTTTGAACGCCGGAACTCCATGCGCCCTGTTCCTCGTTTTTTTTGTCTTTTAGCTATTTCCTCTTTTATTCTCTATCCCTTAGATTTTTTTAGAGATTTATCGAGGAGAAATGCAATTAGAAAATTTTCCAATTTTGTTATTGTGTTTGTGCTTGAAAAATAGGTACATTGTACTTAAAACGCTGTTAAAATACTTACTATTAAGTTATTCGGAATTCCTGGACACATGGGAAAAAATGGGTTTGGCCCCGTTATTCTTATGTTTTCACTTTTTTAAGCTATCAATAAACTCTGCCCGTTCTCTTTTGCCCACATTTTTCTTACAACATCCCACCCTCGTGCCAATTCCCACGTTTGGCCACGCGAATGTTATGTTGGCCCAGCTGGCCCCCCCCCTGCCCCGGTTGCCATCATTCCGACGCACTACACCGCACACCCATACGCCATGCCCTGTACTGCCTATCGATGTGCGGCCTGCCGCCTACGTAAATGCCGCCTCCGGGCAGGCCAAACAGGGCTTCGCCCGGCTTTTCCCGCAAACTTTCCCCCTATTTCCGGCCCATTATGGGGCTTGTATAGCGCGGGAGAAGCTGGGAAGAGCCTTGGCACAACCTGAGGCGGCCCGGGAGGGGCACCCGCCGAAATAATTGAGCCAATAATCTCGCCAAAGTTTCTCGCATCCGGCCCCGGGATGAGATTCGTTAGCCAAAGTTTCGTATCTGTCTGCTCGGAGCGGGTTTTGGCAGAAACATCCTGGAATCTACGGCTTTATTGACTTCGTTATGGCAATGTCTGGGTAAATTTCTACGTCTTTTAGGCTGAGAAATGTCTCGTTTGAGCCAGGTCGCTTGATTTAGTGGCTTTTTGGGCAGCTTTTTGAGCTCCATCCTTGCTAGGAATCGTTATTACCTATATATTCGTGATTATTGGCAATTAATAACTCATTCTTGTAAAAGTCTAGGTCTATTTTTAGAGCGTTGGCACTCATAAATCTCTGGATTGAGCTCAACCACTCACTTTAGCAGCTTTTTAGAACCTATTCATCGCGTAGATTATTCTAGTCTAGAGCCTGGCGTTTTAGATCATAAAGTAATACCAAAATATTAAATCATAAAGGTATTAATAAATTGAATTTCGTATCACGCAGGATCAATTTTTGAGCTTTAACCTTGCTAAAGCTCCAAATTTACTGCTCGAACCGCTCGGTTTAGCAGCTTTTTCCGCTCATTCATCTCATATTTTGTGAAAACCATCCAGAAACGTTTTTGTTCTCCTTTTTGTCATGCTTTGCTGACGTCTTGACTCATCAAAACAAGGCCCTTTTTTCCGAATCCGAATATCTTTACAAGAAGCTTTAAAACTTTCCTTTTTTCCTCTACAACCTACAATCACTCTCATTTCCTCATGGACTTTCACTAATGATTGGCATGATCGGCCCTCCTTTTGCTTCCGTTAATCGCTTGAGCAAATATTCGGCAGAAGAGTAGTTGTCTCCTTCCGGCCTCTCCGTTGAGGCATTCGAAAATTTGTACTCTTCGTGACCGATTTTAGAACTTCAAATTTGCGCAAAACGAGATTTTACAAAGTTTTCGCGAGTTTTTCTTTTCCAGGAGCTTTTACAGGGCTAAAATCCAATTGGGACGGAGTCTTTTTAAAACGCCACACGTTTCTTCGTGTCTTCATTTTCCGCTTTTCTCTCCAACTGTGGCTCCAAGTTGATTATAGTTGTGCTTTTTTGCAGGATGTCCTCTTCAGCAGCGGCATCCAACTCGTCGACACCGGTTGGGGAACCGATGCAAGCGCCGCAGCCTCAGCCAGCCGGCCGGGTAAGCAATCAGGGCTTTCAAAGCAAAAAATCGGGCGTTGTTTCGGTTCAGCGGGTAGTTTATAGGGTAGTTTAACACGCTGAGATCAAAAAAATAACATGCCCAACTTGGTTTAGTCGAAAAATTCGAGCGCCTCGCGTCAAATTACTCTAGAAAGGAGGAAAACCGTAACAGCGTCAAAATTCATGCCAAGAACGCTTTTGCTTGATTTATTTTTGCGAGTGTGCTCTCTCCAGCCCCCGGCTAGTCTTAGGGTGTAAACAATTTTTGGAGCCGGTCTAATCCGCCTCGGGCAAGTCGGTGGACTCACTTTCCAATCGGACAGAGTGCCGAGGATTTTTGATTGAAAATGACATTTTAAGAAATTAATTAAAAAAACGACGATGGTTTTATGGCATTTTCCTTTTCAGGTGTCGTTCCGCGACCTGTGCTGCCTGTTTTGCTGCCCTCCCTTCCCGTCGAGCATCGTCAGCAAGCTGGCTTTCATGCCGCCCGAGCCGTGCTATTCGATCACCGATGACTGCAAGTGAGATTTTTAGATTTTTTGGTACTAAACCTTTAGTTTTTCTAAATTTAAATTATCCTTTTCTACATAGATTTTAATTATTTTTTTTCTAGAATGAGCCTCATCGAGGGGCGAGCCGACTGGCCGCACGAGCAAGAGGAGCTGAAATTGGTTGAGGTATGTTTTTTCTCCTCCAAATTTTCGGATTTGGACTTTTCACTTAAGATAAAACTATTTTTATAGATGTTTACAACAAGGACGAGGCGCAGAAACAAGATCGCGTGCATCTACGTCCGGCCCTGCGGCAACCAGGCCAAGTACACGCTGCTCTTTTCGCCTGGCAACGCCGTCGACCTCGGGCAGATGAGCAGCTTCTACTACGGGCTCGGCTACCGGATCGGCGTCAATGTGTTCAGCTACGATTATTCGGGTGAGATTTGGCGTCCGATCTAAAAAAAATGAATTTCTTTCCAGGCTACGGCTGTTCCACGGGCAAGCCGAGCGAGAAGAACTTGTACGCCGACATCCAGGCGGCATATGAGGCATTGCAGTCAAGGTATTGTAGTTTTAATAGCTTTTTTTGATAGGAAAATAGAAAACGTTATTATAGTCGATCTAAACGGTAAATCACTTTTTAGGGAAACGCATAAAATATAGTTTTTTTCTATTTTAAATTTGACTTTTTCTAAATTTTTGACTTTGAACACCGTTCAAGTTATAAAAACGCTTTTCGTAACATTTCGATCGCAAAATACAAAATTTTCCAGCTGATCTAAACTTTAAAAATACAGTTTTTACTTTTGCAGTTTTTGCAAATTACGAAATTTTGACATTTTTCCAAGTTTTTAGTTTGGCTTTCGGCTTGAAACACGGTTAGAGTTATAAAAACGCTATTCGACTCATTCAGCCCCAAAGTCCCCATAAAATTTGCCCTTTTCCAGATTCGGCGTGCCCGCAGAGAGGATCATCCTCTACGGCCAAAGCATCGGCACCGTCCCATCCGTCGATTTGGCCTCGAAACATCCGAATGTCGCTGCATTGGTCAGTATGATTTTTCTGGCATTGAACGCGTTTTAGCGTGATAGTACGTTATAATAGCAGTACATTCATGAAAAAAAAGTCATTTCGTGTAGCACCCTCTTTTATTTATCAATTTTTCTTTTAAATTATGATCTTTTGCAATTTTGCACACGCGTTGAAAAACCATTCAAATCAATTACTTAAATTAAAATTCGCGGTTGTTATAACGTTGTATTTCAGATTCTGCACTCCCCGCTGATGTCCGGCATGCGAGTGGCGTTCCCCGGCACGCAGCGGACGTGGTGCTGCGATGCGTTCCCTTCTATTGGTTGGGCTGTGTTTTATCCAGATAATTATTTTCATTTTAGAAAAAGTACCGCGCGTCACGTGCCCCACATTAGTCATCCACGGCACCGACGATGAGGTGACGACTTTTATTTTCTGCGCACATCGTTTTTATAGGTGATCGACTTCTCGCACGGCGTCTCCATGTACGAGCGATGCCCGGCGTCGGTCGAGCCGCTTTGGGTACGTTTTTTAGACGAAATGTGCTTTCGCAGTTAAGAGGGAGCTTTTTCTTTAGGACTGAGGTTTTCTGAATCAGAGAAAATGTTTCTAAATTCCTTTTTTTGCGATTCCGAAACAAAACTACAAATTTTGATCGATAAATATTAAAAAAAATAGTGTTTTGACCAATATTTCAAATATTTACGCTTTTTCTGAGTTTGTTTTTGAGAGCTCGAACTCTAGCTAGGTTTTACTTATACTATTTACAATTTAAACATAAAAAGCAACCCTTTTAAAATATGCTATTTATAACTCTATTTGACGTATCTCGCTCTAGAAATCCCTTCGATTTCCGCGGGAATCCAAAGAACCACATTGTTACCTGTTTGTCTAGAAACGTAACTCGCTCCCACCGCACCATTTCTTGTGGATAAAATTATTTCCAGGTTGCCGGTGCTGGACACAACGACGTCGAGCTGCACGGCGCCTACCTCGACCGTCTGCGTCAATTCATCGAGACTGAAGCGGGCAAGCAGCCGGCCACCACGCAGACCATCCAACAAAATAGGTAATATAGAGGAGTTTTTCGGCGTTTTTTCGGGAAGTAGGCGGCAGTTGGTGTCTTTTAGAGAGGCCGTTGGTGACGCGGAGACGAGTTACCAAAGTGGCTTTATCACGGCCGAGCGGCAAACATTCAGTGAATTGTATCTGTTACCGATGAGAAAGTAGTCTGTAAGAATTACGACGTTATCATCAATTTTTCCCTCTGTTCGTCTAATCGTGAGAAAATTATGCAAATTTTATTACGAAAAAGCGTCGTTTTAAGTAAAAAAAAACGTTGATCAGTGAAATTCGTGTCGTGTCGCCGTTTCAAGCCCCTCTGGCCCGCTACGTAAAACGGATCTTTCGCATTATCGGGGGGTAAACTTTGCCTGAAATCGAATCCGCTATTAAAAATAACGTACCCTAAAACCTCGTGTATAGGTCCTCCCCGTGTATAGTTCCGGGTGAAAATTTTCACGTGTACGGAGCGTCCGTAATTCCGTATGAACGTCATTAGGTGTGTTTCGTTTTTCGGTTTCTTGCAAATAACGCCGCTCACGAATGGTATTTTTGCAATTTTGATGGAATATTTGTTCGTATTTCGACTATTTCCAACAATTTGAGTGGTTTAATGAAAGAAATTGCTGCATGAGGCCCTGAGAACCGGCTCTTTTGGCTTACATAACTTTTGCGCCGGATTGTACCCTACGCACATTATTTGGTGTCATTTGTATTCGTACGGAATGAAATTGTACCGGACCTATACACGAGGTTTTAGGGTAATAGCTCTATAACGCTGTTTTTAATCCCCTAAAATCCAAATTTTTAGAGTTTTTAGTTGAAAAATGCTAAAATCTCGTTTTTCAGACCAAATTTATCGTTTTAAAAGTTTATAATTGTTTTTTCTTCTGCGTATAGTTTCTACGTACTCTATCGGCTTGAAAGATAGCTAACTCCTCCCTCCACGATCATGCGAAAGAAGCTATAAATCTAGGTGAAACCTCGGCTTTTTCACCGTCTACCCCTCATTGTCGGGATTTTGTGTTTGGTTATCAAAATCATCTTTTCTTCCAGCACCACCAACCACACACGGGCCAGCGAGTCGGCCCGGACCGCGTAGTACGTCTACGTCTCGACCCCGCCAAGCAGCCCCACATATCGATGGACGGACGAGCTTTGGACGCGAAGAAACAGTATTGATTCCGGGCCGCGTTAAGGTATCTTCCCCCCACTTTTAACAAATTCGTTTTCACCCCAAATAACCCATTTCCCCCATTCCACCTCGGTTTTTTGGGTACTGGACTGTTAGCGGGGGGTGGGGCTTTTTGTATTTCACATAGTATTTTTATAATGTTTTTAGTAGTTTTTGATTTCTAGAAAGTTATAAAAAATTTGAAAATTCGAAAATTGACCTTTTTTAGGGTCGTTTTCATACATTTTTGACCAAAAATTCAAGATTTTTCGAAAATTTTTATTTTTTTATAACCTTTTCGATCTAAAAACTATGATAAGCGCTATAAAAAAAGTTTATATTTCGTTATAAGGCCGTACGGGATTATTGGGAACGCCCCCCTCCCCCCGCTAACAGTCCAGAACCGTTTCTCGTTCGAAACCAACCTCCCCCTGAAATCCTCTGGTACGATTGACTTTACACAGTGTGCAATTGTCGGCGCGCGAGCCCCCCAAAGAACATTCCCCCGCTTCACCCCAGCATCGCCCAAATCTTCCCAACGATTCATTTCATTTCGTCTCTCTATGCCCATCGTGTTTCTCAAATTCTATATATTGTATTTGCTATACATACATCTGTTGTTTTTGTAACGAGATTATTATGTGCATAATACGGATATCGCCCACCCCCCGCGACGGCTGATGGATGAGTATACTACAAAGATTTGTAACGGAGGGATTGCCAGTAGAAGGTGTCCCCAATCCCCAGATTCCCCCCTAGCCGCCTGGAAAAATGTCCAATTTGTATGATTTAGGTGTCAAATTCAAGCTGCTGATCGATAAGCCGGGGATGTGTATCTCCCCTATTTTGAAATTTTCAGTTGTTGGGCTTTACGAAAATTTTTTGCGAAGTTTGCTAAATGCAGATGTTTTTTTGATGAAACGGTCTTTTAAAAACACTAAATTCTTTTATAAATCTAAATTCTAGCTTTGTTTCTTTGAAATTTCTATAGTTTGTACATCTTCTGGCGTCTCTAGGCCAGTTTTTCTAGAAAAGCGACTGGCTGGCATTCAAATAGGGTTTTTTGAAGGGTTGGCCGTTTTTTTGCTTTGTGTCAAAACCATCGAAAAATTTTCAAAAAATTGCAAAACTTCGAAAACGCGGAAGTTCCAAATCCAAACAAATTTCCAAATTTCGCGGTATTTTTTTGGCATCCTTACGTTTTTGAAGCAAACACGCGTTGTTATGGGTTTTTTTATTTAGAAGAACCGTTTTCGTTGCTTTTTGAAAGCTATCTAGATTTTTTCTAAACTGAAAAATTTCGAAAACCCGTAATCACATAATCATCGTCTCGTCGAGAGCTTTCGTTTGATACCTAAATCATGAAAATTGGACACTTTTCCAGGCTTCTAAAGGGTTTTTTGACGCCCTTCAAGCATCACGCCCCCGGGAGATTACACCACGTTCGACGTCTTCTTTCACTCCTATTCCCAACATTGATGCCACTATCACGAAATAATGTCTACGAGTGTCCTGCTGCCCTATTCCCCCCGATTACCCCAAAATCCTCAACCCACCTGATGTGTACATTTATTTAGTATAGTCGGTGCTCGGTATTTTACACTTGACAAATTGCCCTCGTCGGCCCCTCCCCTCACATTCAAAACATCCCCTCCCCGTCTCTATCGCCTCTCCCCCTCCACCTATTCTCACCTTGCTCGATTTCTGTCAATGTGATAAGTACATTGCGTCTATTTTTGTTTCCGGATTGACAATAAACATTTCTGAAAAAAAGTTGGCGCATGCTTTTGCGTATTCGTGTCGTTTTCTGGCTTTCTATCTGATAGAAAAAGTTAGATATGGTTTTTAGATCAATTTGGATTCATTTGCCCACTATTTCTAGCTATGTTGAACATCAAAACTAGAAATTAAACTATCTTTAGGTCGAAAAATCAATCCTTTTGCCCCCAATGACCAAATTCCGTTGCATTAAAACATTTCTATAACGTTTTTTGAAAAATGTTATGCTCTGAATATAGTCAAAACTTAATAAAAACTATATACCAGCTTTTTATTTGATTACTAGTCCAGCGGGGACCCGTAGCAAAAAGTTACTCCCCGCGAATTCTCAGGAAAGTGAAAATCTCAGAGAAGGAGCTCTTTTTGTCTGTGATACGAATTGAATTTTCATTCTTTTGATAGGATACATCATCATCGGAAACTACGATTCATGCGAACTACATTATAACTTTCTCTATTTCCTATTTATTTCTATAACTAAATAGCAAAATGCGCCAAAAAATGGGATTTCCGTTCTTTATCAAACAGATTTTTCGTCTTTTTTCATTAACTTGTCTCCACGGCTTCATACATTCCCTGATTTAGCTCGGCGCCAAGATGAAGCCGATGTTCAGTGATTTGCTGGATCGCGCCGACCGCCTCTCGGCCACGAATTCGTTCACCAGCCGCTTCTTCAGCGCCACCAAGTCGGCAGACGCCTCCTCGGTAACGCTTTAAAATATCGATTTTCATTATTATTTTTTTTCCAGGGCCAACCCGCTTACAACGTCGACCACCAGATGGGCGTCAACCTGACCGAGATCTTCCGCGCCAGCGAGAATTTGGTGAAGCGGCGAACGGACGAGCCTTCGGATAAGGTCTTGTTTTGTTTGTTTTCGTTGAAATATCCTTTTGTCATTTTAGAATCGTTTCCTGTTCGGCAAGCACGGCATCGTCTTCGCGGGCGCTCCAAAATTGACTCAACGCGCACCGATCAACATTCCAGCCGCAACGCCGCAAGGTAAATCTCCAATCTCTTAGGATACAATTCCCTTTTTTAGATGACGAAGTGGTGGACGAGCTGGCTGAACGTGTCCGTCTCGAAGCCGAGCGCGCCTTCTTCAATCAAGTGTTGCTCAATCGGCCCCATCCTTCCGTGCATGGGATTCGACTAAACTCGGTGTGTTTTGATCCCTTATTTGATGTCTTTTCTTGAAACTGGCTGACAGTCGGAAACTATCGGTGTGCGTTCATTTCGCCGACGATCCTTTTTGCGGACGCTTGTTCGTCAAAATGCGAATGTTGCGTCAAAATAGCAACGCTTTTTATCGTAAAGCACGTTTGAGCTAAGGAATCATAACACAAGCGAATATTATAAAAATTCAAGGGGCCGAGATGCAGTTTGTCGAATAAAGAAGTGTTGCTGTTTTAGCTCAAAAACGGCTAATAGAAAATCGGCGAAATGAACGGAAATTGGCAACTATCAAATTCCCAAGCTTTGATTGTCTATATTTTTTAATTTCAGACGTTCGGAAGTGGAATCAACGATACACCAAACCGCAACGTCAATCGGCCAGTCACGGGACCAAGGCTGGGCGATCGCCGACTGGCCATATTCGCCGACAAATTGCGAAAATATCTGCGTGCCGGAAAGCGAGCGGTAAATTTTTTCTTCTATTTATTTATTATATTTTAGGATCTCGCTCAACTGCTGAAAGATGCCGTGAAAGAATCTGACAGCGAGGACATCACCGTCGACATGTGGGCGCAATTCACGTCAATGGCCGGCAGGCGCTGCAACAACGACATCGACGCCGTCGAAACGTCCGTCGAGCTCGTGCAGCGGGCCACCGATTATTTGCACAAAAGGTGTGTTTTCTGAAAGAATTTAAAATTTTGTTGCCTTTGGTTTGTTAGGAAAATTGATAAAACCTCATGATTTTCCCGGGTACTCAAATTTATTAAACCACGGATAGTTTACTAAAAAGGCGAATAAGCCTGGCTAATTTCGCTCGAAGCAGGCGAATTAGTTCACTTTTATGTAACTAAGCTGGAAATTGGAGTGATTCGTACTTTTCAGGACCCCAATTTCTTTTTTTGTCATTTTGCCCGTTTGATTGGATATAAATTAATATTTCAAAATGTACTTAGAATTACCGTATTTTAAAGAATACGAAGACAGGAAGAAAGAGAAAGAAAATTTGTAAAAATTAAGCTATAGTTCCATTTTTAGTTTCATCGACCACATGCAGCGCTGCGTCCAAAACAACCTGGAGGCGGCCCGCCGCGGAGGAATACCCGGAACACGCACCCTTGTAGCTGGTTATATCAACGTCAGTTTATCTTTATTTCGTTTTTCTGTTCTTTTCCAACTCATTTTTTACATTGAAATTGAAATTCCTTTTTAAAAATCTCTTTATTTTTCCAGGCGTGCTCCGACATTGCGAGCGAGATCGAGGACGGATGCCTGGGCGACGGTTGCCCCGCCTGGCAGGTCATCTACACGTGTATGCGCTGCGGCGAACTGTCGGCGGCCTCCGATGCGTTGAATGTAGGTTATTTTCGTTCAAATCTGTCCTTAGGCTTCGCGAGGGAACCGATTTTTTCTAGAATTTTTAAAAAGTTGTTTTAGTACCTTTTAACTAGATTTGACGTAGTAAAACTTTCAAAGACGGTTTGAAACATTTGAAAATTAATTTGTTTTAGTCGAAAAAAGCAATTTTTTCAACCTAGAAATAAATTTGAATTAAAGAATTGTAACGTTTTTATCTTTAGACATAGTCAAAAACCATGTAGAAATTACGTTAATATTCCAAATTACGTTTTTTGCGTTATTGGAGTTGCGATAGCTTCGAAATCCCGCTTTTTGTCGATTTTCCGGAAAAATCTCGAAAAATCTGCATTTCGGGGTTACGGAACTTTCCAAATTACGTTTTTTGCCGTAGTTGGGTTACGGTTGAAATCCCGCTTTTGGTCGATTTTCCTGAAAAATCTCGAAAATTCTGGGCTATTTATACCGCTATTTTAGGCTTGGTCCGAGAAAAATTTGTTCGCCCCGGGATTCCCCCCGCGAATCCTAAAGAACCTTTACATCCAAATTATTTTTATAGCTTGTCGCGGTCAACCAGCGCACCAACATGCTCTACAAGTGCCTCGTCTATTTGAAAGATAACTCGAGGTTGGTATTTACGGTTTTTTCGGAGGTATATTTGTATTTTTTTCAGGCTGACGGAGGAGCTGAAGGAGAAATTGAAGGTCGAATGGCGTCACGAGCAGCACTCCATCCGGGATCTCTACAGGAAGTGCGTTTGCTGGATTTGCCGCCGATTTTATCTATCTGATCGAAATTTCGGTGCTGGGCTGTTAACGGGGGGGAGGGGTATTTCTTCATCTTGCATAATTACCATTTCGCATAAGGCTATTTCGCATAATGGCATTTCGCATAATTTTTATTCCGTAGAACGTCGATTTCGCATAACGATGATTTCGCATAACGCTTATTTCGCCTAACGGCGATTTCGCATAATGGTCATTTCGCCTAACCGTGATGTCACATAACGATCATTTTGCATAATTTTTATTTCACCTAGCGATAATCTCGCATAACGTTTATTTCGCATATTTTTTAGTTTGTATCAACCAAGAGCAAATATGGCGTTTTATATGATATGAAGTGCGGTAACGGTATCATACAACTACCATTTACGCGGATTCCGCATCTGCAGTCAAAATAATACGTTTGACCTAGATTTGCGGTCAGATTTGCTAGTTTACACATGGATACAAACTACAACGTAGGATTTTTGGCAAAGCCCCTCAAAACAGAAGTATATCCCATGGGTCATGGGTTTTGAGCAAGCCTAAGATATCTGCAAGGAAAAGCGCAAAAAAACCGCGCAGTTAGATTGTTTTTCATCGATTGCTGATTACTAAGCTAAAGGTATATATACCATCGGCTGCCATAGCCGAAATTATGCGAAATGGCGGTTAGGCGAAATCAAAATTATGCGAAATGGTCGTTAGGTGAAATGAAAATTATGCGAAATGATCGTTATGCGAAATCACGGTTAGGTGAAATCACCGTTATGCGAAATAAGCGTTATACGAAACAAGCGTTATGCGAAATCACCGTTATGCGGAATAAAAATTATGCGAAATACAATTATGCGAAATGGCGGTATGCGAAATGAAAATTATGCGAAATGACTGGAAATCGGGGGAGGAACCACTTTTTCGTTTTCCCACCGTTTCGCCGTTTTCTGTCGACGATATATAATGTATTTTATAGGGTTTTTAATTGCTAGAAAGTTGTTAGAAAAAGGTTTTTTTCAAAGTTTTTGGTTCTACACCGGTAACGTGGTCTTTGTACGAAATCGTGGTCTTTGTACGAAATCGTGGTCTTTGTACGAAATCGTGGACTTTGTACGAAATCGTGGTCTAATGGACGCCGATGCGGGTAACGTGGTCTTTAAACGATATCGTGGTCGATTGCCGGCATCGGGGTCTTTAAAAATCGAAAAATCGGCGATTTTTTGGGCCTGTTGAAAACGTGGTCTTTAAGAATCTGGCTATAGACCACGATTCCAAAACTTCCGGAAAAGCCCGCAAATTGCTGGAAAAACGTGGCAATTTCACCAGTATGTTTCTAGGCTACGGTTTACTTTACCCCCCCCCCCCAGCCGGAAGTTTTTGGCTATAACTTTTTTATTTTAAATTATTGTAGGCTCAAATTAAAACTCTTAGTATATTTTTCGACGCTCTATCGAATGGCTTTGCAAAAATCCCGACAAAATAAGCGAAAATACCGACAACTTTGAGACCCTTCGGTTGTGGGGGGGTAAAGTAAACTCTTACCTGTTTCTAACCTAGCACGTTATGTGGTTTATAGCCTTGCGTACCAAAATATTGTAATCAGAGTATATATAAATTTCTAATGTCCGTGCGCCCGTCCGTCCGCCCGTCCGACCGGATCACTGCGGGACCCCCAGGACCGGTTCGGACGGGTCCGGGAGCCGGGGCGTTTCGGGATTTCGGTGTATGGGATGTTGATTTATTACCCCCCGGGAGGGCCAGCGCTGAACCCCCGCGGAGCGGGGGGTCAGCGCTGGTACAAAATAGTTATTGTAAAATCAAATATGAAACGTAGTTTTCACAGTGGAACATTGAATGAAAGCTAGTTTTCGACAGTTTAGACGTTTTCTCCAAATTTCTTGAATGTTTTCTGCATGTTTTCTCAAAATTTCTTGAACGAATAGAGGGTCGTAAAATATACAAAGAATTTGTTTGTAGCTAAAAATGATTGATTAGGTTGGCCCCGACAGTCTCTCCCCTCGACGTAGTCTACATACACCGCAGTCGCATTTTTGGGCTTTACCGGAAGTTTTGGAATCGTGGTCTATAGCCAGATTCTTAAAGACCACGTTTTCAACAGGCCCAAAAAATCGCCGATTTTTCGATTTTTAAAGACCCCGATGCCGGCAATCGACCACGATATCGTTTAAAGACCACGTTACCCGCATCGGCGTCCATTAGACCACGATTTCGTACAAAGTCCACGATTTCGTACAAAGACCACGATTTCGTACAAAGACCACGATTTCGTACAAAGACCACGTTACCGGTGTAGAACCAAGTTTTTAGTCATATTTTTATGCTTATTGGCCAAAAGGTCAAACATTTTCGTTTTTTTTATGAATTTCTATACCTAAAAGCTATGTAAAATACGAAAAAAGTTTGGTTTCTCTTCTCCCCCACTAACAGTCCAGAACCGAATCTTCATCTAGCCGAATTCTACTTGCCGAAACGTACATAACGAACTCGATAATTTTGCTTTGGATGGATCTTTAGATAGTTTAGGTCAAAAGAAAAGTCGTGAAGAGAAAAATATCCAATTTTACTCAGCTTTCCAAGATATTTCTTTTAGGGGCCTATACAGCGCGCTGCTCGGCGTCGAATCCCCGATCGCCGACACGATGGAGAATTGGCTGTGGTTCAAGCTGATCCCGCTGCGACTCGACCCCCACATCACCCGGGCCCTCTACGTGGACCTGCAGAAGACCATTTCCATCGATTACGGTTCGTTTTTCTCGTTTCTGACTTGTGGAATTTAGTTTACTCGTATTTTTTAGGCCGCGTAGCTACCGATTTTCATGATTTTCAAAAATTTAGGCGTCAGCTACTTCATGGCCAACGGTTTTCGCGACGCGCACATCTATTTCCTGGCCCTCACGCTCAGCGGCCAGTTCGAGCGCGCCGTCGATTTGCTGGTTGAGGTATTTCGATTGTATTTATTGGTCCTTTTGCATTATCGGGGGGGAGGGGGGCGGATTTTGCAAATCTGTCGAATCTATCTAGAAATGTCTAGCAGCTAAATAGAGTATTTTATTTGTATTTTTAATAAAATGTTAGCTCCCGCTGTTTTAGCAAGGGATTTCTATGCGCGCACCACCTGACACTCATTTATCTTGTGTCTTATCTCGCGAGCTAGCGAGGGATCCGCTAGCCCGCTCTCCTCACTTTGGACTCCCAGCACATGTAAGATCTGTGCTAGAAGACTAATAAACATCTAAAGCGCTATGCTTAGCACATGTAAGAGGCGTAATACATGTATGCTAATAAAAATATGACTATATTTGGCCTAGAAAAACAATCTAACTCATTAGAAAGTTTTAAAAAAGTTAAATTTTTGGTCAAAACCGGCAATTTTTGCTCGAAATAGCGATATTTTTTGTGTTTTTGAGGTACTTTGTAAAGTTTTTACGTCTAAGAATTGTAAAAAACAGTTTAGAAACAACCTCCGCGATTTATGTTTGAAAATTGGGATCTTAAGGAAAAAAGTTGCTTCCCCCCCGATAATGCCAAAGAACCGATTTATTCTTAGTGATGTAATTTATTGGTGATTATTCTACTTTACTCTTTATTTTTTTAGACCGGCCACGTGAGCGATGCGGTGCACATGGCCATCTTGGCCTACGAAAACGGCTTGCTGAAGTTGACCGACCCCGCCGTCGAGATGCAGAACATCAAGCTGCGTACGTTTTTGACGCTTCCATTTTTTTCTAGTGTGCGGCATATTTTTATTTCCTTTTTTTAGTCAACACCAACCCGGACGGCAAATCGGTGGCGGCCACGGTGTCGCTGGCCCGTCTGCTCGTCAGCTATACGAAAGGATTCGAGATGGAAGACGTGGAGACGACGCTCGATTATTTCTACTTACTAAAGGTATTAATCTATATTACTTATTGATATTTTTAATGGCTTTAGCTTCTTTTGTTTCTGATTTATTTCCGGTTTTTAGGGTCAAAAAACAGCCCAAGGACGCGACATTTTCGAGTCGGCCGTCTCGCGTGTGCTCTATTTGACCGGAAACGTGAAGGTATCCTTTTTTAAGAAACACGTCCTTATTTGAACTTTTCAGGCTGTGATTGGCGAATCGCAGGGACAAAAACGATCCAAGGCTCTCATTGACAAGTGGGTTTTATAGGAATTTTCTTGATTTATTTAGATTTTATTTTATTTTTCGGAATTCTCTGGGAATACGGTAGTGTCCAAAGCCTGATTTGTGTTACGGTAGCTTGGAAAGCCCGCTTTTGGCCGATTTTCGTGAAAAATCTGCCTTGTCTGCACTCTCCGTGGTTACGGTAGTGTCCAAATTACGTTTTTTGCCTTATTTGGGTAACGGTAGCTTCGAAATCCCGCTTTTTGCCAAATTTCCTTAGATATCGAAAAATCGGCATTTTCCCAGGTTACGGTAGTTTCCAAATTACAGTTTTTTTGCCTTATTTGAGTTACGTTGGCCTCAAAATGTTATATATGGTATTCATTATGATTATTACTGTATTAGTTTAGCTTAGCAAAAACTCGGAAATTTAATAATCCCGTTTTTCAGCTATGACGTCGATGTGCGCGCGATTATCACTCGCGTCGCCGAAGACACCGAATTGTCCGGAAATCCTGATCAGGTTTGTGTTCTTGATGAGCTTTACTGATTTTTTTCCAGGCCGTCGAGCTGCTGCGCATCTGTGGCCAAGATGATCGGGCGATCGAGGTGATGGCGCGGCGTCTCTCCGAGCTGATCACGCAGAACGACGAGAGCCATCGAATTCCCGTTCTCCGGGCCGCCGAAGATTTGGCAAAGCGTGAGTATTGCTGATCATTTTGCAAGAATTATATTCTCAATCCTGAAAACTCCTTCTCCCGAAATTATATTCCGCAAAATTAGAACATAATTTATAACACATAACATATTAGAAATAACTTTTTCAAATTTTTGTATCGAAAAATACGGAAAGATTTAGGATTTTGCCATCGTGTTTCGGGATTAAAATTGTTTTCGCAATTCGTTCGCGTACACTCGCAATCTCCATTTTTCAGATTCGATCAACGCCTCCTCGAAGGCGCTGAGCACCCTCACCATGCTGCTCGACATCCACGGACTGCTCGACCGGTGTCGCCACAAACTTTACGATGAAGTGATGCTGGTAAGAATTTTCTAGGGGTTTTTTTTGGCGTATTCCAGACCAGTTTTTGCGTGGAATTAGGGTTTGAAAACGCTTTTTAGCTCGTTTTCTCATGTCAATTTTCGCAGACATTTGACCAAAAACACTTTCCGGTTCTAATTTAAATTCGGACAAAGCGAAAAATAATTTACTCGGCACGTGAAAAAAACTCGACGAAAAAGATTAATTTTTATTGGATTTTATCCAATCTATTTTCCCGTTATTTTACCCGATTTTTAGACGATTCGCGAGACGCGCCTCATCCCCACCGACCAAATCAACGTGCACGCGTTCACCGCCCAAGAGCATTTGATGGCGCCCCAGGTGCATCGATTTGTGATCTTTAGTTACTGTTCATTCTAGGTTCGCGCCGTTTTGCCGGACGTTTGCCTGGCTGTGATGCAGTGCATGGCTGATGCGTTCCCGGAAGCACGACCGGCCACTCGAAGCGACATCAAGAGGTTCGCTCGTTTTATGTTAAAAATAATTTAAGTTGTTCAATTCGTTCAATTTGAAGCTTAATTTAATTAAAGCTAATCAAGTTATTTTAATTTGTTCGGATTGTCTTGTTTTTTGAACTACTTCGCTGTTTTTTTTGGAGGAGCGTATTTTAATAGAATATTTTTGAAACGTTTTTCGACGCTTTGTTGCTATTAAAATTCTAGTTCTTTCGCATGATCGGGGGGACCAACTTTTTTGTCTTAGGGTCTGGTTTTCGAATATAAATAGTGGAAACGTTTCTAAATGGCTGGTTACTATTCATAAATTTGAAAACTATAAAAAATTGCATTGAAAAATGTAAAAAATATGAATTTTTTTGACCCAAATCGGCGATTTTTGACGAAAATTTCGACTTTTTCAAAGTTTTTAGCTAGTTTTTCTAGTTGAAATATAATTGTTTTATTTTTTAGTAAAAACTTTATTTTATTGTTTATTTTGTAAGTAGTTAAAACCGCCGTTAAAGAGAGCAGTACCTTTTTCGTGGCCCCCATTAAACCTGTAAATTTTCAGGCAAGCCCAAGCGATCGTCGTGCTGGCGGCCGGCACCAACTACAAGTTCCCGCAGAACATCATCTCCAAGCTGCTCTCGATCCAGGCCAAACTCCAATAGGCGCCCCCCGTTATTTCCATTTGTTACGTGCCCGTTGTCCGTCTTTCCCACGTGTCTATTTCTTGGCCCTCCCTCTAACTGCCGACAAATTGTTGTTATTTTGTGCGATGACTGCTATCTACCGGTTGTACTCTCTCTTCTTACATCATCACGTATCTCATTCCTATCGTATTCCCCGGCGAGATCCCGTTCCGATCAATAAAAAATTTGTACCGTCGTACGATTGTTCGATTTTGTGGAAATGACGTGGAAGCGGTTGTCGAAAATTCCGATAAGCTTTTTCGGTGCTATGCAGAGACCGGATTTTGACTACAAGACGCTCCCAATGCCAATTTTTTTGATCTAAGCCTCTGAAGCGCTACGCTACGCCTAAGCTGGTTCTGGACTATTAGCGGGGGGACCAAGTTTTTCCTTGTGATCCTCTACGGCCCTATAACAAAATATAAACCATTTTTATAACATTTTACATAGTTGTTAGATATCAAAACAATATAAACAATAAGAAAAATTTTCGAAAATTTTTGAGTTTTGCTCAAAAAGGTGTGAAAAATCACCAAAAACGGTTTTCGAATTTTCTAAGTATTAGATATAACTTTCTAGCAATCAAAAACTACTAAATACATTTTACAGCGTCAATAGGTGGAAAAAACAGAAAGTGGTTTCCCCCCGCCGCTAAAAATCCCCACCCCCGCTAACAGTCCAGCACCACAATCGACGGCAATCTGGCAGATAGACCTCCCGAACCCCCCCCCCCCCTAAACCCCCCTTAACCCCCCTCCCAACCCCCCTCTGTGTCCGTCTGCGTCTCTCCTCTTTCCCCACTATTTCGCCTCTCTCGCGCGAGATCGTGGGGAAAGGGGGAGAGCGCAGAGGGGGGCTGGGAGGGGGTTAAGGGGTTTAGGGGGGTTCGGGAGGTCTACTGGCAGAGACGCGTTGCGTGTCGCGGCCTTTTGTTGTCCCGTTTGGATGCGGCATAGTGGTGTGCGCTGGAAAACAAATATTGACGAGTGGTGGTGGTGGCGGGCGAACTGGGTCAATGCGGCACGTCGATTTTTGGGCGTTCCTAAGGCTTTGGAAAAGACGCCTTTTTGGCGATTTACATTCATATCGCCGAATTTTCATATCGCCGAATTTTCATTTCGCCGTTTATTTCGCCGAATATGTATTTCGTCCAAAATTTATTGCACAAAGCTTCATTCGGCGGGTTTTTCGGAGCCCGTTATCTAGCGAACAATAAAATATAGCTCATCGGCCTCTTCTTCAGGAATAGGTCGAAGCAAGCATCAGTGCCGCTGTTTTCAACGAAGGTAAAGTTATCTTCTTGATGCTCCGACAAAATCAGGTGGCAGGCGGAGCAAAATATTGTAAATTCCAAGGTCTCCAACATAGATTTTCATACGTAATTCGGCGAAATGAACATTCGGCGAAATGAAATTCGGCGATATGAAAATTCGGCGAAATGAAAATTCGGCGATATGAAAATTCGGCGATATGAAGATTCACCCTTTTTGGCTTTTGGCTGGCTTAGTAATAAATTATATTTTGGGCGCTTAAAAATGCAAAATAAAACACAATTTTTGGTAGTTTTCAGTATTTTGATCGGGTTCTGCTGACTAATTATTGTCATTTTCTGATTTTCAGGCGACACCCGGGGATTGGCGGATGCGGACGCGCAAGCGACGGCCCGGAAACGACGGCGAAGATGAGCGGACTGGTACGTTGGTTTCATACCTAATTTCGAGTGGTAGCCCATTTGAAAGAGCACGTTTTTTTTACTCTGGAAAATGACTTACTTTCCCCGAACGGTATTTTATGGAATTTTTGAAGAATTAAAAGTAAGAAATTTTGGGTATTTTGGGTGCTAAAACACTTGTAACTTTTTGATCAGAGGGGTTCCGCAACTTTTCAAAACGGATTCGGAATCGGCGAAAAATTCTGCACAAGCTGTACTATCTCACGTACCGAATTTCCACTTTGACCAGAGAAGGGTTACATTAAGTTAATTTTGATTAATAATAGAGCTGTAATAACGAGCGTTGAGTTTTATAGTATTTTTAACGGCTTTTTGGTTATAAAAAAACAATATAAAAATTCTATAAATTCGGGAAATTATTGCTTTTTCGTCAGAAATGTTGGAAAATTGCCAAAAAATGTACAAAATTTAGATTTTTAATATTTTTAAAAAGGGGTTTTCCCGCTGGATCTCCCACCCCCCCCCCCCCGCTAACAGCCCAGTACCCAATTTTTGATCGGCTTTTTACTAGATGTTCACGCGTGTGTAGATGATTCATTGTTGTTCTGATAGCGGCTTATTAGCCGTGATCCGTTATCCGCGGGAGACCTGCCGTTGCTTCGCCAGGCTGCTTTGCTTCTGGTTCTACCCTCTGATGCCTTGAGCCTTTCCTGCTTGGTGGGCCAACGTGTGTCTTGTCTGCTCTGCTCTTTCCTGTCCGGTCTTTGTCCGGTCCCCCCCATTGGCCACTTGGTCGGCTCGACTTTTTACGCAATCATCCCCCTGGTCGACCACCCTCAACGCACTCCACATATTACTTCTTCTCTTTTTCAGCTTCTTATGCTCACCTAGAATTTTGTATCTTTCTTATACTAATCTTTCTTATTAGTTTTCTTATTCTTGAAACGTCGTTTGGAGCGTCGCGTAGTTGGTAGTTGAAAGTCAAACGGTATTCCGTTTTTTTCAATTAGTTATTCTGGTGCTTGGGCAATATTGGGGAGAACCGGATGTTTTTTGTGTTTTCCAGAAACGCCTAGTAACGTTTTTACGCTTTACGATAGGCTGTTTTTGTTGTTTTTTTTGGGTTCTTTCGCATTATCGGGGGGGGGAGGGGCAGACAAATTTTTTCCCATAAGTCCAGAAAGACCTGGTAACGTAAGAGTAGGTATTTTAGTAGTAGTTTCAGTAAAATTTAACGCTAGTTCAAGTAGAAAACGAATTTATAAAACGTCGAATAATTTTTTGAGTCGAAATTTTGGTAAAAACGACCATTTTTGGTCGAAAAATCAATATTTTTGTACTAGTTTTCACTATAATTTTGTAAAGGTTTTACGTCTAGGGATATTAAAGGGAGTTTAGAAACAATTCCGCTATTTATATTAGAAAAATTTGATGCTAGGGAAAATTTATACCGCTATTTTTGTTTGTTTTGAATTTGCTACTGCTAAACATTTTTTCCAATGATTTTTTGGACATATTTCGAATTGTTGCTTTTAGTATGGTAGTGGACACGACAGTAGCTTTTCCATGGCTGGCTCACCTACCCCAAAATTCACCCCAAAAACCCGCCGGCACCCGGATCATATAAAATCGGACGAGTGGCCGATTCCATTTTATACGCCTCCCCCGAATTCGAATGGCCCAGATGTGAGACAATATGGCCGATCGGGCCCTCTGGTCAGCAGCCGTGGCCAACTGTTCCTTAGGGCCCAGGTGGGCCTCCTCCTCCTCCTCCTCCTCTACCCACCCTCACCCTCGTGCTCCCCACATCTCGTGCTCCCGTTTTCACCTCGCCAAAAATGTCACCCCTGCGATTTATTGACCACTCGGCTTTTCGTGATTTCTTGGGCTTTATTAGGCGCGGAAAACGTTCGTTTTAGGCCTTTATGGGCTTTCAGTTTTTTTAAAAATTCAGATTAAATAAGATAAATCCAGTGAAAGCGTTTTTAAATTTTTTCCTAAAGAATCTCTGCTAGTCTACCCTCTCCTACAGAATCCCTGCTAACCTCCCAATTTCTCTAAAGAATCTCTGCTAGCCTGCCCTTTCCTAAAGAATCCCTGCTAGCCTGCTCTTCCTAAAGAATCTCTGCTAGCCTGCCCTGGCCCTTTAATTACCCAAATTTCGCGGAAAATTCTTGTTTTATAGCTTCGCCCTTCCGCTGCACGTTTTTCGCGTGTAATTTGGCCATTTACTTCCAGCTTATTTTTATCCGGAAGAAACCAGGCTGCTTTTCTTGGGTGCATGCGAGAATTTTGGCTATAATATCCGGTAGCCGCATGCTGTTGATTGTGGCTATTTGCCTTGGGCACTTATCCAGAAGAAGACCTCTCCCTCGCCTCCGATCGCTTCCACTCCACCCCATCCGCTCTATCCATCATCAACATCATCAAGGCGATTCGCCTCCGGGGCTTTAATTGGAACGTTTTTCCTGTCTTTTCTTGTTGTTTTGCTGAGTTTTTTGGTAAAATTTAAGTGAATTTTAGCTAACTTCTAAGGAAAGGGCAGGCTAGCCGAGATTCTTTAGGAAAGGGCAGACTAGCAGAGATTCTTTAGGAATGGGCAGGCTAGCAGAGATCATTTAGGAAATTTTCTGCACAAATTTGGGTCTTTTTCTTAGCATTTGGCAAGTCTATTTAGTATTACTGACGCATTTTTTGGTTCTTTTGCGTTATCGGGGAAGGGGGAAGCGAACTTTTTTGCCCAAGTTTAGAATTGTCTAGTAACTTAATAGAAATAGTTTAACATTTTTTTATTCAAAAATACTTATCTTGGGTATCGGACCAGTTCGCCGAAAACCATCTCGCCGAAAACCATTTCGCCGAAAACCATTTCGCCGAAAAACCATCTCGCCGAAAACCATCTTGCCGAAAACCACTTCGCCGAAAACCATTTCGCCGAAAACAATCTCGCCGAAAACCATCTCGCCGAAAACCAACTCGCCGAAAACCATTTCGCCGAAAACAATCTCGCCGAAAACCACTTCGCCGAAAACCATCTCGCCGAAAACCATCTTGCCGAAAACCACTTCGCCGAAAACCATCTCGCCGAAAACCATCTCGCCGAAAACCATCTCGCCGAAAACCAACTCGCCGAAAATCTAATTTTGTATGCAAATTTTTTTTCAGGCTTGTTCCATTTTGGTCTAATACTGGAAAAAACACTGAAGATGACTGAGCCAATCGGTTTTCGGCCTCAAATCATAGGGGAAGTGTCCGGGCCAGGGGCGTAGCCAGAAAAAAATTTCGGGGGCCCAAAAATTTTTCCAAAAAACTCAAAACTTTAACGGGAAAACAGCGCCGCAGGGGAAAATTTTTGAAAGGAAGGTTACAATGGCTCTATAAATAACCGTAAAAATGTGAAAAAATAGCGCGGCGGGCAGCAAAATTTTTGAGAAAATAAAAATCATAAGGGTCCCCCCCTTATGAAATTTTCGGGCCCCGGCCGATTTCGGGCGGGGGGGGAGGGGGGGCCGGGCCCCCGGGGCCGGTATTACGCTACGTCCCTGGTCCGGGCACAGAAACCCTGAAAAAAGCATCTTTCTTTACTTTTTTGTGAGCTGGGGGATGACCGCAACTACGCGAAAAAAATTTGCATACAAGATTAGATTTTCGGCGAGTTGGTTTTCGGCGAGATGGCTTTCGGCGAAATGGTTTTCGGCGAAATGGTTTTCGGCGAGATGGTTTTTCGGCGAGATGGTTTTCGGCGAGATGGTTTTCGGCAAGATGGTTTTTCGGCGAAATGGTTTTCGGCGAGATGGTTTTTCGGCGAGATGGTTTTCGGCGAGATGGTCGGAATTCCTTATCTTGCAACTAGAAAACTATATTAAAATATTTTAGAAGTTTTGAAAAAGTCGGAATTTTTATAAAAATCGGCCAATTTTTATTGAAATATCGATATTTTTAGATTTTCGATAAATTTTGCCTAGTTTTGACATTTTTTATTAGTAAAAGACCATTTAGAAACACATCCACTATTTATATTTAAAAATTAGATCCTAAGAAAAAAGTTGAGTCCCCCCCCCCGATAATGCGAAAGGACCTAATTTTTGGTTACCTCTTACTGCTGGTCCGTTTGGATGCTAAGAAAGCAGGATATTTTTGATGAATATGAAAATCGTTTCCACCCCCCCCCCCCCCCCCCGTTAAGCGACCTTTACCCACTTCTACTGAGCCGGCCCGAACTCGCGATCAAAAATCCAGAATTTACTCGGTTTCTTCCGCCGGTTTCTGCTGGCTTCTAGGCCAGTTTTCGCGCCCCCAGCTTCGACCCCTAATCAAATAAATGAGAAGCAATCTGGGGGGCGGTGTGCATGACTTCGTTGGCTTTGGCCAAACAATTTGGAACCGAGAAGAGGGGGAGCTGGTTTCTTCCCGGGACCCATCCCCCATTTGCTTGTCATAATTGAAGGCGTATCGGTGAAATTGGCCACTATTCCTTGATTTTCTGGGCTCCTCCTTGATCAGCTTGATCAGCTTCAACTGCTGACTTATCGCCCTTCTTTACTTAGTATCATAATTCGCAAAATTGCCATTTCAGCCACTATTCCATGACTTTCCGGGCTTCTCCTTGTTGAGCTTCAACCGCTTGACTTTAGCCAAAAATTCGAGAAAATGTGGTTCTGGACTGTTAGCGGGGGGGGGAACCACTTCTGTCTTTCCACCTATTTTTCATTTGCATTTCGCGCGCCTTGCTTTAATCATGATAAATAGCTACATTGCTGAAGAGCCGCAATTCCTTGATTTTCGTGGCTTCTCCTTGATCATCTTGATGAGCTTCAACCGCTTGTCTTAGGCCTGCATTTTAAATTTTGCCGTGGATGCGAAACGCAAAGCGCTAGCACGCCCTTCTTTTTTGGTATCGTAATTCACAAAGTTGCCATTTCAGCCACTATTCCTTGATTTTCGCGGCTTCTCCTTGCTCAACTTGATGAGCTACAACCGCTTGACTTGAGCCAAAAATGCGAGAAAATGCCGCGACACGCAACGCGTATACCACGCTATTCACTACGCTACGCGCCTATCATAATTCGCCGCGTCGCCTCGATATCGGCCACTATTCCTTGATTTTCAACGCGTTTCCTTGATCAGCTTGACGAGCTTCAACTGCTTGACCTAAATTTGACGTTAAGACTTTTGTCGCGCCGCGCAGCGCGTCGGCTTACTTCCATTCGCGCCATTCTTCGCCAATTTTTTCGGCTGGATGAATGATTTTGCATAGTTTTCGGTCTAGCGACTCCATTGAAAAAAGATAGATTTTTCTTGCGTCAATTTTGTCTTTATTTTTACAAGTTGATGGGTTTCCATTTTTGCGCAGGCTCGAAAATAATAAATACTGGAAATTTATTTAACGTTATCTAATCTATGTTATTTCAGAAATGCTCAAGACGCGAGACGGCAGAGACGCGGCCGGCCGACCGAAATGCGGCCTGTGCACCATACTGTCGACCGTCATCGTGTCGTTGATAGGTACGTTTTGGAAAGCTTGCGGAAGGCGAGGGGTGATCAAATTCATGAATCAAACCCGTTATCCATTTCTTCAATGGCCCTGAAAGGAAGTCAGGGATATAGAAAAAGGCAAAGCGGCTGCGATATTTGTTATAAAAATTACCTTAGGATTCAAGAAGTGTTTCTAAACTTTTTTATGATTCCTAAACGTAAAATCTTTCAAATTTTGTATTGAAATACAACAAAAGCGCAATTTTCGACCCGAAATGGCCGTTTTACCATTAATACATTATGATTTTAGCGATTCATTATCTAAGCATCCTTTTATTTAGTGAACCAAACGCCAAAAATAGCGCCCTTTATAATACCGTAAACAAGATCGTGGAATTTTTAATATAGCCCCAACCCCCCTTATTGTCCCGCTTATTCCCGGGGGCATTATACCCGCCCCACCTCTCTCTCTCTTTCCGCTTCGAAAAGGCTGGGTAAACAGTTTTGGGGGGAATTGGGCCCCGGGGCATTAAACGGAAGAGGAACAATGAGAAGCCAGGCCAGCTTAAAACGACCCCACGACCTGGGGAAGCAGATCAGACAGGCAGACGCACCTTCCGCTATAGAAATCAGGCGCTTCCTCGTTTTCGCGATGAAAAATGGCGCAGGTTTGGGTTTTTCCGGGGGTTTTAGAGGTTTCCCAAAGAATCTCTGCTAGCCTGCCCATTTCCTAAAGAATCTCTGCTAGCCTGCCTATTTCCTAAAGCATCTCAGCTAGACTGCCGATTTCTAATTAATCTCTGCTAGCATGCCCCCACTTCCTAAAGAATCTCTGCTAGCTTGCCCTGGTTCTGGCGTAGGGTAGTTAAGTAATTAATATCGACGATTCGAATTCTACCCTTTTTAATTGATTTTACACAATATTTTTCAGCAGTCGCCGTCGTGCTCTCCCTGGTGTTCATCTACGTCAACACGCAGCGCATCCGGAAAGACGCCGCCGACAACAACGAGTACCTGAAAGACCTCGTGCGCAAGGTCAACGAAAACCCCAAGTCCACCTGGAAGGTGCGTCGATATATTTTTCGATTTTTACCAACCCCGTTCTGCAGGCCAAGTTCAACAAGTTCGGCTCGAAGGCCCGCGACTACGAGGGGCTGAAGACGCCGAAGAACGAGACGGCCATCGCCGAGTATTTCGAGCTGCTCGAGAAGTTCTTCGAGTGGGACATCCTCAAGACGCACATCAAGTGAGTGGAAGCTGTAAAAATGTCGAAATGTTGAACAAAAAATGCCGAACGCGGAAATACCGACAGCCAAGGCAAAATGCCGAGCGGACGCGCTGAAACTTGTAACTCTCGCTGTATGCGATTTAGCCTTTGGCTGTCGGTATTTCGCGTGTCGGCATTTTGTAGTAGGCCTTTGTCATGTCGGCATTTTGGAGTCGGCTTTTCCCTGGTCGGCATTTTGTAGTCGGCTTTCGCGTGGTCGGCATTTTACTGTCGCGATTTTCACTTGTCGGTATTTTGAGTCGGCCTTTTCCGGATTTTGTAGTCGGTTTTTTTGCCTTGTCGGCATTTTGCAGTCAGCGTTTGCCTTGTCGGCATTTTGTGGCCCACTGGCTTGTCGAAATTTTTTAGCCAGTTGTTGTCTTGTCGGTATTTTCGACTCAGCGTTTGCATTGTCGGCATTTTCTAGTCGGCATTTTCTAGTTGGCTTGTGCCCTGTCGGCATTTTGGACCTGGTTTTGCCTTGGCGGTATTTTGAATGCCAAAGTTTCGACGGGGAATCAACGCTGAAAAAACGCCAGTGAAAATCCCGACGCCAAAATGCCGACAACAGCAATTTCTAATGCCAAAATGCCGACACTCAACAACGGAAATCGAAAAATTTGCATTGAATTTAGCCTTTTCGCAGCCGGGAATTTGGGTTCCTATATTTTAGCTTGTCGGCATTTTGGCTTATCCGCCTTCGGGCTCGAAGTCTAAGCTTTGCGAGGAAATTTACACTTCTTTTTTTCAGGACACTCCAAGAATTCCCGGAGGACGATCTGCCCGAGCAGTTCGACGCGCGCCAAAAATGGCCGGGATGCCCCTCGATTTCGAATGTGCCGAATCAGGGCGGCTGCGGCTCGTGCTATGTGAGTTTTAGCGGTCAAATTTTTTGTTTTCTTCACGTGATAGGGTGCTGAACTGTTAGCGGGGGGGACCAAATTTTTCCAAGTGATCCCGTACGGCCCCTAATACGAAATATGACCATTTTTATAGCCTTTTTGATGCAGTTTTTCGAGAAAGAAACCTTATAAAAATTTCCGAAAGCGAGTCTTTTTCGTCGAAAATGTATGAAAAATGATGAAAAAAGGTCAAAAGTTTTCAATTTTTACAAATTTTTAGTAATCAGAAACTACTGAAAACACCAGAAAAATTCATTGGTGATTATCAACGTTTCAATGGTTTCAATAGGCGAAAAACAAAAGTTTGTCCTCAACCCCCCCGCTAACAGTCCAGTACCGGGATTAGTGCGCCCTAAATAATAATATTTTTTTTCAGGCAGTTGCTGCGGTGGGCGTGGCCGCCGATCGGGCGTGCATCCAGTCGAACGGCACCTACAAGTCGCTCTTCTCGGAGGAGGACGTGCTCGGTAATTTTAATTTAGGCTTTGAAAAAAAGGGTTCTTTCGAATTATCGGGGGGGGGGGGGATTTTTGATGAATCTAGAAATTTCTAGTAACTTGATATGAAGTATCTACATAAATTTTGCAGTAAAATAAAACTATATTTTAACTAAAAAACTATCTAAAAACTTTTTTCTAAAAGCTAAAAGCTAGGCTATAGGACTCTTTCTTCTCTCTAAAAATTTTTGAAAAACGCTAAATTTTCGTCAAAAACGGCCATTTTTGGTCGAAAATCGATTTTTTTTGTCTTTTTAAAAATGTATAAAGTTTTTACGTCCAGAAATAATAAAAAAACAAATTAGAAACACTTTAGAAAGAAAAAAGGTAAAATGAAACAAAAAGTTCCTAAGAACCCCCGATAATGCGAAAGAACCGAGAATACTTCATTTTTATCGTATACCTTTCCAAAAATCAGGAAAACCCTTTATCTCATTTTTCCCGTGTATTGTCACGTTTTAGGGTGCTGCGCGGTTTGCGGAAATTGCCTTGGCGGCGACCCGCTGAAGGCGCTCACCTACTGGGTCCAGGAGGGTCTTGTTACAGGTAATCAAACGCGTGTTTTTCCGCTAAACCCCTCTTCTTCCAGGCGGTCGTGACGGGTGTCGGCCGTACTCGTTCGACATCTCGTGCGGTGTGCCCTGCTCCCCCATGGTGTTCCCGGAAAATGAAAAGTTTGCTTATCATTTTTTGATTACCTCTTTTTTTCCCTCTAGAAGCCGCAGCTGCGTGCGCCGGTGCCAGAACATCTACTACCAGAACAAGTACGAGGAGGACAAGAACTACGGTAAGTTCTTGGGGTTTTAAAGGGACTAATCACCGCGGAAAATTAGAATTTTGCGCGCCCCGGGATTAAATGTCGTAATTCTTTTCCCATTTCATGTCATTAAAGTTTACATTAACTTAATTTAAGTTTAATTCTATGTTAATTAATTAAACCAGCTAAATTGGTCAAAAATCCGCGGATTCGTGAATTTTGTGTATTCTTTATTTTAATTTAATTGGGTTTTATTGTGTAATTTTATTTGTAAAATTTATTACGATAAAGTGAAATTAGAGCAGCTTTTTTCTGAAAATCCGGTGTTTCTAATATAAATAGAGAAAATGTTTCTAAGCCTTTTTTGCTATTCCTAAACGTAAATCTTGATTACAATTTTTAATAGAAAAATTAAAAAATTATCGATTTTTCGATCAAAATTTCGCCTAAAAATATTTTATGGAGTTTTTAATTGTTCTCTTCACTTAAAATATTGTTAAATGTTAAATGTTTTATAAGACAGTATTAAAATACTACTATTAAGTTATTAGACGCTTCTGGACTTATACGAAAAAAGTTGACTTTTCCTTTGCAGCTTCGGTGGCCTACTCGATGTACCCGCGCGGGATGACGCTGTCGGATGATGGGAAGAGGAGAGGGAAAGTGCCGACGATCATCGGCCACATCAACAGCACCATGGAGGAGCCCATCACGCTCGAGGAGGTCATTTTCCAAGGGGTTATTAGTCTTGACTTTTGACAAAAATATCGTAATTGGCGCCTGGCAAAACGCGGCGAAAGTTTTCTGCTAGGCAAAGGATCTCTGCTAGCTTGCCCTGCTGGCAAGAAAAAAAGTATTATTTTTGCTAGTCTAGATAGAAAAATGCGAAAAAACCGTTTCGGCAAAAAAAAACCGCTAGGCTGGATAGCAAAATGCCAAAAAAGGGCCTCGCGTCTCAAAGGATCTCTGCTAGCCTGCCCTGTTCTCGTGGAAAAAATTATTTTGACTAGTCTGTCTACGGAAATGCCAAAAAAATGATTTCCAGCCAAAACGCAGAAAACCAAAACGCAGAATGCTAAAACGCAGACAGCCAAAATGCAGACAGGACAAAACGCAGACAGCCAAAACGCAGACACTGAATATGCTGACACTGAATATGCTGACACCACTGAATATGCAAACAGCCAAAACCATCTCATAACTCAACCCTTTATTCTTCCCATCCGAAATACAACTGCTGGTACAAGCACCAGATAAGATCATTTTTGGGATGTTTGAGGATTGGAGATTTTGGGATGATGCGAAGATATGCGAAAATTTTCATCGCTGTCGAATTAGGTGAATCAGGTGTCTGCATATTCGGTGTCAGCATATTCAGTGTCAGCATATTCAGTGTCTGCGTTTTGGCTGTCTGCGTTTTGGCTGTCTGCGTTTTGGCTGTCTGCGTTTTGGCTGTCTGCGTTTTGTCCTGTCTGCGTTTTGGCTGTCTGCATTTTGGCTGTCTGCGTTTTAGCATTCTGCGTTTTGGGTGTCTGCATTTTGGACTTTTCCCCAAAAAAATCTTCGCAAAGGATCTCGGCTAGCCTGCCCGAAATTTCTAGATCGATATTATGTTTTTTTTCCGTTGAGATTTTATTTTCTAAAAAAATGGGGCTTCCAGCCTTTTGGATATTACGGAATTTGGAGCTTAACGTACTGGTTTGGCGAAGGATCTCTACTAGCCGGCCCTATCGGAAAGCATTAAATTTGGATTTTTCATTGCCGATGATTTTTTTTGGAAGCTGTATTTTTTTGCTCGTTACTTTTGGTTAATTGCGTATCTTATTCTGCTCGGTTCAGATCCGCACAATCCTAAAAACCGAGCTGTTCCTCTACGGCCCGACGACGATGGCCTTCCCGGTGCCGGAGGAGTTTCTCCATTATTCGGAAGGTTAGTTCAAAGAATTTTTAGGTTTTTAAAAGTGATAGATAATTATCAATAACTCAAAAATAATGCGCCTGCCCGACGATATGTGTTTTTAGGGTTCTTTTGCTTTATCGGGGGAGGGAAACACCAACTTTCTTAATATGATCCAATTTTTCAAATATAAATCCAGGAAGTGTTTTCAAACTGTTTTTTTTTAATATGCGTAAACGTAAAAACGTCACAATTCATAAAAAATAATTAAGAAAAACAGTTAAACAGTAATTTCCAGGCGTTTTCCGCCCGATCACCGAGGAGAAGTTCAACGACCGCGTCGTGTATTGGTAAGTCGGTAGTAGCGGCAGTAGGTCTCCTAAAAGATTAAAGTATACTAAAGTACTCATAAGTATTTTAATTTTTGGTGCTTTGCTTTTAGCGGGAGGGGGTAAGGCAATTTTTGATCATTAGCCCGAAAACGCCCAGTAATAAAACAATAGTTTTCAGGTGCTTGTTTTAGCTTTCGATCATACTGTTTTTAAATTTTAAAGATCTAATATTCAAACCGGTTTTTGGGTTTTTTTCATGCACTTCGGCCAAAATTGAACGTTTTTCGGAACGATTTTCAAAACTTTTAAAAAGCGAAATCACGTGTAATTTTAATTGTAAGTTGTAAATGGCGAAAATTTAATTGTTTCGATTGTTATTTATAATTCTAGAATTTCATTCTCGTAAATACTAAATAAATCTAAACGAACAACTAACAAAAATACACTATAATCGCAAATTTCTAGGCACGTAGCCCGGCTGATCGGCTGGGGCAAAGACAAGGATGGCAGCCACTACTGGCTGTGCGTCAACAGCTTCGGACGCAACTGGGGTGATAATGGTTAGTTTGTAATGCATATATCTATTTTTATAACAATAGTAATATTTTTATAGTTTAAATATACCATTTCAGACGTTTAAAACCCAAATATTCAGCAAAAAAAGAAGTAAAAACCCTTCTAGGCGTCTTCAAAATCAACGTCGACTCGATGGAGCAGTACGGCCTCGAATACGAGGCCGCCCTGATCTAAAGATATTAGCGATTTTTTTTGCTGTTTTTTATCCCTAAAAAATCGATGATTACGGGTATTTTTGTTAGCTGCAATGTTCTTAATTTGTAATGCTCCCCTAGTCTTCATAATGTATTTATTTCTTCATTTTTTTTTTGCAAATTGATGCCAACTGTGTCTTTCATGATGTGCTTTTTTGAAGCGGAATAAATTGTTTTCGAAATTGCAATCTAATTGATTTTTCAATTTAGAATTTGAACGAACGGCAAACTAGCAGAGATCCTTTGCGATTCGAGGAGTAGAATCGATTTTTTTTGCATTTCCAAGATTTTTAACGGCTGGAAGGCTGGCAGAGATCTTTGTGGAAATGTGATCAGTTTCCGAATTCAATAATAGCAATTTATTTGAGAGGTGTCGTTCTAATTCAGGTTAAATCGGCTGGCAGGCTGGCAGAGATCTTTCGGGAACCATAAAATAACTTTTTTTTGTCGATTGAATACCCTAAACAATTCCTTGTGAGAGTAGCACTTTAGGTGAAATCTTCTATAATTTTTGGGTTTTTTCGCATTATAGAAGGACCCGGTGTTTCTAATAGAAATAGAGGGAGCGTTTCCAAACTTTTTTATTGTTTCTAAACCCAGAAAACTTGGCAAACTTTCATTAGAAAAGAACATAAATATCGGTTTTTCGACGAAAATTTCATTAAGAATGGTTCTAAACTAACAACTTTACAAATTTTGATTTAAAAATACAAAAAATATCTTGTTTTCGGTGAACATTTTAACTAAAGCATTTTTCTAGGTTTTTTATTGTTTTTCCACTTTAACCTATTACTACTACCTAATTTAACCCATTGAAAGTTTACAAAAAACCGACGATCAGAGGAAATTTCGACATTTTCTCAGAGCATATAATATCAGGCTACAGGGTTTTTTTTGTTAGTTATCCATCCTTTTAAATCAACGGTAAACTGGGGCAGGCTAGCAGCGATTTTTTGGGAATCTCAGGGTGTGATTAGACAAGATTTTTATTTGAAAACATTGACTTCTGCTTGTAGCTAGAGCTTACAAATTGCCTTTACAAATTGGCCATTATACTCCGAAAAAGATATCCTCCATATGAGATATTGGATGTGGGCCCAAAGATGGCCCCCGGTGCCGTTTGTGGGTGCTTTGTGGAAATGCTATCCTCCTCGACTCCCACGGTGCCCTGGCCCCTCGACAAAAGCCCACCACCACCACCAACCTCTTCATTCCAAAAGTGCCCTCTTCTCTTGCTCCTCATTCTTCTCTGGCTACTTCTGCTGCTCCTGGCCGCATCCTGTGAAACAGCAAGTTGCCCTTGGCGTCTATTCAAACGGCACATTCCGCTCTAAACGGCTTTGTCCCGGAAATTTTTGAATCGCTTCTAAAATCCTACAAAATGAGCGGCCTCATCCTGAAATCCGAGGTGCCGTGCGTGGTGTGTGGGGATCGAGCGTCGGGTTGGTTTTTAAGTTGGGGTTATCGGTTCTTGTGCATTATCGGGGGGGGGGCAACGCTTTATTTCGTCGGACCTGATTTTTTCAATATATAAATAGTTAAAGTGTTTCTAAACCACTTTTTACTGTTATTAAACATAAAACCTTTACAAAATGTCACTGAAAAGTGTCAAAAATATAAATTTTCGACCAAAAAGGGCGATTTTTCTTCAAAATTTCACCTTTTTTAAACATTTTTTAGTTTTTAGATAGTCTTTCTAGTTAAAATATAGTAAAAAACCTTAAAAATGTCAATTTTTGCGACCAAAAATGGGCCAAAATTTGCCTTTTTAAACGTGTTTAGGTTTTTAGATAGACTTCCTAGTTAAAATGTAATTATTTTGTACTAAGCCTCTATTAAAAACGTGTTATTAAGTTATTAAACATTTGTATTTACAAAAAAGTTCGCTGCGCGCGGCGGAAAACCCGTCGCGTCGACAAAGCCTTTTTTCAAGCGGGGCTTTTGCTGGAGCACGTGCGAGCGCGCTTTTCGTCTTGAAAGCGTGTACTCTTGATTTTTTTACGCGCATCATTTTCAGCGAAAAAGACGAAAAACCAAAAGTTTTCGATTACCCTAATTCCCGTCTTTTAGGCCGCCACTACGGCGTGCTGTCGTGCGACGGATGCCGCGGCTTCTTCAAGCGGTACGCCTTTTTTTGGCCTCTCGATGTATGTCTTGTTTCAGCTCGATCCGGCGGAACCTCGTCTACAGCTGCAAGGAGGGCGGCGCGTGCGTGGTGGACGTTGTGCGCCGGAATCAGTGTCAGGTACGTGTTTTTGGGACCGGGAATAAAAAGCAAAGTTATTATTCGCTGAAGCGTTAAATATGTTTTGTAAGTGTCATAAAGTTATATTATGTGCTAAATACCGGAAGAAGACCATAAATAAAAAATTTTTTGGTGAAATTTCTGTTCGAAAAACGGTTTCCTCAAGCCTTTTATTAATTTTACAAACGACAAAAAATTCAGCTACTTTCAAAAAATGGTTTTCTGATGTCGTGTGTATATTTTAAACGCTTGAAAACCAGTTTTAAGGCTTGATGAAGCCCGTAAAGCTGGCTTGAGCTTTACCTCCACCCTTGGCTTTTCCGCTCCGAAATCTTTCGGAGAGCTTGAAAGCGGTTATGAGCCCTCCTCCTCCTCCCCCTCCTCCTCCTTCCCCTTAACTGGTGGCACTCCCATGGCTCTTTGGGCGACTTTGCCCAGATAATCCGCTACCGTAGCCCTGGCCCCCGGGCGGGACCCCGTGGGACCCAATGGGGCCCAGTCGAGGGCCCTAAACCCCTGGGGGCCCTGGCACCGGAAAGCCACCCCGGATAAGCTTACAGAGGCCGGTGAGGGAAGTTGGGACTTACTAGTTAGATCAGAGTTAATTTCAAAATCTCGAAAATCGCAATGTAATTTCATAATACCGATATTCGGGATTGCGAAATTTACAAAACCGGATTTCCCGGAAAAAAACCCGAATCTATGCATAAAATGGCGACGTTCTGAATTTCGACATTATGATAGCAAATCGTTTTTAAAACTGAAATTTAGCTAGTTTTTAGCGTAACTTTAGCAATTGTAGAATTGGTAATTTTTGGATTCTTTTGCATTATCGGGGGGGGGGCAACTTTTTTATAAGAATCCAATTTTTCTAATAACAAAAGAGGAAGTGTTTCTATTCATTTTAGTTTTATTAGAGGCTTCAGTTTAGTTTAATTTTAGGCTTAATTTTAATTTTAATTTGCAATGTCATTCCTAAAATGTATAATACTACATCCTCGCAGACAAAAATTTGCATAAAAATACAGTAAAAAAAGCGCGGCAGATGAAAAAAATTGAAAAAATCAGGGGTTCTTTCGCATTATCGGGGGGTTCTAAACGGTTTTTTACTTTTTTTGAATGTAAAACCTGTATGATTTTCTTTAAAAAATAGAAAGATATACAGTTTTCAACCGTAAATGCCCGATTTTTGACTAAATTTCAACGAAATAATTTTTACGAGTTTTTTTTCGATTGTTTTCCATTTGAATTATAGCTAAATTTTACAAAAACCCTCATAAAATATTCACTTTTACATGATTAGGCATTTATTAGCTTTTTTCAGGCTTGCCGCTTTTCGAAATGCCTGGATATGAAGATGAATCGGCACGGTGAGCTCGAGTTACAGTATTCCGCTCATTCCACTTTTTAGCCGTCCAAAACGAGCGCTCCATCTGCCCGCCGAAGCGGAAAAGCGGCGATTTCCTGATGGAAGAGTACGTTGCGATACGTGGCAGCGGAGGACCAAGAAAAATGATTAAAAAACGAAGGAACGGTAACAATAAAACTTTTTTAGAGTCCCCTACACGATGGTGACGGTGGCTACAAATCTAACGAAAGAGCCGAAGAGCAAAGAGACAGGTTGGCTGTTTTTAGGCGTCGAAAATTCGTTTTTCAGGCTTCACCATCCGTCAGCTGTTGTCGGTCGTAGGGACATCCACCATACCCCAATCTGTCGCCCTGCTCGCGTCCGTCGTCCGCTGGTGCGCCGTCGTCCCGCCCATCTCCCAGCTGAACGCCCAGGACAAGCGGGTTGGTTTGCTTTCAATTAACACAAAATTTGGGACTTTTGCAATATCGGGTGGGGGCTGTTTTCGTTATCCGATTTTTCTATATAAATAGAATACCGACAGCAATAAACCATTTTTACGGTTCTTGGGCATTATCGGGGGGTGAAATTTTTTGTCTAGGTATAAAAATGTCTAGTGACTTGGTAGGAAGTGTTTTAATGGTGCTTTTAGTAAAATAAAGCGATTTTTCAACTAGAAAAAAACTATCAAAAACCTTGAAAAATTCAAATTTTCTCGAAAATCGGACATTTTTTGTCGAAAAATCGATTATTTGATATTTTTGTAATAAACATTTGTAAGATTTTCACGTTTAGCCATGTAAAAACAGTGTAGAAAAACTTCCTCGATTTATATTAGAAAAATTAGACCAAAATGGCCGATTTTCGACCAGATTTCTAATTTTTACACATTTTTTCTAGGTTTTCTAAATAGTTTCGGGGTTAGCGGGCGGAGCCCGCTAACCCTTTTTGGGTTGAGGTACCCCCCCACGCGGCTCTTTTTGGGACCTTTACCCGGTTTGAGCGGTAACCATGCATCGGATCGTAAAACTAAATATACCACCAGAACCGGCGGCATTTTCTGCATCACATAGGCTTTTTAAATTTTGAAAAAAGTTAATTTTCGAATTTTAATAGCGGTTTTATTTTGTACTCAGAGGGGGGGGGGGTCTGCGTTTGTCACGATGTTTGTATGTCCGCAAAACCTTTGTAGTCGTCGAAAAGTGCCTTCCCATGAACGGTTTTGGCTGAAAATTTGCACAGGTATTGGCTTAATGCTAATCTCGATGAGGAAGAAGCGTTTTTTTCAAAATAGGCCTTCAAAAAATTTTTATTTAACTTTGAAATTCAAAATTTAAATTGGGGTCAAAAGGTATCTTGTCGAGGTCCGTTGGCGCTGAAATTTCTCATAGTGATGCACTGTACATTGTTTTAATATTAACTGAAGAGATTATCGTAAAATATACGTTCTACGTTGAGATACGGCCGGATTACGTGAAAATCTGAGGTCGCAATACGGGGCGAGCGCCCTTTCTGTCTGGGCCTCTCCTTGCCCTCCCCACTAATAGACCCCTATCTCGTCTCCCCTTCCCCCGCCAATATTAACAAACCCCACTTGTGAAATTATTTTTATCAAACTTATTTGGTTTTGATAGGACGATGTTAGCACCGAGGATCTAGCTTTACGATAATCACCAAGGGCGGTCCCATCCGCGAGCCGATATTTTTGGCATGTAGGGTCAGCGCCACAGGGAAAAAAATCATAATAATACGTGGTTGGAAGCGCTGAAAGGGAAATGATGCAATTAGTAAAAATCATAAGGGGTCTGACCATGATGTACGGTTATTATAGCGAGGCCCTAACTATTCTTACGATGAAAAGCATCATTTCCTGGGTAAAACCCCGGGTAATTGCCCAATCCCCAAGAAGAAAGATATGCAGACTAGATGGGGTAGCGCAAATTTTTAGCTTTCCGAAATGTCGTATTGAGCCGAAAAGAATTAAGTAGCAAGCGTATTTGTGTTGCTTTTCTATTATAGATAGCTCCAGTTCTTTTGCATAAAGATTAGGTGACGTGGAGAGCGGCTTTGTCGGGCATTAGTGCGCCTCAGAGTCGGGACTCGTTTGAGGTCAGGCTGATAATGATAACGACATCTGCCTTACGCGGGAATAATAAAAATAACCCCCGTTCCCGCCGCCAGATACAAAACTCTGATGCACGCAAGTGAAATGGTACACATAGGATAACGGGGGGGGGGAATAAAATAACGGGGGGCACTCATTATTATGAAATTTGCAATTACTGAGGGATTTTGCGAGTGCCATTCGATAGAGCGTCGAAAAATATACTAAGAGAATTAATTTCAGCCCGAAATAATGTAATAGAAATTTTTTATTGAATAAACAAAAAGTGAGGAAAATCTATGGGCAGCACATAGGATAACGGGGGGGAAAGTCAAATTTTCGAAATTTTCGACGTTTTCGGTATTTTGAAAACGTCATTCGATAAAGCGTCGAAAACTGCCCTAGGAAAATTAATTTCAGCCCAAAATAATGTAAATGAAATTTTTTATCGAATAAACAAAAACTGATCAAAATCCATGGGCAGCACATAGGATAACGGGGGGAAAGCCAAATTTTTGAGATTTTCGATATTTTGAAAACGCGAATCGATAGAACATCAAAAAATATACTAAGAGATTTTTTTACAACGCGAAAAAATGTATTATAAAAGTTTTATAGCCTAAAAACTATTTTTGAAAACTATGGGCAGCACATAGGATAACAGGGGGGGAAAAATTTTTCGGCGTTTTGAATATTTTCGAAATTTTGAAAATGCCATTCGATAGAGGACCGAAAAATATACTAAGAGTTTTTTTTACAGCCCGAAAAAAGCTTATTTAAAAATACTTTTATCATATAAAAGTTTGAGTGCCCCCCGTTATTTCCCCCGTTATCCTATGTGTACCAGTGAAATATTGTAAGAACATAGTTCGGTCAAAAAGAGCAAAATTCTCTTTAGCTAAAAAGAGATTCTTTAAAAAAAAGGGTTTTTGGGTTCGAAAAAAGAGTGAGATTCTCTGATGCAGCAAAAAGCGTCGAATTCCCTTACTTCCCAAGCCTGAGAAAATGCGAAGGATCAACCAAAAATTGCTGGCACCTAGGAAAACCTCCCTAAATTTTTGCAATTCAATTTTTTATATTTTCGGCATATTGCAATGCTCCTGCTCTATTCCTAATAAAAATATAAGCTAATATAATCAACCACTTCGAACGTTGAGCTGGCAAACCACGTGGCTACTCCGTGATACCGCGTGGTGACGAAGGACATCTAGAAATGGCACACATGCTCAATTTTCGAAGTGAATGGTGTTTGAAACTGCGCTTTAATAACCAAGCAATTTTTGGTTGATCCTTCGCATTTTCTCAGGCTTGGGAAGTAAGGGAATTCGACGCTTTTTGCTGCATCAGAGAATCTCACTCTTTTTTCGAACCCAAAAACCCTTTTTTTTAAAGAATCTCTTTTTAGCTAAAGATTCCATTTTTAATTATAGCTAAATCGACCAAAAATCTATTAGAATCCGTGCTATTACATTACTACAGATATCACGAATCTTAAGAAAAAGTTGCTCCCCCCCCCCCGGTATCGCAAAAGCTCCAAAAGCTGTTTTTTTAGGTTGAGCGGCAATAACGAGCCCTTTCTAGGTGCTATTTTACAACTCGTGGCACTCGCTCTTCCTTGCCCACATCATGCAGAAGACGGGCAAGACGACGCTGACCGAGCTGCCGGCCAATGAACGGATACGACTACTCGGCAAAACGGTGGCCGATCTCGGGCTTAGCGCCCTCGAGCAGTGGACCATCACGACGATTATCATGTTTCGGGCTGGTACGTCGAAAATTCTATTTTTTTAACGTTAAAATTATGTTTTTCACCGTTTTAAACTCAACCAAAAACCCGAAAAGTTAGAAAATACTTCCCAGAAGCTTTTTCTTATAGCCCGTAAACTAATCGTAAGCGTTTTAGCTGTAAAACCAAAGTCGTAAATTTGATGCGTAGCGTAGCCTAGCGTATCTTTGAGCGTTTAAATCTCGGCGATTATCATACGTCGAAAATTCGATTTTTAACGCTTAAATTATGTTTTTCATCGTTTTAAAATCTGCTAGAACCCTAAAGTTTACTTACTTAACCTTTAGAAGTAACGTAAAAGCTTTAGCTTTACGAAAAACGGTAAAATTTTAGCTTAAAACTTAATTAATGTGAAATATAAGATATTTTTGTCTCGCCGGACTTCATTTCTATAATTAGACCTTAAAGTAGAACGCTTAAATTATTTTGTAATCTTTTTAAACTCTGCTAAAACCTTAAAAGACTTTAGATTTAAACTAAAAACTACGTTAAGCTAGCTTTTAGAAAGATTTACATATAAAAAAATCGAATTTATGTTTATTGTAGGCATCGGCTACGATATAAAAATATATTGATAACTAACAGGTACCAAGCTATCCCATCCCAAAAGAAAGAAAGAAATCCCAAACGCTCACTCCTTCTAGAAGATGGACGCTTCGAAGAGCCGCACATCATCAAAAACATTCAACATCAGGTTTTTCTATTTTCTTTACTTATTTTCCTTTTTCCAGGCCACCGCCCTGTTCCTCGAGACGACAAAACAAGACCCAAGTCGACAAGCACAAATTGTGGCGCTACTGACGAATATTACAGGTTTGAAGATTGGCACTCAAAATCGTGGGAGTTTAAGTTTAGCTTAAAGATATTCGGTTCTTGTGCATTATCGGGGGTAACTTTTTATCGGGATCCTGGGTAAAAATTTTACAAAATTTGATTAAAAAGTGTCAAAAATATCGATTTTCGAACAAAACCGGCCGTTTTTGACAAAAATTAACCGTTTGGGAAAAATCAACGTTTTTAGATAGTTTTTGTAGTTAAAATGGAGGTTTTTTTTCGCTAAAAATCCAATTAAAACACTTACTAAAACGTTACTAGGCTTTTCTGGATTTATAGGAAGATTTAGATAGAGATTTCCTCTGGGGGTGTTTAATTTAAACCCGAAATTTCGTAAAATTCAGCAATAAACGCCGACGAGGTGCGAAAAACGTTTTTCGCGGCCCAATCGCTCGTGGAGCTGGAGCACATTTGTCGTTCGGTGCTTTGAGGATGGGAATAAAGGCGTTTGCTAAAGGGCGCACATGCCGCCAAAGCACCACACCCCCCGAGAGAACACACACTACGACGATGATTTCAGGGGCAAACCCCCGGCTTCAGAGAAGGATATGTAAACTGTTTGCTAAAGCTTAGAATTGCTAAAAACTGATTTTAATTTGTCAGGATGATTAAAACCGGCTGATTAGCTTTCAGGTGGTTTTTTGAGAAGAGTAAACATGACTTTTTCAAGCTCTAGAAACTCAAATATACAGCGGTGATGATTTTGGGGGAAACTCGGCTTCATAGCAGCTTATGTAAACTGTTTACTAAAGCTTACAATTGTTAAAAACTGATTTTAATTTAACTCAACGATTCGAACCGGCTGATTGGCTTTAAGTAGTTTTTTACAAGCGTAAAGATGACATTTTTAAGATCTAGATACTAAAAATATATAGCGATGATGAATTGAGGACCCGACTCGGCTTCATAAAATGTTTACGAAAGCTTAGAACTACTAAAAAGTTTATTTTACGTGTTCAGGATGATGAGAATCAGCTGTTTCGCTTCAAATAGCTTTTTAAAAGTATATAATTCTTGTTTATATCTCTTAGGATACTAGAAATAGGTTTTGTTTCCACTGTTGATGATTTGAGGGGCAAACTCGGCTTCATAGCAGCTTATGTAAACTTTTTATTAAGGGTTAGAATTGCTCAAAACTAACTTCAAATTGTCAGCATGTCATTAAGAAAGCAAAAAAGGACATTTTTAAGCTCTAGACACTAACAATATAGTCTTTTTAAGGTCTAAAACTAGCCGAATCGCTATTTCTTGTTTTGGACACGTTTGCCTTTGATTTGCTAGAAATATCTAGCTTCAAAAGTCCTGTTTAATCTTTCACCTGCCCAAAACACTCACTAAACTGTTTTTTCAACATTAACTCGTTGCGTGCCGATTTGTGAAAGGGTGTGCCAGCACCGTACTAATGTTGTGCGTTAATTGATACAAGTAATTTTAGGTTTTAGAAATTTTAGCGCGAAACCAACATGATCCGGCCCTACTCGTCGGTTCCAAGCCGTTTGCCGCCGCCCGGCACCTCCGTCCACACGGCCCTCGGATCCGTTTTTCGAGCCGTAAAGCGAAAAACTGCCATTTTTGCATGGATCCGGCACCTTTTCGTTATTTTTTTTTCAGTTTATGAACTTGTATTTTGGTTCTTTCGCATTAACCAGCAAAGACAAGAATTTCTTTCTTAGAATCCAATTTTTTTAAGTATAAATGGCGAAAGCTTTCTAAGCTTTTTTTACTATTCCTAAGCTTAAAAACTATCGAAATTTGTTTTAAAACACAAAAAATATGGCTTTTCGATCAAAATGCCCTTTTTCACCCAATTTACGAGTTTTTGACAAATTTTTGGATTTTTTGGGTAGTTTTCTAGGTGAAATATGGTTTCGTACGACGAAAAACATTATTAAAATACTTCCTATTAAGTTCCAGACATTTCTAGAGGTATACAAAAGTTTGTTTCCTCTCATGAAAGGCAAAAGAACTTTTTTTAAAGGATTTCAACACCTCGGCGCGATATTTTTCTATATATTTCTGCACTCTGCACATTCGCGCGCCTCTCCCTCTCACCAAATAATCATTTTTCGACCTGTTCTTCAGTTTTCTGCACTTTCCTACCCGATTTTTTGCTCCGTTTCTCGCTTGGGGCCACCGGCCGGCGTTTCCCCGCAACATTCTCCTTTTTTCAGATTTCGATGGCGGAGAGCGCCCCGACTTGGGGCCCCCCGGTGGTCTCGGGCCTGTCGCCGACCGAGGGGATTCCAGGTAAAACTTTATTCTCTTAAACTGCTGGTTTTGCGCGACATTCTGGGCCCATTTTTGGCCGATAACTCCTATTTTGGTCGCTATTAAACTAAAGTTGGGCGAATCGCGGCTAGAGGAGAATTCCTAGAACTAGAAAAGTAGTAAAGACGTTGAATATAACTTTTAGGGCGAAGAAAAACGCTTTTCGGAATCAGCGCAAAAAACTGCGTACGAAAATTTGATTTTCAAAGAAGTTTGAGTGTAAAAAGCACAATTTTATCTTCAAATAAATGAAAGTTGTTGTTAAAATTAGCTAAAAGATAAATCCCTATGGGAACTAAAGTAGAAAACTGAGGTTTTGAGGGTTTGCAACCCGGTTTTACGCTATTCGAAATCGGCGCGGAAAACTACGCTAGAAAATGTGATTTTCTGAGGATTTTTTATTAGTATGAGCAACAAAAATAGATATTCGATATCAGCGCAGAAACTTGTTCAAAAAATGTGGGAAAATTCAGGTTTACGGTACTCTCCCAAAATGCGGTTTTTTGTTTTCAAATCGCTAAATAAAGGTCAGAAACGGACTCAGCGACAAAAAATTAGGTGGCGGAAGGCACTTTTTAGGGGAGAAAACCTCATTTTAGTTTTGAGATCGGGTACCGTAAAGTAGTATACGGGGGTGACTACTTTACGGTACTCTCCCAAAATTTTAGTTTTTCTGCACGAAAAGAAGCAGTAAGGGCTGAAACGAATGAAGCAGCAAAAATAATTTGGCGGAAAGGCCTAAAAATGAGTGATTTGAGACTTCGAAGTTTGAGGCTTATGACATGTCGCGCAAGGTGGGCCGTCGCTTCGGATGGGCTGCCGCTCCACTCTTTCGAAATCAGGGCGCCTGGGCGCTACGCGCTCCTCGGGCGCCCCGATTTCGAAACCCTGTACGAGCTCGCACCCATCCGAAGCGACTAGGCCCCGGGTGGCACGAAGCCTTATTTTTAGGCTTAAACTGAGTGTGATTGAGAGATGGAATCTGTGTCCGAATCGTCCCTTTATAGGCCTTTCCGCCAAATTATTTTGCTGCTTCATTCGTTTCAGACCTTGCTGCTTCTATTCGTGCAGAAAAAGGAACATTTTGGGCGAGTACCGTAAAGTAGTCACCCCCGTATACTACTTTACGGTACCCGATCTCAAAACTAAAATGAGGTTTTCTCCCCTAAAAAGTGCCTTCCGCCACCTAATTTTTGTCGCTGAGTCCGTTTCTGACCTTTATTTAACGATTTGGACACAAAAAACCGCATTTTGGGAGAGTACCGTAAACTTGAATCAAGCCAAAAATGTGATTTTGAAAAGAAAACTTATTATTACAACGTGTAGCGTTTCAAAAACGGGCCCAGAATTTGAAAAAGCGCTTTTTCGGCTCAACCCGCTTTTTTCAGGGACGCAGATCACGCTGCGCGGCGAGTTCCTCGGCCACGATGCCAACGACGTCGTCATGCTGTTCATCTGCGGCACCGATTGCCTGCATTCTGTAAAGTGAGCAAAATATATGCTTCCGTTATTTCGGATTTTAGGTGGAAATCCCCGTCGAAGATCGTGGCGCGGGTCGGCCAGGCGAGCCGTGGACTCGGCGAGATCCGGATCGCCACCCGGTCCGGCGGGCGCGGCTCGGCAAACGTCAAATTTCGGTGAGAAAATGCTATCTAATCGTGGGAAAATGAGGTTTTTACGGTACTTTCGCATTATCGGGGGGGGAGGCAAAATTTTTGGCAGTGTTTTGTTTGACGTATTTTATGAGTGTTTGTAGTAAAAAACTGGAAAGAAAAGCATGACATGACTAGAAAAGGTATCTAAAAACATAAAAAGTTTTTAAAAGCCGACATTTTGGTTAAAAACGGATGATTTTGGGCGAAAATAGATTCAATAAAAATTTGCATGGTTGATGCGTTGAGAAAATCACGAAAAAAGGCAGGAAATCTCCGAAAAAACTTAGCAACAGCTAATTTTATAATTTGACGCTGGAAAAAGCATAATAAATCTTTCCAGAGTCTTCATCACGCAAGTCGGCCCCTTGGAAGAATCGGCCGTTTGGGTGGACGAGACGAAGACGGTTCCCGGACGTGAGGTGAGTTTTCTCAAGTTAAAAAAGAGATCGACATCTTTTTTTTGTATCTATAGGCGGATTTCCAGTTTGTTGAGCAGGTGATCGGATGATTTTGGAACTTCTTGCAGCGAAATCAACTTCTTTACCAAATTTTTAATTTTTGCAGTTTGAAACAATTATCGTTTTAATTTCTTTTCTTGAGCTTTGAAAATGCGCAAAAATCATTATTTTTTATTTTGTTGTTTAGGCGATCCGGAACGTCGCGCCGAGCCTCGACGACCGCGATGCCCTCGGCCTCAGCAACGCGAAGAAGGCGGACATCGGCCACTTGTCGATGGAATACCCAGATGCTTCCAGTAGGTTTTTCTATAGCGAAATATATGCTAAATTTTATTTTAACTATCCTATCGGTGCTTTTGCAATATCGGGGGCAGCTTCTTTCAAGGTCCGAATTTTTCTATCATAGCAGTCGCTTCTAAGCTTTTTTAGGACTTTTTCTAAACATAAAAATGTTACAATTTTTGCAAAATTATCAATTTAGATTTAGATTTAGATTTTAGACGATTTTAGAACAAAATGGCTGATTTCTGGCCCAAATTTCATCAAAAAATTTTCGACATTTTTATTTGCTTTTTTGTCGCTTTGAATATAGTTAAATTTTCCAAGGAACAGTATTAAAGCAATTAATGACGTTAATCGGCATCTCTAGACGCCTGGGAAAAATGTCACCCCCCCCCCCCCCCCCGATAATGCGAAAGTACCATAATTCCTATTAAGTTATACCATACGTCTTTAGGTAACCTTCGAATGGAGAGCTTCAGCCCGCAGCTCTACATGCTCGAATATCATCTCGACTCGAGGTTCATTTTTCTTGCTAATTTGTGCTTTTTGAACGCAAATCTCTACGATTTTTTTGAAAAACTGAAATTCCTACATTTCCGTTGGAAAACTGTAATTTAACGATTTTATGTTGAAAAACTGAATTTTCTATAATTTTTTGTTTTTTTTTTGAAACATAAATTTTTTTCTGTTCAAAGGATACTCCAATTTTAGCCTCGATCAACTGCGCGCCGGGCTCGTCAACCTCGACCGCGAGAAGCTGAGCGAGGTGAAGAAGACGGAAGAAATGCACAAGGCCAACCTGTACTCCCTGATCTCGTGCGTCGACTCGTTGGCCGCCCTCCACGTCGAATTGGCCGAGGCGAAGGAGACGGGCGAGTTCGCCGTCATCAAGCAGATTGCCACCCAGGTGAGCAGCGCCGTTTGGTAAAGGGACTAGAAAATGTGAGAATCTACCTATTTTATCGACTAAGTCTCGACAGTTGCGTTACGCTCCAAATGACGGATTCAATGGTTTTGCGTTTTTACGCAAATTACGTTCCTAAGTGCTGTAAAATCAGGATCAAGGCGTCATTTGGCGTGTCGCGTAGCTGTCGAGGCTTATTAGATGAATTAGGTCGATTTTCTTGCCGTTTAGTCCCTTTAAACTTCAAGATCATTCTTGGGTTCTAAAAGCTACGCGAAATTCTGTAGTTTTTGCTCCCAAATTTGATGCGTAAATAGGCGTGCTCGTACGCTTGACGCCCCTGAATTTACCTAGCGTAATCGATTTTATCTAATTTTAAAATTTGACGAATTTGTGAATTTGGACACTCGATCACGATCAGCAAGCTATTTTCTTGATTTTTATCACGCTTTTCGTATTATTTTAGATAGAATTTGAGCTTCAACATTTTAGGTGTTGCCCTTTTCTTGGTTTCTCGTTTTATAACTTTTTTTCCAGATCAAAGACGCTCGCTCGGAAGCCGAGACAGTGTTCAAGGACGTGCTCGCCCGCAAGGACAAGGCCGATTCGACGCGGAATGCCCTCTCCGTGCTCACCCGCTTCAAATTCATCTTCTTCCTCAACAAGTCCATCGACGAGAATATGGCCAAGGTGATTTTGCCTTCATCTGCTCTTATTGTGCTTTGTAGGGCGAATATTCGACAATTCTGAACGACTACATGAGAGCCCGATCTTTAGTGGCGGAGACGGACGTGCCGTTGTTTAAAGAAGGTAACTTGACGAGCTGTATATAAATTTACCTTTTTAGTGATGGCCGGTGTCGACAAAAAGATGGCGCACTTCAAGAAAGATCTGACGACCCGCCTCATCGACTCTCAGCTCAACTACGAGGAGCAGAGCAAGATGATCAAGTATTTGAAGGTGGGACAGTTTTCTAAGAATTTTCGCTGGCTTTCGTGTTACCTGAAGACGAAGCATAATTGTGCGTGTTTTTGCTCCATTTTTCGAACTTACGCTGTCAATACTGAAAAATATTGGCACTATGTCGAAAGGTGGATTTTATTACTCTCTAGCGATTGAAACTTTTTCGTTTATGTTTTTAGAGGTATAAAAATTGGTCTTTTTTAAAGTGGTGCTTCAGAATCGTCAGAACTTCAGTTTTACAATCTTCTGAAAGGTTTTTGTATGCTGAAATACATCTTTTTCGCTTTCTATCTATAGATTAATAAAAATAAAATAATATCTTGCTGATCTGCTAATGCGCAGCACCTTTTAAAACATTCAAAAGTTCTGAAGCAACAGATCAATTTTTCAGATCCTCGACCCGGACTCGGATCCTCTATGGCACTGCATCACCTCTTCGCACCAACACCTCGACACGATTCTCTGGAATCTCCAGAAGAATCACCACGAAAAAGGTATAGTTTTATTAAAAAATCCACTTAAATTCATTTAGCAATGGCCGACGAGAAGCAGCGAAGTAACGGCCGTTTCTTGAGTGAGTATTGGATTTTTGCGTTTTCTATTGTTTTTTTTAGTTGTCGAGACGAACCATCGGCAAGTATTCATCACGGAAACCGTCTCGAACTTGATGGCCAAGCTGCAGGTATTTTTTTCAGACTGCAAAACTTTAAAATTTGATTCAAACTCTTTAAAAAAACTTTGTACTAGTTTTCTAAACTATTTAGGTCATTTAGAACTACCTAAATAGTAGGCAAAAACTGCTAAAACTGTATTACAAAGCTTAGAATAATGTTTAAAACGTAGGATTTTTAATCTATTTTAATCACTGTATTTTAATAACTTAATATAAGTCTTTAGTAGTGTTTTTAGTAAAATATAACTGTATTTTTATTGGAAAACTATGTAAAATCTCTTCAAAATTTGAAAGTCGACATTGGTCCAAAAATCGGAAATTTTGTAAAGTTTTTACGTTTAGTATAATTGAATTTTTACCTGAATTCAAAACTTTAAAATTTTAGCGCTTCTGGAAACTCGTGACGAACTACACGAGCAGCGACGATCGCTCGGCCCAGACCCACGAGGATGTCAATGTAAAAATTTACAATGTTGTATAAAATTATCGATTTTAGCAAATGCTAATCGGTACGATCAACGTCTCCTCTTGGCTCCTGCTCAACGCGCTCGTGCCCGACTCGTTGCCGGACGAGGTGATGAAGAAGTACGGCGACCAGTTCGTCGTCTGGCCCAAGGCCACCAAAGGAAATCGAGCGGAATACGCTCTTTCAATCGTTGAAGGCGCTACGGTAAGCTGAGTTTTAAAGATTTTTTAATTTACTTAATTTGAATTGACTGTAAGTTTTAATTTATTTAATTTTCATTGAACTCAATTTGAATTTAATTGAATTTACCAGGGTTGAAAAGCCGCTTCGCGACTTTTCAACCCTGGCCCCGTCTGACCCCATTTTATCCTTCACTTTGCATAATGGTACTGAATTCAGATGACAAAAAATGAAAAACAACCTCGTCTGTGCATTTATATAGTCGAATCACCACTTCCGGTCTATGCTAATTATTTCCTAACAAAGAAACTTTAACAAAAACTTAAATTTAATGTCGACAATGGCTGATTTTGTAAAATTTGATATGTGTGCAGTCATCTCAAGACCATTGCGCACCTAATGACGTAACAAACATACCCGTAACTTCCTCCCCCCTCGAGATATCCTCCGGACAGACAGACGGAAGTGGATGCAAAGTGGCACACACAGACACACACACACAGACACTATTTTTTTATATATAGTAGGATTTAACGTTTTACTTTTTTTTGCTCATTTTCGTGCATTTTCTATCAATAATGCAAACATTTTTATTTTTTTGAGGATTTTGTACATTAAAAAACGACATACAAACGCTATAAAAATAAATAAAAAGGATGGAAAATTTACGCTATATTTTTCATTTCGTGTTTTTAGGGGCCTCGTCTCATTCCTGCTGGAGTGCCAGTTCACCTCGCAACACGTGCAGCCCTTGACGGAGTTGTGTATGACGGTCCGACTGAAGGCCGTCTCCAACATTGTCGACAAGGGCGTTAATGGTATGGTTCTCTCTCTCTCTCTCTCTCTCTCTCTCTCTCTGTCTCTCTCTCTCTCTGTCTCTCTCTCTCTCTCTGTCTCTCTCTCTCTCTCTCTCTCTCTCTCTCTATCTCTCTCTCTCTAACTCTCGCTCTCTCTCTGTCTCTCTCTCTCTCTCTAACTCTCGCTCTCTCTCTCTCTATCGTAAAAAATGTAGTTTAGAATGTTTCTTTTGATTGGCAAAATTCTTGAAATTCGAAATTCTCAAATTCTCAAATTGTTTAATAATGAGTAATAGCTATGCTATGGAAAATTTTGCATTTTTAACTGCGTTTTAATACTTTTTTTGTTTGTTTATAAATTTTTTCCCGTTCAGCCATCGCCGACCTGTCGAAGAAAGAGAACTGGCAGCAGCGCGAGTTCATCTCCAAGGGCGTCTGCAAGACGGGGCTGCCGGATTTGTTCGAAAATGAGGTACTTTGTCAGATCGTACTTTATTAGCTCCTAGATTTGCGAGTGTATCTCAGCGGCTCGCGACGTACTCTCTTCAAATGGATACCCCGGCGAAACGGATCTTTTTGGGCGTGAGGCGTGAGTTTTTCGACTTTTCCAATAGTTTTTTGTCATAATTTTCTATAAATGTTTGTATTCAGGTGATATTCGGTTGTAAATACGTCTTTAGCTTCCGGCGCAGCATCATCGACGTGTTCGCCGGATTGATCGTGTCGGTGCGCGGCTGCTTCAACACGTTGCTCGACCTGAAGGGCGACCGGCGGCCCAACCAGCTCGACCTCGACGGCAAGGAGAACCGACAGCAAGAGGGCGAAAGAAGGGGCCAGGTGAGGTTTTATAGTTTTTTTTTTGTGGAAATTAGGTTCTTTCGCATTATCGGGGTGGGTCGATTTATCGCAAACAACCTTTTTTTTCTTCAGGATCCGATTGTTCTAATATAAATGATATAGGAAGTGTTTCTAAGCTGTGTTACACTAATCCTAAACGATAAAACTGGCGTGTTTCCATGAAAAAAATTTAAAATATCGATTTGTTGACAAAAAATATACTTTTTCGACCAAAATTTCAACCAAAAAATAGTTCTTAGTTTTTTTATTATTTTTTCCACCTTAAGTATACTTAAAATTATATTAAAAACTTATTTAGACTTATTTATATAAACTTATTATCGTAATTTTCATAGCTTTTTTCTCTTTGTTATCACTGTCACTTTAAAAAAGCTTTTTTATGCCATTAACCTCCTTCCAGATGACGATCAAGAAGTTGTTGATCTCGATCTGCAATGTCGAATACATTGCCGACACGTCGCTGAAGAATATTGGGCGCCGAATGGAGGAGAACGGCGTCAAATACGCCGATGTTATACTCGAGGTTGGGTTTTTTCAAAAAGATTGTAAAACTATTTATTCTTTAGAACGCGCGATCTCGGCTGATGGAATACCGACAGCGCCTCGTCTCCATCTACAACCAAATCAAATGCGCCAACTTCCAGACGCTCATCCGGTCCGCCAACTACGACTATCTGCCGGATGAAGGTAATTTTATTTCACGCTTCAGGCTTTTGTAAATTAAAAGGTACTTTGTCTTTTCGGGGGGAGCAGCCCGGTTTTTCGAATATAAATAGGCAATGCGTTTCTATGCTGTTTTATTTGTTACTTTGAACGTAAAAATTACAAACTTTCATTAAAAATAAAAAAAAACTGAGAATTTCGGTCCAAAATTGGGCAATTTTCGACGAAAATTCGACTAGAAATCAAGTTTCTAAGATTTTTCAGTTATTTTTGTACGAAAATATGATTTAATTTACTAAAAACGGTATTAAAATAGTTACTATTAAGTTACTAGGCTCCTAGGAAAAACTTCTGCCCCCCCCCCCGATAATGCGAAAGCACCAATTTGAAATGACTTGTTTTTTTTTTTTTAACCCACATTTTTAGACATCTCCGATTTCGCGAAGGAGATCATCATGTGCTGCGTGTTGGAGCAGGCCGAGCTCGAGGTGAACGCGCCGCAACTAACGCAAGAATGCCTGCAGCACGCCGTGCAGTACGCCTTCCAGCAGCTGATCATGCATCTGGTTGGTCGTTGCAAATTTGGTTTCTCCGCTGTTTTGTTATATATAAATTGACGATAGAGATTAGCAAAAATAAATACTTTTCAAATAAAGTAAGAATGAAGATTTTCTAGTTTTTCATCATTTTATCATGTATCTTTTTTAGAAAGACCACCCGCCTCGGGACGTGGACTCGACGACGCAGTGCGTCATCGACATGTCCGGGCTGGAGCAGGCGCTCGGACCATTTCTCAGCCTCGACACGCGCACCATTCTCAACGCCCACCGCGCCCAGCTCGTCGAACATTTGGATCAGGGGCAAGAATCTTTCGTACTTTTACAATAACGGGGGGGAGGAGGTTGGTCTAGTCATTTTCATAGTGTTTTTATGCAAAATTTAGCTATATTTCAAGTGAAAAGCTTTTCAGAAAACAGAAAGGCGTTCAAAATGTTGCGATTTTCGTCGAAAACTACGTGTTTTTTTGCGTTTTACTCGCAATTTATGAAGTTTTGACGTTTAGGAATGCGAAAAAAAACAATGTAGAAAAATTCGACATTTGGTCGAAAATCGTTACTTTTAATGACATTTTTGTTTTTTTTTGCGTCTAGAAATAGTAAAAGAACAGTGTAGAAACATTTTCTTCATCAAAATATTTGAAAAATTGGATGCTAACGGGAAAAAAGTTGCTGGTTCATTAGCGGGGAGGGGAGCGGGCCGTGGCTACCTCCCCCCTGCTAAGGAACCAGTCCAAAAAAAAGTGTGTTCCCCCAATTGTTGCGAAATTTTAGATTTAGAACGCTTTTGCCGGAATAACCACTGTTGTTTAGAAAACTGCAACGATGCATGAACAACCTGCGCGATTCGCTGCGGATCGCCCTCGAAAGTCTGGAGGCCAGCGGCCGCGACGACCTCAACGCGTCTAACATTTGAAGCCACACCTCCTAGGAAATGTTTTGAACTTGCACGACTCGCCGTGGTTTTTCTAGGTGTCGAATTGTTCGCCGGGCACTCTGCCTAATAATTTCCGCAATTTCAACCAAAATTTTTTTTGCTTCTGGCCCGCTGCTTGCTCATCTACTAATCCCAGGGTTCCCCTAGTTCTCCGAATTCCACATTAAGCGGTGCTGGGCTGTTAGCGGGGGGGGGGGCAAATTTTTCCCAGTAATTTGTAAAAACTAGAAAATTTACGAAAATTTGTGATTTTTTGGTCGAAAATGTCTGAAAAAAGACCAAAAAGTTCAAAAATTTCGAATTTTCAACATTTTCGACATTTTTTATAAGTTTCTAGAAATCAAAAACTACTAAAAACTATAAAAATATACTATTTTTATTAACAGGTAGAGGTGGAAAAACACCCCCCGATAACAGACCAGTACCCACCAAGCTGATTTCTATATATTACCTTTATCACTTCTTTGTACAAAATGTATCCATTCGCTTACCTTACCTTTACCCCCCTGTTTGATGTCTCCAATTAACTTATTTGTCGTGCGTTTGTGCGTGTGTGATTTCTCGGTACCAAACGTTTGTTTAAACAAAACCAAATTCTGCTTCCCCCGCCCTGATCGATTGACTGTGATTTTTAGGTATAATGATCAAACGAACACCGCGTTCATTTGCTTTTTATGAGATTTATATTACCCCCCGAAAAAAACTTCTAACCCTCCCCCTCGCTTCCACATTACACGGTGCAGGAATACCACGATTTGTCCTATCGGAAACGATGCGCAATAAAATAGTTATAATTTTTATGTGCTTTTTCGGATTTTATTTCGGTTGTGGATACGAGATTCGATATTTCTGGTTTTACGTAAAAGTTCGTTTTGAGGTTTTGTTAGCCATATACCCCTAGATTTTGCATACTAGAAAGTAGGATACATGAAAAATTCGACTGCTTTTTGCCACTTTAGAATGGGGTTTCGTTATTGATACGAGATTTCATATTTCTGATTTTTCGTAAAAGTTATCTTTGAACTTTTTATAGCTTGTTAGCTGTTGATCCGTATAGATTTTGATTACAGGAAAGTAGAATACATTAAGGTATATTACACCTTTTTTGTGCCTTTTTAGTATTTATTTTTGTTATGAATACGAGATTCGATAATTATGCTTTTTTAGAAATCTTTTTTTTAACCATAGATCCGAATAGATCTCGATTACGAGAAATTAGGATAGATTAAAATTTTTATCAATTTTTTTTTGACTTTTTTATGGTTATTCTCTTTTTATATTAGGGTAATTCCTTCAAATCGAGTATTTTTTTTTGGCAGGACCCTGAGTATCGGGTTTTTTTGCAAAATTTTGGACCATTTTTTTACGTTCTCTCTATTTAGATTGGAAAGAAGTTGCCCCCGATAATGCAAAAGAACCCATAGCCAACAATGTACTATCTTGCCCTAACTTTAATCTTTTTAATTTTCTGAGCTTTAATTCTTAATTTTTAATTTTTATAAGCTCTTTTTTTCTAGAAATGTCTCGCGGCTCCTCCTCGGGCTTCGATCGCCACATCACCATCTTCTCGCCGGAAGGGCGCGTCTACCAGGTGGAATACGCGTTCAAGGCCATCAACAGCACCAACTTATCGGCGGTCGCCGTCAAGGTTTGCATTTTCGATTGTATTTATCCTCTAAAATTAGGGCAAAGAGACGGCGTGCATCGCCGTGCAAAAGCGCGTCCCGGACAAGCTGATCGTGCCCGAGTCGGTCTCGTCCGTCTACCAGATCTCGCCGACCGTCAGCTGCTGCATGCTCGGCATCATCCCGGACTGCAAATTCCAGGTGCGCTAGAGTTTGATTTAAATTTTGGTTCTTTCGCCTTAACGGGGGGGGCGCAAACTTTTTTTACAAAAATATTAAATGACCGATTTCTGCCCAAAAATTCGACTTTTTCAAAGCTTCTAAAGTTTTTAGATAGTTCTTTTTTCCAGGTGCGCCGCGTCCAAATGGAGGCCGCCCAGTGGAAGTACAAGAACGGCTACAACATGCCGCTCGAGCAGCTCGCCCGCCGCATCGCTGACCTCAACCAATTCTACACGCAAAACGCTGAGGTATCTTTCCAATGGTTACAGAGAATAACTTGTAATTTTAGATGCGCTCCCTGGGCTGCGCGATGTTGATGATCTCATTTGATGACGAGGATGGGCCGCAGGTGAGGTTTTGAGATATAAATTTTAAATATTGGTTCCTTCACCTCTTTTTACGTGGGAATTAGAGGATAATTTTTATAATTGAATTTTGAAGAGAAAACAAGAATTATTTTATTTTTTATTTTAATTATATTATTTTTTATATTTATAATTTTCATTATAGATTTTAATTTTTATTTTTTGGGTAAATTTCTAATTAAATATTATATTTCTAACCCTCCTTTTTTTCCTTTTTTGTCTGGTTTGTTTTTTTTTGTCTCGAGACGTTGTAGTCGTGATACTTTGATAAATTTCTTTTTTCTAGGTATATCGTGTCGACCCGGCTGGGTACTACCGTAACATGAAGGGCGCCGGGCTGGGCGTCAAGGGCAATGCGATCAAGCTGGCGCTCGAAAAGAGGTAGTGGAATGCTGGAGGACGTACTTCTTGCTACTTTTATTTTACCCGATTTCTAATAAAACCCCCAACAACGTTTCGCGTATTTTTTTGGTACTGGATCTTTATCGGGGGGCAAAACTGATCTTTCTTTATTTTCTTAGCTTATGCCTACGTATCAATATATACGTTTTTGTGTTTGAAGGTTTCTTGTAGCCAAGAATTTTATTCAAAACATTTTAAGTGTAAAAAATGACGTTTTCAAACCGCCTTTTTCTTTTGATTGGTTTTTAGGGAGGTTTTTAGCGATACAACCGATGAAAACCACTCTAGATAACAGGAAAATCACGAAAAAAGAGCTACTAGTCGCTTCGCTGGCCTGCCTCAAAATTGTTCCATACCATGAGCTGATTGTGTTTGTGGAAATACCTAATTTATCTTTCTAGGATGAAAAAGCAATCCGAATACGACCACGATGGAGCGATTCAATGCGCTCTGGAAACGCTGCAGGTAGTCATTTATATTTTAAAAATATTCGTATTAGTTATATATGCATTTACTTTGTTAATATACATTTTATTTGATTCATACGGCTTTTATTCAACTCGTTCTTTAGGAAAGCCTCGGCAACGACCTACGCTCCACCGATATCGAAGTGATCTACGTGACCAAGGTTGGTTTTTTGCCCCGTTTTTCGAACAACTTTTTCGTTTAGGACAAGCCCGGCTTCAACCAGCTGCAATCCCACGAAATCGAGGCCCACCTGACCGCCATCGCCAATCGGGATTAATTTAAGGTCGTCAAAAATAATGACTTTTTTTGAAACGTTGTGCATATTTTTTTACCGTTGCTCTGTTTCGGGTCCATCCCCCAATTTTCACGGATAAATCCTTTTTTGCAGAGATTCTCAAGATTAACTACAAATTACAGGCTTTTCCGCAAATTCTTGCTGCTAGATGGCCCATTTTCCTCAAATTCTTGCTGCTAGATGGCTCGTTTTCCACAAATTCTTGCTGCTAGCCGCCTAGCTGCTAGCTCCTAGCCGCTAGCTGCTGACCCATTTTCTACAGATTCTTACGGCCATCTGGCAGATTGCTCCCATAGCTTGTCACGGCTGCATTACACCATAGTCGCTCTCTCGCCGCGTAGCCCACACCCAAAAGGCCAGACATGCAGAGGGAATGCCGGCTATTACCCGATACACGGCTGGAAATTACTTCCTGGAAAAAATTAAATTTTTATAGAAAGTTATGGCTGCGCTTGGGAAATGAGCGAGGCTTTGAAGGGATAAACCACGGCCTAGATTAGCTTCTTTTGGAAAGTGTTTTGAATTGTAGTTTAAAGTTTCGATCGTCTCTTTCAATTTTTTATGTGATTTTATTAAAAATATTGTATAATACGCTTTTTACAGGTTTATCTATAAACCACCCGAGCGAAAGAAGCGGAAGTTTCTTTAAACGCTTCAAAAAATCCTTTAAAAAGAGTTCTAATCTTTAATTTCAAGTCCCGCCCTTCCACCTCCATTTTCTTTGTAATTTTATCAAAAATAGGGTATAATATGTCTAATATAACATTTTCAGGCTTATGGTAAAAGAGCCGGAGCCGATACGGCGGATATCCCCTCCCGACGATGACGGCGAATCCGGGGAGTCGAGCGGCGGCGACGACGACGCCGACGACCAGCCGTTCAAGCTGAAGAAATTTCGCTCGGCCGACTTTGAGGACTCATCAATTGTAAGTGGGGGGCTTCAAAATGATCGTATAAACACCGTAAAGAAGCTTAAAAGCTTTCTTGCTTACAGTGAGTCGTTTTCCGGTGGTTATCGAGTTTTTCTATGTAAAAGGGGTCACTTGAAAGAGCTTGACTTTGTGAACGAGTACCAGATGTCCAAAACTGCTGAAAAAGCGCGTAAAGCCGATCAGCAACGGTAATAATATATTCAAAAATTTTTCCTATAATCCAAATTATATTCAAATTTATTCATTACATTTCAGGACTTTGTCGACTCGGAGCCAGAGCCCTCCTCGGCGGTCGGCTCAGATGGATATGAGCAGGGCTCGGAGGCCGACAGCGATCTGGGCGGAGATTCGAGGGCTGAAGATACGGATGATGAGGAGATGCAACCCGACGTGAAGAACGATATGAAGGAGGAGCGGAAGGAGAATGGAAACGGATGGAGGCCGGGCAGATCGTTACGATCGGCCGACCATCAGAAGCCGTCGATTGCCGCGTCGGCCGGGCTGGAGGAGGAGGCCGAAGACGATGACGATGAGGAAGAGGAGGAGGAGGACGTCGATGAAGAGGAGGACGGGCCTGAACTCGTCGAGGATGACGAGGAAGAGGAAGCCGACGAGCCGGAAGCCGAAGATTTGGAAGAAGGTTGGTTAGCCTTTTTCTCGGCGGCAACTAAACTTTTTCCTAAAAGTCCAAATATGCCCAGACATTCAATAGAGGGTTTTTATTTTTTTAAATTTGGCAAGACATAGAATAAAAACACGTTTAGCAAATTATTTTAGAAACCCTCAAAAAAGTTGAGATTTTGAAATTTATTGTTATAGTAAAATAATAGCAGGTTTTTACGTTTAAGAATAGTAGGACTAATCGGGAAATCGCTACTCTATTTATATTAGAAACCCCCCGATATTACAACAGTACCGCATTTCAAAAAAAAAATGCAATTTCTGGGTTTTATGTGAAAAATAGTCTTGTTTTTATCGTATTTCCGCCAATATAATTACTCTATTTTAGAAAAATTTGGTCAACCCCCGTCACATCTGCCGTTTACCGCCCTTTTTCAAAAATTTTCAAAAATGATAAGGGTCCCCCCTTATCATTTTTTCGCCATCTGCAGATTTCGGGGCGGCATGCCCCCCCCCCCTCCTACGGGCCTGTAGAGCAAACGTAATAAGTCGCCCTTTTTTCAGAAGAAGAAGAGGAGCAACCGGAAGCGTCGGGCAGTTCAACCTCCGACTCCGACGGCTCTGAATCTGAGGCAAGCGTCGAGCCTGACGAGGATGAGCCCCAACCCGGCAGCTCGAAGGCCCCGCAAGTGGCCCCGCTCAAAAATGGCCCGCTTCCGAATGGTCCGGGAAGACCGGAGAATGGGACGAGGATTCGCATAAATGGAACGGCCACAAATTCACACCCAAAACTGCGACCCGACGAACGGACACCCGAGAAATTGAGGGAAGAGCTCCGGAGAAAGTTGCTAAAAGTGGGTTTTTTAAAAACTTTTTGGTGAAATTTTGTAAAATTTTGGTACTGGATCGTTATCGGGGTCCAAAATTTTAGGTGGGATCTGGTCATTTTTCGGTTATTTCGCATTATCGGGGGGCAACTTTTTACTTAGGAATGAATTTTTTAGATATAAATAGTGCCAGTGTTTCTAAATGGTTTTTTACTAGTCCTAAACGTGAAGACTATGAAAAATTTTGTTAAAAAATGTCAAAAATTTCGATTTTCAACCAAAAATGGCCGATTGTTTACCAACGTTTCGACTTTTTGAGCATTATTTAAAGTTTTAGACAGTTTTCTAGTTGAATAATAGTTTTGTATTTAACACACTATTAAGATTAAGATTTATTTAGTTATTGGACATTTTTGGGCTTATACAAAACAGTTTTTGACGAAAAATGGACATCTTTCGACAAATATTCCCATTAAAAATTGTGCTGTTGTTTTTATTGTTTTTTTTTCACTTGAAATATGGTTAGCTAAAAGAATTATTAAAATACCTACTATTACATTATTCAGAATTTATGGCCTCCCCCGATAATGCAAAAGCACCGAAAAAATGCTATTTTAATACTGGGCCCTCGACGGGCGGTGTATTATTAATTAAACACCCCCCCCGATAACGCTCCAGAACCTAAAAATCGGTTATAGCTAGAAACTGACAAAAAGACAATTTATCCCATTTTTTCCAGATGCGCACGCTGACGCCAGAACAGTTGAAGCGGTTGAAAGCACGACTCACCCCAGCCCAACTCAAACGCCTCCGGGCCAAAGCTATGGCACGGCTTGGGCCGAAGGCGAAGCGTGTCATCCAGATGCATCAGATCAACCGGAAGCAGCTGCTGCGCTTTCGACGGCTGGCCCGGCTGAAGCAAAAACTGGAAAAGGAGCGAATACCCGTCCCGCCGGCTGTCACATATCTACATAATCATCTACATCATCGCTTCCAGCTGATGCGATTGCATAAACAGGTCGGAGAAAATTTAAAATAGGTTTTTTTAGTAAATTTCTGGTGTTTTGGCATTATCGGGGGGCAAAGCTTTTTATTAGGATCTAATTCTAATCTGAGCCTAATTTTTCGTAGCGGAAGGGTTTCTAAACTGTTTTTTTTACCATTCCAAAACGTAAAACTTTACAAATTTCCATTAATAAATATGAAAATCTGGATTTTGGCCAATTGCGATTTTTATATTTTTAAAGTTGCTTTTGATGGTTTTGTACATGAAATTTAGTGTTGTTTAATACAAAAATACTACTAAAATAATTGATATATGAGTTACCAGAAATTTCTGAACTTTCTGGAAAAAATTTGATACCCCCCGATAATGCAACAGCACCAAATAGGTGAAGCTGAAACGACGCTTTTTTCACTCTTTTCATCAATTAACTGTTTTGGCTTTCAAGCTAGTTAAATTCTGCTTCAAAATTTTAAAGCTCTTTCTCGCTTCGTTTTTTCCATGATAATCCGGGATTTTATAGAAAAGAAAAGCAGCAATTGAGAAGGTAATTGCTAATTTTTTTTGAATATTTACACATATTTTTAACTTGAAAATTATTTTTATAGTTTATCCACCTTTTCCAGGCTGCCCGCGACGCATCACAACGCTCCTACCGTGCCGCACTTCCCCTGCGCGTCCAGCGCCTGAAGCGAGCCCTCGACATTTCGCGCTTCGTCGCCCAAATGGAGAAGCTGCTCGCCAAGCCGATCAAGTGCGTTTTGGGGCGTAAATGGGGTGTCATTGTGAAATTAGGAATTTTTTTTACTGGTTTGGAAACATCTTGTATTTAAATTTAGCGAATTTACCTCTTCAACGCCCATTTTGAAAAGCGAGCGGTAATCCAGAAAAACGCGTTTTTACCTGCTACTTTTCTTAATTGCGGTTTTTAAATTTTTATTATTATTGCTAATTTTGGTGCTTTCGCATTATCGGGGGGGGGGGCGGCAATTTTTTCTTGTTAGTCCAGAAATGCCTAATACGTTTATTGGATATATTTTTATAGTGTTTTTAGCGAAATTTAACGATGTTCAAGGGGAAAACTAAAAAAACGTGGAAAAATTTGAACGATTTTGGTTAAAAAAAATCGTGATTTTTGTAATTTCCGATAAAAATTGTAAAGTTTTTACGATTAGATATAGTGAAAAATAGTTGAGAAAAAATTCGCTTATCTTAGAGTTTTCTTATTGTTTTAGCAAAATTTAACTATGGCAAAACAGAAAAAACTGCCAAAGTTTTTCATCGATTTTGGTCGAAAATTTGTCATTTTTGGCCGAAAAATCGATATCTTTCGTAATTTTGTAGATTTTGTAAGGTTTTTACGGTAAGAATAGTTAAAGAATAGTTTAGAAACGCTTCCGTTATTGTTTTAGAAAAATTGGATTCTTTAAACAAAGTTCCGCCCCGCCCCCCGATATTGCAAAAGAACCCATGCATTTTTGCAAATTTGCTCGCTTCAACGCGCTTGATTCCAGGATTCCGGGCCTCTACTCGTCGGTGAAGAATCGTTTCGGCCGTCCCCTGTCGCTCTTCTCGATCAAAAATGTGTGGCCGAGTCTGCAAGAACGTCTCCACCACGCCTCCCGCCTCTACAATTTTAGGCAATTTTTTAAAGAGATAGGGGCGGCATAAGTCAATCGATTACGCGAGGGAAAGAAAATGTCTCTGCGCCTCTCCCCTGGGAGCCCTCTCTCGCGCGAGATCGCCGCGGGACCTGTTGAACCCCCCTCCCCAAGGGGGGTTCAACAGATGCCGTCCTCATCTCTTTAAATTCTATTTTTTTAGGGGTTTCCAGGATTTTTATTTTTGGAAGAAATTGCATGCTTTTTGCTTAATTCTTGCCGAATTTTGAGAAGAGCACTTTGCGCTATTTTGTTAATAACGTTTTTTTAGTCAGCCGAGATCGCGGGAATGGCTTCACGAGCTGCTCGTCGATGACTCTGATTCGGAGTACGAGGCCGACCACTTTCAATTCAACGAGGAGGACATTAGGACGCTGCTCAAGGTTTGTGAAGGCTTGGTTTCATCAAAAAATCCCCTTTCTCGTCACGAATTTGTAAGTAATGAAAAGTATCTCTTCAAAAACGCCTTCTGACCCCTTTCTTAACACTGCTTTTTAAAAACTTTTTTTGTACGTTTTAAGTGTTTTAACTTTGAAAAACTAAACTTTTGAAAAAAGTAAATATCCAATAGCCCTCCTCCGCTAATGAACCAGAACCCAGGCCAAGATTAACCAATTTTTTCAACCAACCAAACCAGAACCAATTTTTTTAAATTATTTTTAAAGAATGTGTTTTTAAAGTCTTAAAGAAAGAAACATTTTTTAAAAGGTTGTATGGAGGGTTTCTCATTAAATGTCGCTCTTAATCAATATGTTTCAGATCCATCGCCGACGGCGTGCCATCCAAAAGTCCTACCACCTCGATGCTGCCGGGAATACGGTAGGCTTTTATGCCTTTTCGTGCTCCCAAAATTGGTGCAAACTGGAATTTCATAATGCCGAATTTTTCTGCGTAGTTTGGGTTTTGTCCGGCGATTTGCCTATTGAATTTCGGCATTCTGAACTTTCGAAATAATGACATTTTTTTGTTGAATTTTTCAGTTTTTTAAAATCTTATTAAAAGGAAAAATTCATGAAAATTATGAAAGTCATGAAAAATTTCCTGGAAATACAGAGCTTTCGGGTTTTTCGGTGGCCTTGCTGGCGCTAAATTATTTTTTCAAAAAATTAAATGGGCTCGCTTGTTGTAAGAATTCATTAAAATAATAAAAAACATTAAAATTTCCCTGGAAACACAGGTTTTTCATGTTTTTTTTGATGGCCTTGATGCTGCTAAATTATTTTCGTTATAAAACACCCTTTTTTCAGTGCATGTACTACGGCGCGGGCTTGGTCAGCCTCAACGATCAATTCATGGACGGAAACGGGCTGATGCGACACTCCGTCTACCGATAGCGGCTTCTCCTGCCCTCCCCCCGCCACTTCCACTCGGCTACTGTATCGAGAGGCAAATCGGGTTTGCCTTGTTTTGCCCATTTCGGGGGGGCCCTCCGGATTTTTTAAAAGTGGCCAATCCTAGCAAAATTTAGCTAGTAATCTAGGATCTTTTTGAGGTTTTTTACCGATTTCGAGTATTAAAGATGAGATCTAAAATAAGATTATTTAAAATTAAATTAAATTATGTTAAATTAAATTAAGGTATTAAATTCCAAAATAAATATAAAAATATCAAATCGTCCTGAAAGCTTAAATAAAGTATCGAAAATTAGTAAATAAGCTATAAAATGCTCGGAAAGTTAAACTAATTAAATTTCAACGTAACCGAAAAATTAAATAGACGTTTATTTGGAGGATTTTCGATCTGATACCTAGAGCTTGAAATAATAATCGTAATAATAATAATACTTCATTGCAAAATTTCGTAAAATCACCGGAATTTATAAAGGAATATTTTAAAAGTATTTACAAATGTTTTAAGAAAAAAATTAAATTTTAAAAAATCGAAAAGAATATTTAAATAAAATCCGTAAATAGTCCTTCTGGCCGCTCTAAAATCCGCAAACCACCCCCGGGGCCGAACAGGGATTTTTTTGGATTTTTGATACAGTACCCCCCCGATAAGCGATAAGCGACTAGCTTTTGCTCCCTGTGTATTTTTTGATATATGTACCCTCTCCTCCCCCGTCTCCTCATTCCCAGGCTAAATACGTGTATCCCGTTGATCTCTCAATTTGCGTGCCCCCGAAGAAGCCTTTTTCTCAAAAGAAGAAGAAGAAGATACGCTTCAGATAAATATATGCCATTTTGGTATGGGATATGGACGGAAAACACGTACCATGCGGGGGAAACGCTTTAAAAGCATCTAACAAGGGAAGTGCACGACCGGCCCACGAGAAATCGACACGAGACATAGTGGATCTGATAGAATCGGACACGGGGATTCCGAATCTGTAATCAGAATTTGCTAAATAAAATGGAGAAAAAAGTTATGAAGCTTGAAAGTTGGTAAAATCGCCCAAAATCGGACTTTTATGGTCCGGTAAAGGCCCAGGGAATGGAAATTTGCCACAACCCATTAGTGCATCTTGTTCAGCAGAAAAAGCGCTTTCGAATGAGCTATCTTACTGAAGTTTACGATGATTTCGCAGAAATCTCTTCTATGAACTTGACAGGCCATACCCTGGCCCGTGAATCCAAAAAAACTTTTTTCAGTGAATTGTTTGCAAATGCTACATATTACAGCCCATTCGAAAGCGCTTTTTCTGCTGAACAAGATGCACTAATTCTTTTCTCCTCAATTCCGTTCCCCCGGTTTTTACGGGCCCTTAAAGGTACCGTTTTTGGCGATTTGGCCAACTTTGATGCTTCATAACTTTTTTCTCCGTTTTATTTAGCAAATTCTGATTACAGATTCGGAATCCCCGTGTCCGATTCTATCAGGTCCACTATGTCTCGTGTCGATTTCTCGTGGGCCGGTCGTGCACTTCCCTTGTAAGCTTTAAAAAGCTGCCAATTAAACTAAAAAACGTTAAAGTTAAACCTTAAAAAAAGGTTAACGCCAATCGAAAGGACAGGGAAAGAGCTAAAGGGACAAGGACACGACATTTTCATTGAGTTTTCCGTTGTCGCGATGCGCAACGCGCCCGCTTCGAAGCCATGTTCTCAGCCGATTACGTGATGCAATGCGGGCGCTTTTTACGCGCAGACCTGGCCAACGTTTTAAAACGGCCAGGTGCTTTTGCGTTATCGGGGGGCGGGATTATCAGGGGAAACAAAAATGATGAAGAAATGCTTATTAACGTCTTTTTATAGTTTTGGGCAAAATTTAACTATACATATTTTGAGTCGAAAAACTATCTAAAAAATTTAAATTAGACTTTTTCGTCGGAAATCGATATTTTTTGTATTTTTTGTAGTCCGAATTTAGAAATTATTTACGGTTAGGCATAGTCAAAAACACTTTAGAAACGCTTTCTTTCTTTACATTATATTAGCAAATATTTGGAAACCCCCCGATAATGCCAAAGATCCAACGGCTGTGAAGGGTGATCTGGATTTTGCCGTACCCGCCACACGCACCGCACGCTTACAAGCGCCTAAAAACAGCTAGAGCCTAAAAATCTAGAAATTAAAGCTAAACAAAAATTTTTAATTCGCTATTAACTTATTTACAGTAAATTTAAAAGATAAAAGCCGAAAGGCGACAAAGAAAGATGAGAAGCAATTTTTAAATCAATTAAATAATGCAAAATAGCTTTTTCATCATTTGTTTCAATTAAGAAAAGAACCCTAGAAATTGCCCCTACGCTTTTTTACGCTAGTTTTTTCGTTTTAATTCACGAATTCACCCGTTTCTAAAAATAGTTGCCCCTGTGATGCAACGCCTCGGCTTTTCGGCGTGTTGGCCGGTGTTGTGGCTTCGTGACGACGCGGCCACCTCATCCAACAACAATTTTTCGGGGGCTGGCAACCGTCGTAGACCTCGAGAATGAGACCGTAGCTTTTTAACCTATTATTTCTGGGGTTTTCTATAATTACATGCTCTTTTGGTACTGGGCTGTTAGCGGGGGGGGGGAGGTACATTTTCCCCCATTAGTCCCGTACGGTACTAAAGCGTAACTTAAACTTTATAGCATTTTTACAGGATTTTTAGATACTTTTCGTAAAAAATGCATAAAATGACGCAAAAAGCAGCATTTTAAATTTACGGTAATTCTTAAAATATTTTTTATAGTTTTCTAGCAATCAAAAACTACTAAAAGCACCAAAAATACGTTATATATATCCTTAAGAGATGCGTAGGGGCAATTAAAATTTGTCCCCCCCCCGATAATAGACCAGTGCTAACCTGAATGCGTTGTTTACACGATTGTCTAAAAAATCTCGGCTAGCCTACCCGTTCCTATGGAATCTCGGCTAGCCTGCCCGTTCCTATGGAATCTCGGCTAGCCTGCCCGTTTTCTAAAGATCTCGGCTAGCTAGCCTTCTTCCGGTAAAACATAGTACGTTCGTGCTACGTGCGTCTAATCCGTATTCCGGGGGTGTTCGTCGTAGTGTTGTGTGTGTGTGTGTGAGGGTGGTATAGGCGGTGTGAGGGTAGAGCATTGTTTATCCGCGGCACCCCGGTTTGCGGCTTCTTGTCTCTCCCATATACAGAGAAGAGGAGGAACGGACGGTCCCGCAGCGCTAAAGAAGGGCCCGGTCAGCCGCCCCCAACGCGCCCCGCGCGTCGACTGGTTCAACATGCTGCCACGCTGGCCAGCCCCGGCAGCTTGACGACGTCAAGCTGGGCCCTGGTTTTTAGGTTCTAGCTATCGGCGCATAAAGTTTGTTTTTTGGGTTTAAAATAAGGTTTTTTGTAACTTTCCTTTTCTGGATTCTTTAGAAAAAGGCAGGCTAGCAGAGATTCTTTAGGAAAGGGCAGGCTAGCAGAGATTCTTTAGGAAAGGGCAGGCTAGCAGAGATTCTTTAGGAAAGGGCAGGCTAGCAGAGATTCTTTAGGAAAGGGCAGGCTAGCAGATATTCTTTAGGAAAGGGCCGGCGAGCAGATATTCTTTAGGAAAGGGCAGGCTAGCAGAGATTCTTTAGGAAAGGGCAGGCTAGCAGAGATTCTTTAGGAAAGGGCAGGCTAGCAGAGATTCTTTAGGAAAGGGCAGGCTAGCAGATATTCTTTAGGAAAGGGCAGGCTAGCAGAGATTCTTTAGGAAATGGTGAGGCTATCAGAGATTTTCTGAGGAACACCTAATAAGCCTATAAATAATCGTTTTTGCTTATGAAAACTTTTTACTCACCTGGTAATTTCCAAATTACCCCTGCTAGTTGCCCCCTTGAAAGCCCCCATGATGTCTCTACATTCTCCCCGGATTGTGCTCTATCGCTTTGCTATGCATTTCCAGAAAGAGAGAGAGAGAGAGAGAGAGAGAGAGAGAAAAAGGGAGAGAGGGAGAGAGGGGAGAGAGAGCTAGAGAGAGAACACCGACTTCAGCTGACACGTTGTTTGCGGCGTTCGACGCGTCGTCCGCGTCGAGTCTTGACCTATTTGGGGGTTCGGTCTTGTCCCCCGCATCGGGTTCTGTGCCCGCCGCTCGCGCTATTCATCTCAATTCACAGAACCCCTCGTTCTCTTATCCCAGGCGTCAATTAGCAGCCATGTGTACAATATTGGACTAGGATTAAAAATGATTTCCTCAAGAATCTCTGCTAGCCTGCCTTTTCCTAAAGACTCTCTGCTAGCCTGCCCTTTCCTAAAGAATCTCTGCTAGCCTGCCATTTCCTAAAGAATCTCTGCTAGCCTGCCGTTTGCTAAAGAATCTCTGCTAGCCTGCTATTTCCTAAAAAATCTATGCTAGCCTCTCCATTTCCTAAAGAATCACTGCTTGTTCTCCATCACCTCGAAAAAGCTTTCTTTTTTGTATGACGTTTCACGTTTTTTTATGAACCTTTTTTTGGGAAAATTACCCCACATTCAATTACGCGCTGGAATTCCCATTTTTTAGCATTCCGTTCCCTTCCTGTTTCCACTTTTTTGGGGCCAATCCGGCACTTTGCCCCGTTTCGATTGTGAGTCAAAGTGGTCAGCCCGGTGTGGTGCTTTTGTGACTCATCGACCCGGGCGATTATCTCCACTGGCTGGTAGCAGACAATTTTCATGGCATGTTCCAGTGGTTGTACCGATCCCGAAAAGTTGTCAAAATCTTTTTAACCTTTTTACTAGTTTATTTTGATGTTTTTATCAAGTTTCTAATGTTTTCAAATTTTTTTTGCGGCGTAATTAAGCTTTAGCAAAAGCGTTAAAATTTTGAGGTAGATCTAAAAACTCTAAAAATCCGTTTCCTAAATTTTATAAAGACAAAGCTGCATTTCTACGTTTTCTACGTTGTAAATTTCTGCTAAATTTCAAGCGAAAAAATTATCTAAAACTTTTAAAGCGCTTAAAAATGCGAAAATTATCGAAAAACATTACTTTTAATAAGAATTTGTAAAGTTTTTGCGTCTCGGAGTAGTAAAAAACAGTTTGGAAACACTGTCTCTATTTATATTAGAAAAATTGGGGGTTTAAAGACCTCCCCCGGTAATGCTAAAGCTCCGTAAATCTCGACATTGACATTTAGAAATCGCGAATCTTAGCAACATTGGATGCTAAAGAAAAACTTGGTCCACCTCCCCCCCCTGATAATGGGAAAGAACCAAACAGGCTTAAGAAATATAGGGAACCTTTTTCGGCGATTCGACATCTCGAAAAAGATATTAGCGGGTTTTCAAAGCTAGAAAAGCCGACTTTTTAGGTTTTCTTAGCTAGAAAACGCCCTAAAAACTCGTAAAATGGTCCGGCTGGATTTGGAGGAGCTTTCCGCCCGCGCGGAGAACCTTCCGAGCAGCTGGTTGCCCGCCCGCCTTTTTTAGGGCTAGAGGCCGGGGAGGAGCGGCGGGTAGAGCCGAGCCGACTCGCGCGCGTGCTGTGTGTGGGTTCTTTTGTGCTCGATCCCCCCCATGCAGCAGGTGAGGAGGACTGTCGAACGAACGGATCGACGCGCACCACCTATCTCTCGCCCTCTCTCCATTTCTCTCGCTCTATCGCCCCCCACCCTCCCCTCCCGCCACTTCGCGCCATGGCCCCGGGGCCAGCCACCCATCCCATCCACCCATCCCACCCCACCCAAACCACACGATCCCATACACCAACTATATCTCTCTCTCTTTCTCTCTCTCTCTCTCTCTCTCTCTCTCTCTCTCTCTCGCTCTCTCTCGCTCTCTCTACCGCACACCAAACATTGATCCATCGGCGCGAGCGCGCGAAGCGCCCCAAACACTTGAAGCCCCCCGGCGCCCGATCCTTGATCCCCGGAAATCAGCCTCGGGATTGCTCGATTTCTAAGCTTGAACGTTTTGATTTTCACGGATTATGCCGGAATTCGCGGATCTGTCTTCTGTTTCTCTAGTTTTCATTTTTTTAACCCTGAATTTCAAGTTTTGAAAGCTGAGTTTTGAAGCTTTGCGCGCTGCCTGAATTTTATCGCATCTCCCCCTTGGCTGTATCGTTTTTTAAATATCCGTTTTTAACGTCGACGACTTTGAACGGTCTCCTTTTTCTCTAATTTTCATCTTTTAACCCAAGTTTTCCAGTTTTGAAGGCTTTAGGCTATTTTCACATTCCTTAGCGCTGCCTTAATTTTATCGTATCTACACCGAAACTGCGCAAATATATATGGTTTCTAAATTTAATTTGTCTTAAATTTACTGGTTCCCAGCGCCGAAGACTTTTCCATATGTTTAGACGTTTTCCGCCGCCCATTTCATCTTGCCTGTTTTGGCCTCCTGTTTACCCCTAAATTTTCGTGGCGCCGCTTCCGAAATTTTGGCGTCAAAATAATATTTCGTGGCTTCAGAGAATTTCATGGCGCAACTTTGAAACAATACAACTTGCGGACTTTTCACGAATCGGATACTTTTTTAAGACCATTTCGATGCTTCGACGTTTCGGCCTTTCCGAAAAATCATTCCCCCAATTTCGTGGGTGTTTCAAATTTTTGGTGGCATTTTCGAAACTGCGAAATCACTATTTTCTTTGTTTTTCTTTTATTTAATTGTCAAAAAACCATGAAAATAGCGAGGAAAAATAATTTTTTGTGGTTCCGCGGAACACCAATTGACGCGTAGTCGTAATTTGTTGTCGAACGTCCTATCTCGTTCGATTTAATTTTTTTCGTCGTTTCCTCCTAAAAATTAGCTTTTTTTAGTTTTAATGATATTTTTAGTATTTTTATGTAATTCATAATACTGTTTTAATATATCGAAATGCTAAAATTATACTTATCTAGCTGGATTCCTCGTTTCCGGGTTGATTTTCCCCCTCAGACCCGTCATTCCTTCGATTTTCTGCTCTTTTCAGAACTGTGAATTTTTGCAGCTACTAATCGAGACGCAAAACTTTGCTGAGTAACTCCCTGCGTTGCCCTTTGCACAGGGCGTAGATACGCTATCTGACCCGTCGTTGACTTGACCGAGAGGATCCCGTGCCCTCCATTAACCCTTACTGCTTTTGTGATGGCTTTATGGGGGCAACTTCCTGCCCCCAATCTCCGCATTCCCATGCACCCCCGGGTATAATTGGCTTGGCACCAGATTTCTACTAGCGTGCTTACGATTTTTCTTGTGAATTGTGAAGGGAATTGGCGGCTGTTCGGTCTTTAGTTTTTCCTTTTTCCTCATAAAGCCTTTTTACTGGCGCATTTTTGGCCTCACCAGAAATACCTCAAATTGGCCCCTGCTAACAAGCAGCTTTTCCCCTCCCTCCACCATATTGTCGACGATGGTCGATTCGGCGGCCGCGGACGCGGCGATTTCGGTCGTAATTATTCACTCTTTGTGATGTCTACGCCCGGCCGCGGGGCGCCCTCCTCGGACCACCTTCTTTAAAATGATCGATCGGCTCCACGGAGAGCTTCGGGCTTTATTTCAATAACCGATTTTCGACTGTTTCACACATTTTGGCTGGGAGAACCCGTTTCTGAATTGACAGGAGCCATCGCTTTTTACCAGCTGTTTGCCGAATATGTGGCACTCTTGTTTTTGAGTTTTTCAAAACAAAAGAAAGAAACAAAAATTAGTAAATAACTAATTTTGCGGGTTGCCGAATTTTGTAGATTTTTTGGCTAGACGTGAGTTGTCTTAGGATTAGTGAAACGCTGATAAGATTCGTTTTCAGGCACTCTTAGAATTCCCCGCATTCCGGTCAAAGAATCCTTTCTAATTAGTTTTTTTATGTCGGAAATTACGCCTTTGTATCGTTTTTGTGTATCTTCCAGGTATCTATAATGTTTTACCAGTTGCGGTTTGCCCAATTTTGAGCAGATTTTTGCGCTTAAGTTTTTCAATTTCTTTAGGTTAGCTCGAGCCGTGAAAAAATCGCCTTTCTGACAGCAGTGCCTTTGAAATTTTCTTTTTAATTGCTTTGTAGGAAGAAGCTTTAGGCACTTTATCACGAGAATTTCATTTATTTTTCGCGCACATGCTGCTTGATCATTCGAAAACCGAAAACCACCACAATAACCTATTAATTTTGGCAACTCTCCCTCGGCAATTTCGTCAAGATAATCCCTTTCAGGAGTTTACTTCCATTTTTTTCAACAAACTCATCACCAAAGGCATAACCCGTTTTGACAGTAGATGACGGATAAGATGGCTATCTTTATAGCCTTCTATAAGAGCGTCAAGTGGTCCAAACTTTAGATTAGCTCATCATCAATTGCGAGGAGCCCGAACCCCGCACTAAAATGCTGCAGCCATTTTTCGGCGGTGCGTCAGGCTGGCTGGCCGGGGCACGCTTCCATACCTTCTTCTCCTCCTTATCGGGGCCGCCCGCCCGCGCCTTCTTCGATGTGCAAATACGGATTCGCTGATCTCATCGATTGTCCCCGGGGAAGCAGCGCAGCGAATTCCGGCGCGATTTATGGTTCAGCTACTTTTAAATGGCTCCTTGGCTCTGAATCGAAGCTCTAATTTTGTTTTTAGGGTTTTGGAATCGTCATTTGCTTCAAATCAAGCCATATGGTTCTTGTTTTTCAACTTTATGGCCACTATTTCCCAAATTCAAGGCTGCATCTAGCTATTTTCAAGCTATTTTAGAAAGCGGAAATGCGTTGTTAAACGCGTTTACTTTTTTTTGCGAAAGAACAGGCTTGAAAAAAGACTATGGCTTCTTGCTTTTTACTTTTTAACCTAATCTTCTAATTCGATGCATTATATCACTTGTTTAACGTTTATTTAGGTGACAGAATCACTTGGTTGTTTAGCTAGTTTTCCGTCGAGTAATCTAGCTAAGCTTTGAAACTGTATATTTGCTGACGAAGCTAACTCTACGATAAAACCTGATTTTTAAGCGTATTTAGGCACCATTGACGATCGCCTATTATCTTTCCGTTTGACCCTGTAGCTGACGTCAGCTGACGCAATTTTTAGACTGAGGAAGCAAAGTCGACTATCAGAGTCAAAACTATAGAAATAATGCGTGCTCTTCCATGCCCAAACTTCTTCGTCTCATCACCCCGCTCGCTGATGCCGGAATAATTCGCGTCAGCCCCTATCAGAGTTGCATCGATTCGGCCGGGGCAGGGAAAAGCACCTCCCGACCACGGGTTCAGCGGCCGCCGGAATTCGGAAGCGATTTACGGTCACGCTACCTGCGCTCGCGGTCGAGAAGACACCCACCAAGCGGTCGCCCCGAGGCCTTGGCTCGCCCACCATGTGCACTTTCCCCCTCGCCCGGCGTCCGCGCACTGCAGACCCACTTTCGGCGCGCCCTGAGCGGAGTCATCTAAAGAGGATCCCGAAATGGTGCGCCTCAATTATAGCATTGGCTCACGTGCCCGGAGTTTTAGCAGCTAGGAGAATATAGACTTCTTTCCGCTAAGGTTTTTAAACCGACTTTTATTGGCTGGGATTTCGTGCCGAAAACTGACTCTGTAAGATTGTATTCTGTTTTAGTCTTTTTGTAACGCCGCTCAGCGCCGCGTGAAGCTCGTTTTCGGGCGCTTTTTGAAGAAACTGCGCTAGAAAAAGAAATTAAATTAGTTTTCTCAAGCTTGCTAGCAGCTTTTTCATGGAAATCGATAATTGGTGTCGTCTCCCTCTTTTTTGCTTGTACAATCTAACGAGTTTTACGTTATGACAAATGTTTTTACGGTATACAAGCGTGAACGTAATAAAAAACGAAAAATAAACTAGACAAGATTTAGTATTTTTACGAACAGCTCTTTTTCCTGTAAATCTTTTCTTTTCTTACTCTTTTTCCTCTTTCTGTCTCCTTCTTGCTCATACACGCTCATACTCATTAGAGCATTTTAAGGCGTATAAGATAGAGTAGAGACGATTTCGTGTTCTTACGAGCTGAATTATTTTGCTTTCAAAACCACTTTGTTTCATGTCCTCTTGTTCAATTTCTCGTTGATTTTCTAATCTTCATTTACTCATCAATTTTCAGGCAGTCTCGCTCGAACTGAGACGCTTTTCTAATTGGGGCGATGGACCCGGGTGGCGGTGCCCTTGTGCAGCAGCTGCTCGACCCGCGCTCCCCCCCTCAACATCGAGGGACTATTAGTGGGGCTTTTTCAGTCAATTTTTGAGGCTTCAACGTTTTTAGGATGCTGTCACGGCTCTCGTCAACGACTGCAATTACCCGGTGCTGCGCAAAATCAAGACAATCGACCAATTTGTGAAGAAATGTGAGTTTTCTGGGCCTAAATGGCTACTTTTTGCGACTTTGCTCATTTTCAAAACAGCTAAAAATAAAAAGAGATTCGGCGTTTTCATCTTAAAAACCTGGATAAAATAAGATAAATTAATTTCCAGTGAATTTGATCTTTTTCGCGTGGGTTTATGTCGTCGTCTCTTTAGTTCTAAAGCCATAGAATGTATGCATGAGCGGCTTTGGACTAGAATTTTTCATGTGTGTTTTTCAGATGAGGGCCACGTCCGCCGAATCTCCGAGATGCGCCTCAAGGGCACGGATTTCGAGCTGATCAAGGTTTTGACGCTGTATTTTCGTAAATATGATTTTTTAGGTGATTGGCCGCGGCGCGTTCGGAGAGGTGCAGCTCGTCCGGCAGACGTCGACACGCCAAGTCTACGCGATGAAGCTGCTCAACAAGGACGATATGGTAACGTTTAGCTCAAGCTATAAAAACTATGCTGTTTGTGTCTCCATCTTAAAATTAGTAAAAAATCGACGGCCGGCTTTGGAAATATTTCTCACGATAATTTGTGTCTAGAATTTTTACGTTGGCTATGATTTTAAGCCTATTCGTATCCTGTTAAACACTAAACACAATCAAGTTAAAAAGAACAAAAGGAAAGAGTGAAAAATCTTCTAAATCCCAAATTCCAGATAAAACGCTCGGATTCGGCCTTTTTCTGGGAAGAGCGTGACATCATGGCCCACGCTGAGTCCGACTGGATAGTTCGGCTTCACTATGCTTTCCAGGTAATTTTTGTTAGCTTTTCTCCCAAATAGCAAAATTTCAGGACGCCCGCTACCTCTACATGGTGATGGAGTACATGCCTGGCGGCGATCTCGTCAACCTCATCACAACGTAAAAAATTTTGGCGGTCCTCAAATCTCTTTTTAGCTACGAGGTCTCCGAGAAATGGGCTCGCTTCTACATTGCCGAGCTCGTCGAAGCGCTGGCCGCCCTCCACTCGATGGGATACATTCATCGGGACGTGAAGCCGGACAACATGCTGATCGCCCGGAATGGTCATATCAAGGTTTGTTGGCTACTATATTGTCTTAAAAAGCATTTAATAAAAATTCTAGTTTATTATTTGTGCCAAAAATCGTCAACTATATGATTGCGAGTTGCTAATTTTGTTGAAAAACGCGCTCAAAAATTATTTTAATTTGTGTAGTTCACGCTAATTCATTCAGAAACAGTTCTAATTGATTAGTTTAGCTCAAAAGAAGCTTTATTTTTTAGTTATTTCACTAAAGAAAAAGTCTAATTTGCTAATTTTTTCGAAAATCCTTCAATTAATAATGCTACGCCTTAATTTTGTCGAAGATCGCTAAAAAATGGTTTTTCGCCACTTCAAAGTAGAAATTAATACCCTTTCTTGCAGCTCGCCGACTTCGGCACGTGCGTGAAGATGAACGCTAACGGGCGTGTGCAGTGCAGTACGGCAGTCGGGACGCCCGACTACATTGCCCCCGAAGTTCTCTGCAATCAGGGCCGCGAAGCCGAATTTGGTGTCGAAGTGGATTGGTGGTACGTTTCGATCCTTTAGCTGTTTTGACGTGTTTCTAGGTCTGTCGGCGTGTTCCTCTACGAACTGTTCGTCGGCGAGACGCCCTTCTACGCCGACTCCATCGGCAACACCTACTCAAACATCATGAACTTTTCGACGACGCTCTCCTTTCCGGACGATACACCGATCAGCTCAACGGCAAAGGTAAATTTAAAATTTTTCTTTTATTTTAAATTTTGACAATTCTATAAATAGATAATTTTAGCCCATCAGTTTGGCCGATATTCACTAAAAAAATAATTATGTTTTCTTATTTTTGGCGATAAATCTGAGGTTTTGCTATGCAAATCGATTAATTAAATAAATGCTTTTATTTATATTGTATTTATTTGGTTTTCTAATTAATTTTTGTATTTTAGAACCTGATCCGAGCCTTCCTCTCCCGAGCGGACCAGCGTTTGGGGCGTGATGGGGCCGGCTCGATTCGGAAGCATCCCTTCTTCCAGAATGCCGAATGGACGTTTGAAACTCTACGTGATGGTGCGTTTAATTATTTTAATTTAATTATAATTTTTACTGATATTAATTTATTATTACGCTGTTGAAAATAAATAAATATTTGGACATATTTATGTAATTCCGATGTAATCTACGTCTTTTCAGCCCAGCCTCCAATCGTCCCCGAACTTCGCGGCGACGACGACACCACAAATTTCCAAGAGGTCGAGGCCGACAACGATCAGGGCAACGACTTCCAGGTTTATTGAAAATACTTTTTTAAAGTAGTTTTAGATTCCGCGTGCCTTCACCGGCAACCAGCTGCCCTTCGTCGGCTTCACCTACACCAGTGAATTGGGGTAATTTTTCATTATTTCGACAATTTTTTAAAATTTCTTTTTAGCCCCCTTCGCCAATTTGCCGACGCCCTGAAGGACAAGAACGCGAACCCGGTGCAGGTTCAACAGCAGACCGCACAAATTCGGGTAAGCCTTGCAAAAAGTGGTTTTATTATCATCATATCAAAATAATATCAAAATTATAGTGGCTTTCTTTGATTGATATTTTGTAATTTTTAGTTTTGTGTTAAAATTGATTTTTTTTATAAAAATAGGATTTCAGCCTGACCCGGCGCTCACTGATGAGTTGCGGAGGACGAAGGACGAGCTGGAGCGGACGAGGCGTGAGGTAAAGCTATTTTTCTGGCTATGCTACCTTTTTATACTTTTTTGCGCCTTTTTATCAAAATTTTCCCACAATTATGACCGTCATTTCAGATTCTCGAGCGCAGCGCCGACCTTGAGCACCAGCAACTCGTGCTCGAAAGGGCCAAGCAGCGCGGAAATGAGATAGAATCGCATGCTAACAAGTAAATCCTTTGTTTTTGGGTTTTTATCAGTTTTTAGGCTGACTGAGCGGGTGCACGAGCTGGAGCGTGAGTGCGACGATCTCAAGGTTCGACAGCGCGGCCAAGGGGATCTCGAGGAGCGGGTACGACGTCTCGACACCGAGCTGAACGAGCATCGCCTCATGGCTGGCGCACTGGAGGCCAAGTTGGCGAAGGTAATAATTTCATTTTAATCGGGTTTTTGAAAAACAGAGCCTTTGGTATTTCTTATTTATCTTGTCGGCGTTGTTGTTCTTCTCGAGTGTGTTGATCTGCTACTGATGCAGTAGTCAATTTCATAGAGGGGGTTCCGGCGTTCAAGCAGTTGCTGATCAAAAGCCGTAGGAATACGCCTAGCGTGAAAAAGATCAGGCTGAATTTTTTGTATCCCATCTGTGCAATTTAAACCTATACGGGTCGATTTTGTTGATCAGCTGCTAGGTTCGACAAGGGAAATTTGATAGAGGGGGATTCCCGTTTTGAGAGCTGTAGTTCGTCGAGAAGCCGTCAAGTCGAAGCAGTTCAACCCATTAACTGCACTTCACCAATGCGGACAAAAAGTCTGGCATTCTTTCGACGTGTCCAACAAAATCAAGAATCCCTCAAGTTGGAGAAGTCCAACCGTCAACGGTACTTGGCAAAATCAACTCGTGCAAAAATTGGTGAGAAATCGCGTGTGGGGAAGAAAATGCGAAAAAGCATTTATTCGGCCAAAACGATCAACAACAAATCATGGGTTGTACTCGATGGGGAGGTTCTTGCGGCGGACCATGCCGTCTCCCTGGAACCACTCGCGGCGGAACTGCTTGGCGGCACCGTCGGGGGTGTTCGTCCACTCAATCGTCACACGGTCGTTGTTCGTGTCCTCAGCACCGAACTGGAACGAGTCGCACGACACGGCCACCTGGAAAAGTAGCGATAGAGCGAGAAAGCATCAAAATCGAGCAGTTCACGCTCGCCAAAGAAGATACGACAAGCTCAAGCAGTGCAAAGCACCCACCAGAACCTGCTCCTTGGGGTCGAGGACTCCGCAGGCCGGGTCAACACCAAGTCGCTTCATGTTGGTGGTCTTGAAGGCCCATCCGATGCGACGTCCTCCAGTGTTGATCACCTTGATGTGGTAGGTGTGCTTGTCATCGTACGGGGCGTTGAACACGATCTTCGTGCCGGGCTGCGTGGTGATGTCGCCGGGAGCGATCGACTGGGCCATCTTCTTGTTGTGGTTGAAGTTTTTGGGTACCTATGTCTTCCAGGGGCTCTTTATATACCTGGGAACGCTTGTTAATCGAGTGATGTTGAGCGCCAAAAGCCCCGGGTTGAAAGCGTTCTATAGTTAATCAGGGTTTTATGCGAAGTTAACATGTGACGACAATTTACATGAATTTTTTGCAGGCCAAAGAAGAGGAGAACGCGGCCAAGATGCGGGAGCGGCAGATCGCCCAAGAGCTCGACTTGGAGAAGGAATCGGCGGTGAGGAAGGCTGGCAGGATAAAGGTATGTAAAACTGTAAATTGGTGTTTTCGGAAAGCACGGGCGTTATTTTTTTCCTGATTTTCCGTTGCCTTTTTCCTAATAAAAGCCTAGTACGAATGCAATATTAAGCATCTTGAATTTTTCTTGGAAATTTTACAAAAAAAAAGCTGTAAAAATGCTTTCAAATTTTAAATTATTCAAAAATTGGGGTTTTTTACTAAAAAAATGTGTTTACGTTTAAAAATAGTCAAAAACTATGTAAAAACGACTTTTATTTATGTTAGCAACAAGCTCCATAAAATTGATTTTTAAACTCAATACTTTTTAGGAGCTCGAGGAGAAGACGCACACTCTGGCCGCCCGCATCAGCGAGCAGGCCGGCAAAGAGGAGGAGCTGACCCGACGGCTGGCCAAGGCTCTCGACGAGTGCAAAGAGAACGGCACCTCTTTCCACGACACGACCATGGCCCGCGAGGCCGAGCTGCACATGAAGCTCGAGACGGCGCGCAAACAGCTCGAGGACGCCCGCCACGATCTCGACAAGGAGCAACGACTGCACTCGGCCACCCAGAGCGAGCTCGACAACAAGGCCAAGTCGCTGGCCGGGTTGCGGTTGAATGAGGAGTTTTTGAAGGAGGTACGGATTTACCAGATTCATTTTATTTCGATTTTAAGGAGCTCGCCCGGCTGAACGAAGAACACGCGCGGACGGTGCATGCCCTGCAGAACACCATCAGCGAGAAGACCGTCTACCAGAAGGAGGTCGACGAGTTGTCCGTCCAAGCTCGAGCTGATCAACAAATGATTGTGAGTTTTTAAGACTTTCTCTCTCTCTCTCTCTCTCTCTCTCTCTCTCTCTCACTCTCTCTGGATTTTTCTATGCTGTGCGTATCCGCTTCATGCCCGTTTTTCAGGACTGCTACAGCAAAGAAATTGCCACCATCCACAAGGAGCTCGACGAGACGCGAGGCCGACTGCAAAACGCATCCGCGTACGCCACCGAAAACGACGAAGTTCGGCGCGAGCTGGACAGCGAACGCCTCGCCCGCCGCATCGCCGAGGCCAACCTCTCCGAGGTGGACAAGGAACGGACGATGCTGAAGGAGGAGGTGCGGCAGTTGGTCCATCGAAACGACAAGGATCTGATCGCCAAGGAGAACGCGATCGCCCATCTCACCGAAGAGCTCAATCAAGCCAAACGCTCGCTCATCGACATTGACGACATCCGCGAGCGGAACGGCCAGACCGATTCGAAGATCAATAAGGTATCAAAATTTTGCGATATAACAGTAATTTGTGTATTTAGATTCACGAGCTCGAGGCTGAGTTGCAAAAGGTGATGAAGGAGCGACAGCTGGCCGACTCGATGAAGAAATCAGTATAGATAGTTTCCGTAAATTTTAACCGAATTTTTAGGCAATCGCCAAGCTCGAGCAGGTGATGAGTCTGCGCGTGCCGGAGAAGCCGCAGAAGGCCGGCAACGACACGGCAAGGAAGCTGCGGATAAAGGAGAAGGAGATGGTTCGTGTTTTTAATGATTTTCTTTTTATTTCGAAAGTATGTAGAAATCGCGCAAAACTATATAAATCTATATAAACTTAGTTAATAGATTGAAAAGAGCTTTTTCCCGTTGATCAATTTTTTTACTTGCAGATGAACGCACAACAACAAATCAGCGAGCTCAAGTCAAAGCTGAAGGACGCGCACGACGAGAAGGACCGACTGGTCGCCACGTTCAACGAGCAGATCCAGACGGAAGAATCGAGGGTAAGCTTTTATTTTCTTGTTAATTTTGTGATTTTCATCGAGCACAAAAGTTTTTACAACTAAATTTTTATTTTCAGGCCAATCACCTCGAGAGCAAGATCAAGGACCTGCTCGAAGAGCGCGAGCACCGCCGTGATGTTGATAGCAGGTAAATTCGGAGCTTCCGCTTCGATATACCAAATCTCAGATCTATCGACTCTCGCGAGGGCATCCCTCCATCACTGATGAAGGGCGAAAACGTCGAGGGCTTCGTGCACGTCCGGCTGAAGGGCAAGAAGGGCTCTAGAAAGGTATGGCGGCTTTAGTAGACAGCTATATTTCTCTTTTTTAGGCCGCCAAGATCCCATGGGAATCGATGTACTGCCAGCTGACGCCGACCGCCTTCATCCTGTTCGCCGAGTCGAAGATGGGCGGATTGGAGGCCCCGCAGACGTACATTGAAGTCACGTAAGTATTTTTTGACTCGTTTAATTCATCAAAATCTTATTTTTTCTTCAAAACCTACTTTTTAGTGATTTTTTTAGTAGAAAAGCTTTTTGTATTGCTCTACTTTTAAGCGCTGTTTCGCCGTAATTAGTATTTGATTTTTTGTAAGTTTTTACAGGTCTTAATTGGCCTTTTTTGCTTAAGCATTTGTATTCTATTTTTTTTCAGCCGTCTCTGCTACGCTCGTCTCGTCACCGCGGCCGACGTTCGATTCGCACAGCCCGAGTCGTTGCCAAAAATTTTCCACGTACGTACACGTGTTTCTGCACATCTAAACCTTATATTTTAGATTATGTACGACGGAGCGGATGGGAACAGCCTCGCCAACTCTCGTCACTCATCGATGTCGGATCTGAATGCTACGTTGATTAGTCAGGCGGTGGGTGCTTTTTTTATTGTCGAATAACTCGATTTAAAAAGTTGGGGTTTCATTATTAATTTCTGCTTTTTTCAGGATTCCGAGGGCAACGTCTCGATGCGCTCGTCAAGCTCGGCACACAGGCACGACTTCCAGGTAAACAAGCTCTTCTAGTTCTCTCTCTCCCTCTCCCCTCTCTCTCTCTCTCTCTTTCTCTCTCTTTCTCTCTCTCACTCTCGCTTTCTCAATATAGCTCGACCGCTTTCTATCTTTAATAAACTTTCTTTTCCAGGAGCTCTCCTTCCACATGACGGCCTACTGCGACTTCTGCAACAAGAAGCTCTCCGACCTCATCCGCCCCCCACCGGCGCTGGAGTGCAAGAGTAAGTTTTCCTTTTTTCTTCTAAAAATACTGTTTAGATTGTCGCTACAAGATCCACAAGGAGCACCTCCACAACGCCGACTTCCCCTTGTGCAAGTGTACGTTTTTTAGAGTTCATCAGAATTTAAATTAACCCTTTAATATGGTTTTTTGGAAAATTCGCGTTGTTCCTTAATTAATTATCTTTTTTTAGCAAAGAACGGCGTGATGTGCGAGCTGTTGCTGATGGCCGTCGACAAGCAGGAGGCCATTGGTTGGGTGAAGGCCCTGCGAGAGACCATTGACAGGGTAATTTTGAACTTAAATGATTTTAAATTATATCGCGTTCTAAAATTAAATTGATTTTTCTAGAACACACATCGCCGCGGGGTCGCCCGGAATCGCACGCTGCCGACGAGCCACTCACGCCAGGGCAGCGCCAACCATTAGCCAAAGTACAGCCCCTATCCCCCTCGAATGCTTTGTGATTGCCATTGCCCGTGTTGTTGTACATTTGATTAGCTCTCAGGTGACCCTTCCGTCCTCGTCGCGTTGTGTGGGGCCGGGCTGGCGGGGTTTGGTTTTGCGTATAGCTAACTAGGAGACGCTCAAAATTGGCGGAAATATAGAGCAGTCGACGCTGATGTTTTATCTGTTTTTAAAATGGCTATAAGCGTTGAAATTTCGTCATTTTTGAGCTGAAAACGTAGACAAAAACATCAAAATCTCAAATTTCTCAACTTTTCGCTTACATATCTCGACTTTTAAACACCTGTAGCAAATTTTAAAAGCAAAAAAATTGATCAGCATCCTCTACTCTTTTTTTCAATTTTTTATCCGGATCCTAGGACCGGCTTCAAGATGAAGCCGCTTCAAAAGACACGCAAAACCCAAGCCCCATCACCCAACCCCTCTCATAGCATATCCCGAAATCGTCTTCTCAAGAAACGAAGCCTTCCACCATTCTTTCCAGCTTTAGTACCCTCCACTCCTTTTTACACAGCGTAATCGGTCCCAAATTACCCCTGCTCCCCCATTTTTCCTTACCCTAAAATCTATATGAAAAATAGTTCGAAGTCCGGGTTCCCTTTCTTCCCCTCTCTCTCCCTTTCTATCGTCTCGTTTTGCCCCCTTAATTATTCACGTAAACTACACACCCAGTCGTCCCGTTTTATTGCATTACTCCCTAGCATTTGACGGCCTTCCCCCCACTTCCACACTTCCACTTAAACGATGCCTTTCACATATGCTGGTTGCGCGCGCGTTTCCTCGAGATGTGTGTGGCGGTGCTTCCGCGCTGTCCACCCTCACGCTCTCACTCTCTGCGAACCGTACGATTTTACCGGTTTTTATACGTGCACTAGTGTGATAAATAGTTTTTATCAAGCGACAGAGGGTTTCTGGAGGATCCTGGGTCCTATTGAAATACATCTATTGACGTTCAGACATTGAAACGAACATGTTATCCGCATTCTCATCTCACTTTAAAATTGTGTCCTACATATTTTAGAACCTTCTATCTGCTTGTTTTGTTTTTATTTAGGCTTTTTGCAGAAAAAGATGGGCGGTTTTGTGAGGCAGATGTGCGAAATCGCTTAGTTTTTGTATTTGTAGGTTGTAACATTTAATTAAAAACAAGTCCCGTTCTGAAAATAACATTCGGTCATATTATAAAACTTTCAATTTACTTCTTTTTGCAAAAAGGATGGGCCGTTTGTAAGGCTGATGTGTGAAATCGCGTAGTTGTTCTCTCTCTGGGCTGTAAAATTTTATTAAAATAAGACCCATTCAGAAAAGATCATTCAGTAAATTGAAAAAACGTAAATTATTGCCGGGTGAGCTTGAAGCTTTCATCGTCCCAGTCAACGACGATCGATAGGTTCAGCTTTCGAGAGTTTTTGTATTTTTTAATCAAACTTTGTATAGTTTTAGCTAGAGGAACAGTAAAAAACAGATTAGAAACATTTATACTATTGATATCTGAAAAATGTGATCCATTAAAAAGTTGGTCCCCCGGTAATGCGAAAGAATCGTATTTTTATTCTTGCTGTTGCTTTTGTTTTGGCTGTGTCTTGGCCGCTACTTTTGTTAATTCTCAATTTTTACAGGATGGATGCCGTCCCATCTTGCGGTTGCAAGGGCGTCCGCTTCTGTGCGCTATGCGAGGACACGGAGCGCGTGAGGAATCTAGCAAGGAAAGCCCGCGCGGAAGAAGAGTACGTTTTCAGCTTTATTTCTTGAAAATCAGCTTTTAGATATACCGATTACGACGTCTACGTTTTCCACGCGGCCACGCAGACCGCATCTCGATGCCCCGGGCTGAGTGCTTCTTCTTCGTGTGCCGAAATTCAGGTAAATAGTTTATTCATTTTTGTAACTCGCTGCGGTTTTCAAAACTTCGAAATTTGGTTCAAAGATCGGCCACAAAGATAACTATACTTCAACTGGGAAAACTAGCTAAAAAGTTGTTAAAAATCGGCCATTTTTGGTCGAAAAATTGGTGTTTTTTATTTTTTAACAAAATTTTGTAGAGTTGTCACCTTTGGGAATAGTAAAAGGCATTTAGAAACCCTGTCCCTATTTATATAATTTTCAGGAAGCCGGATGTGCCGAGCCGACGGGCGATCAATTGAGCATCGGCGGTCTTCTCTTGATACATAACTTCATTTCTAAGGTATCGATTTTTGGAGATTTTGGTTATATCCTTTTTTCAGGAAGATGAAGCACGACTGATGGAAACAATCAACAAGGTCGACTGGGCTCCGTCGCAAAGTGGGCGCCGCAAGCAGGACTACGGCCCCAAAGTCAACTTCAAGCACAAGAAAGTGAAGACGACCGGCTTCACCGGTGAGGAAGTTGAAAGTATTGCCTCCTCGCGATTCTGAAGCTTCTCATATCTTCTTTTCTAGTACGCTGCCGAATTTTGGCTTCAGTTGTTAGTGTTAGAAAGGTTTAAGAAGCTTTCTATGTTTCTTTTTTATTTCTGTCACTGGCGTGCCTTCCTTAAGAACTTTCTATGTTTCTATTTCTCTTATTTTCGTGTCTTTTTTCTGCGCTTTTCCAAATTGAAGCTCGTGCACTATTTTGTTTAAAAGGGCTTTTCAAGAACCATTCATCCTATCTTTTTTTTTGTTTCGATAACTTTCCAAATTCATTTTTTCGAGGTTAGATATCAGTACTATCATTACTGGATTTAAAAGAGCTTGTTAGCTCCCCGAACTTATCGTTTGTTCTTTTTTGAATTGCAACTTCAGGCTCGTAAATTTTATTAGAGTTAGAAGATTCACATTATTAAGATTAGCTTTTTGCCTTTTTGCCTATTTGCCTTGAACTTTCCGAAATTGAGGTTACGCTTTTTAGAGCCATATGGTTGTCTTCTTTGTTTCTAGGAGCGCTTCTAACGTTTTGTCTCTACTTTTCTGCACTTTTTCACGCTTCACGTCTGTCATTTTCTGCTTTTTGCCGATTTCCGAACGATTCCCCGATCATTTTAAATTTCAAAGCCTTTGTTCCTTATTTACAACTATAACCGTTTTTCCAGGCATGCCCGAATACGCCGACTTCCTGCTGAACAAGATGAGCGCGTACTCCGAGCAGCGACTCGGCCACTATCTTCCTTTCGAGATGTGCAATCTCGAGGTGTAAATTTTCATAATTCCTTTAACATCCTGTTTTTTAGTATGAACCGGAGAAGCACAGCGCCATCGAGTTTCACCAGGACGACATGTGGATATGGGGGAATCGGTTGATAAGGTAGATTTTTCTTTGATTTTTAAATGGTTTTATTAGATATTGTAGTTATTGTAGTTTATGTAGAGATTAATCTAGATTTGGATTATCTAATTTATTATTTTTTCAGCATAAACCTGCTCTCCGGCTCGGTGATGTCGCTGGCAAATAAGGAGAAGCGCCTGCTCTGCTTCGTCCCGATGCCCCATCTATCATTGCTCTGCATGGCCGACGAGGTATCACTTTAGTTCTGTATTTTATAGTTCCTGAATTTAGGTGCGCTACGAGTGGAAGCACGCCGTCCTCTACCAACACATTACAAGTCGCCGGATAGCGCTCACGATGCGCGAGGCCGATCTCAAGTTTACGGTACGTTTTTCTAGATGTTTTCAAGGATTCAGAGTTTCTTTGCTCTCCTAAACGTTGGTTGCTATGATTTTGTATTTTTTTGTCGGTCTTTGCTTACAAGGCTGCCTCGCCCTGCGCTTAGGTTACTTTTTCGGCTTTTTCTAGGCTTAGCTTACCCTTAGCTATCTAAAGCTAAGCTAGACTTAAGCCTAGGTCGAAACTTAGCTTATCTTAGCCTAACGTTACCTCTTACGCCTGAAAAACGGGTTATCTAGGGCCTAGCTTACCGTCAAGCTTACCTTGCGGGGTTAAAAAGACGGGATTTAAAGCTAAGCTTACCATGGTTTATCAGAGGCTTAAGATTGCCGTAGTTTGGAGCGTCTTCTAGTTTTGTGTTCTGAATTAGCACGATCTTTGAGTTTTCCCCAGGCGGTTTTACTTTTATGTTTCTTTTATTTACCTTTTGTCCTGATAGCTATTACTTTTATTTTCTTATTTTCAGGAAGGCGGCGAGCTCTACGAGAAGTTTGGCCAGGAGCTGATCACGATTGCCCGACAACGAGTTCTGCCGCCCGCGTAGAAGACCAAGCCCCCCCGATTGTTGTATTGTGATATCGTGTCCCCCCGTGTAGTGCCGGCTATGGAGAAACATAGCGTGCGCTTCAAGCATCGCCTGAAGCAGTCGCTGGCCGGCGAAATGGTATTTCCGGGATCGTAGAATTTACGTGAGGGTTGCCGGTGCTTGAGTATTATTAGGGCGTCCCCTCTAGAGTTTTATTATTTGGTTTAGCGATCTTTTTGCACTTTTTATTCTTTTTGAAGTCAGCTGACGTTTTTCATCTTTTTTTAACGTTTTTATAGTTTAGAAAGATGATTGATACCCGATTTCCATTTGTTTAGAAGTAGACATAATTTCTGGTGTTGGTAGAGTATTGCGCGCCTTCCCTTTTTAACCGTTTGGGGTTTTTTTAGTAAATTTTGCCTTTTGACGTTTTATTTTTGGTTTTTGGTAGTTACGAAAGGATGCTTTTGCCTTTAGCTAGTCTTTCTAATGTTTAATTTTCACCTTTCTTTTGCGCAAGATTTTCTAAACGCTTAGGTTGCTTTTGATGCCATGGCTTCCCTATTCTCTTTTCTTTAGTAGCAAGTAAGTCTTTAGTAGTGGTTTCTTTAAAGCATTTAGCTTTTTTTAACGAGTTGCGTTTTCAAATCGCGACGTTTTCTCCAATAGCAAAACTACGAAACCCTTACTTGTTTAGGATTAGGATTTGTTCACAATTCTAAAGCGCGTTGTTTATTATTTACGTTTTTATATAGTAGAATCTAAGACTTCCCGCATTTATTTTCTTTAGAAGAATAATTTCTAAAGCAACATACTTTGTGTGTTTTTTTATTCTAGCCTTTATACACCCTGGTTTCATTATTCTTTAGTCATATAGAGCGTTCAGGCTTCTAAATTAATTTGATTCGTAGTGCATTTGGTTTGAACCTTATTACTTTAAATTAAACTGTCCCTTCCCTGATAATACTCAAGTGCCAGCACATTCGAGCGGGTGATGGCTTACCGGTCTTTCCCAACGGCCAGAAGCATAAGTTAACGCGGGTTAGGAAGACAAGATTGCATCTCTCTAATAGGCTTTTGGTCACTAAGCCGCGGAGTTACACGTTAGAAGTATCAAAGTTTGTCGCGACATTTCATTTTTACATTTCAGTCCTTAGGATGATCATTGAGTCGGTTCCTTGCTAAACTTCGCAGTGTGGTTAGCTTTTGAGTTGTTTTGCATCATCTTTGGGCTTCGTGTGCCACTTGGTTACGCGTTGCTCGCAACTCAGAAGCTCTAACCACTCTTCGGCTTTAGCAAGAAGCCATACTTAATGATATCCTCTATCGCGACAAACTTTTGATACTTCTACTGCGTAAGTCCGCGCCTTAGTTACCAAAGCCCTAGTAGAGAGTTAGAGCCTTGTCGTCCTCACCCGCGTTAACTTATGTTTCTGGCCGTTGTGAAAGACCGGTAAGCCATCGTCCGTTTTCGAATGTCCCTTGCGTAAGTTGTGCTGTCCCGGACATACCGTCTCGCCGTCCAGTGGCTGCTTTAGAGGGTGCTTGATACGTTCGCTGTGTTCTCCGTAGCCGATAAGGTGGGGGAGGCGCAAAATTTTTTATAAATATTCAAATATCACAAAGTATGCGACGTTGCATCAGAACCAGTTCAACGAGGGTTGGGGATCCGGCAGTTCGGGGGCGATTTGCGGAGTCCGAGCCCCCGAGCAAGCCGCTGAAGTCCGAGCATCCGGGTCGACTTGCCGAGCCCGGGCGCCCCGCGCGTCTGAACAACACTGGGAAGTCCGAGCGGCCATACGAAGCCTCGGCTTCAAGACTTGGCTATGTAGAGCGCTAACGCGGCTTGTGGTCTAGCGTACTCCAATGTTCCCTACCACCTCAATGCGTGTGATTCATCAGAGCAGTGACGGCTAAGCATCTTGGCATTGTCTTCCGCGTTTAACTTGAAAGTTTCGAGCGGCGATGTCGATTCCGGAGAACAAGGCGCGTCATTCCGCCTGGTAGTACGCGTTTCCACCCAAACGTATAACCTGGTGCCTAGCCGTACGAAACCGGACGACTGCCGGCGAAATCCATCAAGCCCTTGCCGTACTAGTTAGGCTCGAGTATAAAAACGCCGTTAACGTATAGGTTAACTCTCTTCAAAAGGATAAAGCCCAACTTGACGGGCTTGTCTAAAACTAGCTTCATCTGGGGTGGCTTTAGCCTTGGAAACTAACTACTTCGGGCTTCGGACTATCCCTGGTATTGGCTTAAGATTAATGGAATTTCGTCAAGCTCAACTTAGAAATCTACGGACAAGGTAGTAACTTGCTATTCGAAAGGGATTTTAGCTGATGAAGCTAGGCTTTAATCAAACGTAGAATTTACCAAAGCTTAGAAAAACTGGCTTGTAAAAACGAAGCTCTGATTTAAAGGAAGTGTATCTAATAAAGCTGGAAGCTCGTAGAAAACTTAAAACCCTCAGGACTAGACAGAATTTTGAGAAAGCAGAAGCTTAACACCATCACGCTGATCGCAGCCTTGGTAGAGGCAAACTCTGAATCACGCCTTGAGGCAAACCTGGTTCTCGCAAGCGCTAGTTATCTGGCTTATCAAACGCGAGATGGGTAAATCTTCTGCCTCCTCCTAGGCATGCGATCAAAACCCGCCACGCGGGTTTTGAAGACGGGCGTTCGTTGAAGTTTATTATTGTTCAACGTTGTCAAGTTTAATAAAGGTCTGGAATAAACTAGGCGCGTTTCTCATACAATCCAGTTACTTTAGGACGGCTAGACTTTATTACCTTTGAGAAATTTGTAAAGTTTAATACTAGCAGCAGCAAAAAGCAAGGATTTGCGAGAATTTCAGAAACCTAGAAAACAACGCAAATGGAAGCTGTTTCAAAACGAATATAACTTCGAAGGCCTCGACTAAAAGCGGACGAAAGCTGCTTGGAAGACGCACTGACAAACAAACAAGCGGCCTAGCTTCAACCCCGAAAGTATCTAACGTTTCGTTTGTAAAAACGAAAGTGCCATTCGCGCGGCGATTTGGAGAGTGGTGTCCCAAAGTTGTAAATTTAACCTGAATTAATGTAAATCAGACATACGGACAGATAAATAAATAACGCGCTTACCTACTGCAGAAACGGTTAGAAGTCAAACATTCAACGCAAGAGACTCTATTGTCTGCAAATTTACCGCAAGAGCTTGGATATTGTGTTAAAACGCGCGAGACGCTAGTGGAGACCTGAGTTCGACTCTAAGGTTGCTGGGAAAATCCTGGAAAGCTCCAGAAAAAGTCAAACTTGAAGAACAGGGTTTTAGAATAGAGACTAAGTTTCAGAGTAAAGACAAGTTTAAAAGTATGGTTTTAGGTTGAACTTCCGAAAATTACAAGTAAAAAGGTAAACTATCGCCAAATACCAAGGATAAGCCGATTTCAGAAAACGAGCTTCAAAAAGCAAGTCATCAAAGCTAAAGCACGCCCAGATGAAGCTAGTAAAGAAAAGCCCGCCCGCTAGGCCAAACCCGATTGAAGAGAGCAAACCTATAAAAAACGCTAACGACGCCTAACACTCGAGTCTAATAAAGCATGGCAAAAAGCGACAGTTATCACCGACGCCTTCCAGCTACCGCTAGACATCAACAAGCTTTACATTTGGGCGGAAACGCGTAAAACGAAGCGAAACAACGTACCTGGTCCTCCAAAACCGCGGTCGCCACCTGAAACTGCCAAGCGGAAACGCGGAGAACAATGCCAAAATGCCTAGCCATCACAAACTCTGGCAAAGCACAAAATTCACGTGATAAAGAACATTGAAATACGCTAAACTACAAACCACGCTAGCGCTCTACATAGCCAAGTCTTGAAGCCAAGGCCTCGTATGGCCGCTCGAAGCTCCCAGAGTTGTTCAGAACGCGCGGCGCGCCCAGGCCCGGCAAGTCGCCCGGATGCTCGGACTCCAGCGGCAGCTCGGGAGCTCGAACTCCGCAAATCGACCGCTAATGACAAAGTCACGGGGGTGGGTTGAGGTTCAAAAAAAAAATAGAAAATACAACATAGCAAAAAAACGGGAGGCAAAGTCAAAATGTACAGACAGCACCAATTGACGGGTAAATGCACACGGGCGGAGGAGCGGAAAGGAGGAGTAGAAGAAGTGAGCGCGAGTTGAGGAGTGGGAAGGGGAGCATGGGGAGAGATTCTTTTGAAGTCGGCTTCATCACGAGCCCATCATCGGTGGCCTGCCGGCGGGGTTATGTGTGCGTTCGTGTTTCGTCAGATGGTCGGATCGCATGAATTTCTTGCCACAATGACCGCAGGCGAACCGTTTCTCGCCGGTGTGTGTCCTGCAATGGAAAGATTAAAAATTATCTCGAGGTTTTTCGATAAAATTTTTGAATCTTGAACCTTAATGAAAATTTCTTCTAGATAGAGAGAGAATGAGCGCGAGAGAGATAGATAGAGAGAGATGGAGAGAGAGAGAGAGCGAGGCCGAGGGAGAGAGAGCGTGAGAGACAAAACACTATATATCTACATTTCAGTTTGACGCAGCGAAAGATACGAGTTTAAAAATAAATAGAGAGTTAGAGGGTCAGAGAGAGAGAGAGGAGAGAGAGGGAGAGAGAGAGAGAGAGAGAGAGAGAGAGACGAGAAAGCTAATGCCAAAACCAACCTGCGGTGCCGTTGCAATTCGTCGCTGCGGGTGAACCTCTTCGTGCAGTGCTGCCAGTCACAGGCGAACGGCTTGTTGCCCGCGTGACCTCTGAAAATGATTTTTATAATAAGATCGCTTCAAGGATCTATACCTCAAGTGGGCGCGTAAATGCGACGTTTTGCCGTACGTCTTCTGGCATATGTGGCAGATGTGAAGGCGCGAGGGCCGGCCGTCGGGAAGGACACTGAAAACGGGAGAATAAAATTGTAAAGTACACAAATTCATTTGGCAATAACAAAAACGAGAGAGAGAGAGAGAGAGAGGAGAGAGAGAGGGCGTAGATAGAGGGGGTTTATTAATCTAATACGTACCC